TTAAGACCATAGGGAAAATCCACATTCTGAGTATGGAAAAAAGCATCTTCTCGTTCTCAAAAAATTCACAAAATATTTTTTTCATAATTTTTCAAAAAATTCAGTTGGGGGTTCCCCGTAAAGGATCAGACGTTTAAATTTTCAACTCGTTGTCATTTGACTGGCTGAAAAAAACCCCCGTTTTTTTTTGAAATCATTTGCAAAGTCAAATTTCTCGCTCACTGACGGGGTCAGCCCAACCTGACATAAAGGGGTTTCACACATATTTTCATTTAACTATCGGAGTACCAGTAAATCCATTCCGGGCAATGGCGGACAAATTTTATACCCAACCCCCCGGGAAATAACCCCAATTTTAAAATCCAGAAAACAAAAAAATTTTTTTTCTCATTTAAAGTATAATTGCAACATATTATTTTAATTTGCTAAAAAAAAAATGATTAAATTTTTACACTCACATATAAAAAAAACCATATATTTCCCCCTTAATCATGTAAAACCAATAAACAACAAAATAAATTAACTTTTTTAACGCAATCAAAAATTTTTTTCATTTTCGTGCGACATTTAACGTTACAGTTGCGACATTTAACGGTAGTCAATTTTGCGACATTTAGCGGTGGTTGCGACATTTAGCGGCAATGGTGCGACATTTAGCAGCAAGTGCGACATTTAGCAGCGTTGCGACATATAATGGCGCCACAGTGCCTAATACTGAAAAGTTAATTAATATTTTTATCTAGGAACATCAAACCTCGTTACCCATATTATAATATCTCTTGAGCGACACAACGCTTCGTCCTGAAGCTTTTTGGTTGGGTAATTTTTATAAGACGCTAAACGTGATCCAGCTCAAACTTTCCCATTTACCAAAGAAATATTTTGCTTGAATACACACATCATGTATTGTCATGTAACTGCATTTTGTATACTAGTATATATATAGTGATGCTTTGTCAATGGCTCCTCTGAGTGCTTTAATACAAAAAAAAGTTTAAGTTCGATATATAATTACTTCATATACTAGTAGTTAATGCTGATGAATGAACGGTTTACATGTGTAGTTTGGTGATATTTATAAGATATTATAAATACTTAAAAAAAAGCACATGCAGCAAATACAGAATTACCTCATTATCAGTTAAGACAATCTATTGTAATCATTATTTAGACATAGACATTGATTAGATTCTCCATCAAAACGGGATTCTTTTCAATTTAAGTGAGTTCATAAAATGATGAGAGGTTTTGCTTTCTGGAGTTTAAATTTATTATGCAGTCTTAATTAATAAGGACAGATGTAAAGGTGTATTGTACGGAATGCCGTTAGGGCCATCGCCTATGAATGTGTTGATCTAAAACGCGATAGTCGATAGTACGATGGTGAAAACGCGAAATCACGTAACTACGATGGTGAAAACACGATAGTACGATGATGAAAACGCGATAGTACGATGATGAAAACGCGACTGTACGATACTACGATGATGAAAACGCGATAAACTATCGTGTTTTCACCATCGTACTATCGCGTTTTCACCATCGTAGTTTCGTGATTTCGCGTTTTCATCATCGTACTGTCGAGTATCGCGTTTCAGATCAAACCATTCATAGGCGGTGGCCCTAACGGCATTCCAGAATGCCGTTAGGGCCATCGCCTATGAATGTGTTAATCTAATACGCGATAGTCGATAGTACGATGGTGAAAACACGAAATCACGAAACTACGATGGTGAAAACGCGATAGTACGATGATGAAAACGCGATAGTACGATGATGAAAACACGACAGTACGATGGTGAAAACGCAATAGTACGATGATGAAAACACGACAGTACGATGATGAAAACGCGATAGTACGATGGTGAAAACGCGATAGTACGATGATGAAAACGCGATAGTACGATGATAAAAACGCGATAGTACGATGATGAAAACACGACAGAACGATGGTGAAAACGCGATAGTACGATGATGAAAACACGACAGTACGATGATGAAAACGCGATAGTACGATGGTGAAAACACGACAGTACGATGATGAAAACGCGAAATCACGAAACTACGATGGTGAAAACGCAACAGTACGATGGTGAAAACACGATAGTTTATCGCGTTTTCATCATCGTAGTATCGTACTGTCGCGTTTTCATCATCGTACTTTCGCGTTTTCATCATCGTGCTTTCGCGTTTTCACCATCGTAGTTTCGTGATTTCGCGTTTTCACCATCGTACTATCGACTATCGCGTTTCAGATCAACACATTCATAGGCAATGGCCCTAACGGCATTCCGTAGTATTTTTCTACATACAGTCGCTCTGCAGGGCTTGAACTGTATGGTCGCTTTTTAAAATCACGCTGAAAAGCTAGTTTTCTGAAAACTGAGTTAACATTAACTCATTACATATTTAAGTAAGATAAAAGTTAACTGGATTTTATTTTAAATGAGGTTTATACCTGTGATAACTACATGTACATATAAAAATCAGGGGTACAAATAGTACACAGAGTTATTGTATCAATGTCCTCCATATCTTAAGATTACATGGTCAATATTTGGGTCAAGCGTTTTACTGTATTAGGCCTACTGGTTTTAAAAAACAGTTATTTTTTTTTTATATAAAACAGAACTACTCAGAATTCATTGTTTAATAACAAAAATGCGTTATATGAAGATTCTAATTATTTTCTAAGTTCACAACTTGGCATCATTTGGCCGAATATAGCGGAATCTAATGGAAAATTTGTTGTTATCTACATATCTTGTAAAATATGATAAAGATTTGAGAAGTATCATGTTGCGATTTCACCAAGATATTATATATGTCACGTTATCGTGTTTAGAAGATTTTGCAAGATAATAAGATATTGATAAATAACGGGTCATTATATAAGTTTTAAGTATGAAAGAATCGCATGCATGTTTTTTTCTTATGTTGTTGTGCAAGTCATATACTGGTATACATGCATATATGTGTGAACTGTCTGACTCTGATAATAAATATACACCCCCTGGTTAAGGGTCACCTGGGTAAAATGACCGAATTAAAGCTTGTTATACAATTATTTTTTGTTTTCATTTTTATATCTTCAGCAGTGTTTTCCTTTCTAGATATTCTAGCACGTTTCTCATAGTATCGAATAAATATATTATTGCATTCATTTAATTTGACTTTGTGGTTTTCGTTGAGAAGTTGTAAATTACTTGCGGAGAAGAAGTCAGTTCAGATGTAGCCGTATGAAATGCAATGTTTGAACAGTTATCAAGTACAAACTAACACCCAAATACCAGAAAACAATATTAGTCTTATATTTTGATCATGTACATGTATTAAATGGTAAATAAGAGAAGTGTTCAAATAAAAATGCATCTTGAACGTTATATTGTTTAATATTGCAAATATGAAAAGGAAATGGAGGTCATCTGGTAGATATACATGTCAGCTTTACATTAAAATCGTGTTTATAGCTCGAAATTCAAATGTGGGTTAATTTCGACTGAAGATGCGGTACATGTTATACCACCAGGTAAATAGCAAGTATCGTTGACATCACATTAGAAGCAGCTCATACCATTCCAAAATGTAATTTGAAATTGAAAATGATCAATGCTAGATGGATTCCCCATTTGCTGACAGATGAGCTTAGTTGTTGCTGTAACAGTATCCAAATTACAATGCAAGGTCTTTTGAAAATGTTGTCATAGGTGACGAAACATGTGTTCGAAAACACCAAAACAAGATATGGCTACATAGTCTGGCAAAAAAACAAAAAACACAAGCATTGCAAACAAGGACCATCTGTATAAAGAACGTTGTATGCCATTTTCTTTACAACTCAGGGTCCCGCCATTCAGGTTGCTATTCCGTAAGGCAAATTTGTTAATGCGAAATTTTGCAGGACAAAAGTTTTTCGAAAACTTAACAAAAACTTTCGAATACGAAGACATGTAACAGGTTTGGTCAATGTTAGATTGGTGCATGAAAACATTACATCGCACTTAGCACCAAGACTTTCTGAAGCAGAAAAAAAGTCGTGGTGCTCGACCAACCTCTGTATTCATCTGACCTTGACCCTTGTGACTTCTTTATCTCTCTAAAACTTTCATGTCAAAGATTTGGTAAGCGCAAACATCCCGGTTCTGTAATATTACAGTGTCTTGAACATTGTATACCTAAAAAGATTATGAAAATGCTATCAAAGATTGGATCCTGAGACTGAAACTTTATACATCTGTTGGGGGTGAATACTTTGAGGGAACAAAATAAAAATTAAGTGTAATACATGAAGAATCAAATTGTATATGTAAAGGTGCATTTATATTTAAACATTCCTCGTATTTACTTCACCATGGGCATAAAAAGACCTTTATAGTTTTATTCAGCAATTCAAATGTTCATTTTCATTTTAAGCGGCAGGAAACTGGAGAAGCTATTCTGTTTGTGCTGACAAAATAGAAAATCATCTTACCATGAACGCTTTAACAAGATAAATAAATTAATCAAAATATTCAGGCAGTTAATAAGTTTATGCGCATAGAAATTTCTGCTGACTTAAAAGAGGTCGTATGTAGTATTATTTGCCCAACATAAACAGGGCTTTTCAAATATTTCTATTTGAAGATACTGATTATGGTCACTTTAAATTATTCACTATACTGTCAATGTTTTTAATAATATGGATTTATAATTCATTGATGGTTAATGTTTATTTCAAAACAGCGTGACAGTTTTAAGATAAAAAATTATTTAATAAAGTTTACAAGACAGTACACTATAATGTTGTTATTTCACACAAAATGTTTCATAAACCATACTTATATAAGTCATAATTACATGTATATAATATATATATAATATATATGCAAGGTATCTTGAGATGATTGCTATCAAAGAAAATGTGATAAAATTTTGAGTACAAAACTAACTGACTTTGGTCGTCCAAACGTGTACCAATATTTGCTGAAACTGACTGATAAGTTTACAGATTAGATTTCTTGATTAAGTAAGAAAAAGGGGAGGACATACTCCATTTTCATTATAGCGGATCCCGACGCGCAGGGATGCTGTATACAAAAATACGGACAAACAAAACGGATAGAATTATATAACGCATGAAGGAATTTGTATTTTTGGCTTTGGCACTGCTAAATACAGGTACTTAATAACTGCATAGTTTGTTATTAATTTATATGTTCTTCCAAGATCTTACAGAAAAAGAAAGAACCATTTACCGAGTACTTTTCAATACGGCGTTAAATGTGTATCCCGTAATTCAATGCAAATTTCAAATGGTTTGATATACATCCGTATGGATAATATTTTTTTAAGTCTTTTGATCAGTTGACATAAAAAAAAAACGATACAGAAATGTAATTTGTAATTTGTAAACTACTTTTCAATTTTATACTTCTAGAATTATTACTGTCATACACTCATCATCTGCTGAATGAGTGTTAGTTTAATTAATACTGAATTTATTGAACGTGTTGAATAAGATTATATTATGCTAGTTCAATTAATTCAGTAATGAATTTACACGAATTTAATATTCTATTTATCACATACCCAAAATAAAGACCGTTTAGTGTGAAAAAAGGAGTAATTTTTCATTGACACGCCTATAGTTTAACGCTAACACTTAACGCGTCTTTACACTATGTTTGTAAAACGCTAATGAATGACGTCACGTCAAAATATATTTACGGCCGTGCAATACCATTATTACGAAGTCGCAAGAGTGGCACGGGTATGTGATAGATAGACATATTGTCTTCCCTGATATATACAAAGAAAAAGCTAAAGACTAGCTTAATATAATATAAGTAGTTAAATCATAATTTATTGCTAATTAATATATAGATCTACATGTAAAATTATACACAAAATCAACAAGTTTTCGAAATAATCAAACCAAAGGGGTTGCAACATTAGCGATAGGTCCTCCCCCATAATCGCTTATTTCCTTACCTTATGTCACAGTTCTTATAAAAACATACTACCAACCCCCTCATTGTGCAGTTAATCAAACATTTTAATGTTAATTATATGTTAATTATAAAGAATATTAGCACAGGCATATTTAGCTCCATGGCAAAAGAAGCCAAAATACGATCATATTGAATTCCCGCTGAAAATCATTGTCGGCAATAATTCACGGATATCACCGAAGTTAAACGATAGCGTGAAAATCGGAGACTAACGGGAAAGCCCGATTATCACCGAAGCGCGCAAAGGATTGTGGGTCTGAATCAGACTCTCGTCTATTTTCGGAGTTTCCTATCCGTTTTGATATTAGGCCAAACTCCTCACAGCGGTTACGTCCACAGACACTTGGGGTTTGGAGCTCAAAACTCCTTTAAAATCCAAATAAAGTGCATATTTGTCAATCCCAGCACATGTACTGTCCTGATCATATATATCAAAAAACTTAATATAAGCCGTTTTGAAAAAATTTCATATTTCAACATTATTACAGTAGCTATAGATATCATTTTTTTTTCAAAACGGCTTATATTAAGTTTTTTTGATATATATGATCAGTACATGTGCTGGGATTGACAAATATGCATTTTATTTGGATTTTAAAGGCGTTTTGAGCTCCAAACCCCAAGTGTCTTTGGTTACGTCACGCTTTGTTACTGTACTGATCAGGGGAAGTAACCGCTTCGAGGAGTTTGTTATTATGCAATTCTTATTTACAGTCGCGACTAAACATTGTCATCTGATGGTCTTAAAAAGTCTAAGATTAGTATTTTAATTTTACTGTGGAATAAATTTTCTTCTTGCTATATTGCAGAAAACAATCATTAATTAATCATGTGGTAGCCGGATATCGTATCGACTAGTATTTGCATAGTTATCTCCCTTTCCTACGGACGCAGCTGACATGTTTACTATTATTCATTTAAAATCATCGGCATTATTCATCATATTTAACTTGCATTTTAATGTTGAAATGGTACAATAACAGTGCAGATATATGGCAATTAAGACTGTTTGATTTCAGGTCTATATTTTTACAAAACAATTTTGGAGTAAATTGTATTATGATTTCGCGATGTAAGGCTATGTTTTGTTGCGTTCATTGAACGCCGCCTTTCATTGTTGAACTTGTTTATCATATTTTAGTGCTTTTCAATTACAGAACAGTACTGTAATATACTTATCAAAATACAACTGATACTGTTAAGATTGGCAGTATATTTGTTTGAGAATTATTAGATATAGATTAAGCATGACATATTATACAAAATCTTACAGGATGCACTAACAAAGTTCTATGCTCCTGCGTTTATGAATAAATTATGCAAATGAGCCAGATTGAGCCGCCATGTTGGGTTTCAGTAAGCGTGTTGGAAATTGCTACCTGTTCATTTTGAAAGCTCGTCCTAACTTACAGTTTCCTTGAATGTAGGAAAACTTGTTTTAGTTTGATTGCATATTGAATGATAGGTATTACAAAATAACACAAAGACAATTTTTCTCAAACAGGTTTATGAATATACTTTACGTTGCAACAGAGTTTACCGTGTGTCCATTCCTTATTTAAGTTGTCTAAGAAGTTAAATCTGTTTGTTTACATGTAAATGTGTACCGTCATTTTGACCGACTGGAATAAAAACTACTATGACGGTGATAATACCGGATATGTAATGAAAATAACGCCGTGAAGTGCAAAGTTTGGGACATTGCAATTAAAATTAACGCTTACTTTGATTCAAACTGTTCCTTGTCAGCAAAATTGAAACCGAAAGTAGTGGTTGTTCTAGAATTTAATCGAATAAAATGGGTGGGATTTAAGCACCGCGCATGCCCTGTGCGAACGTATTGTTTACATCCGGTCGTAGCATAGGTTAAGAGTGCAAACTTTGTTAGTGGGATGTTCATTGACTGATGATAAATTATACTACAATTTCAAAAGATGTGAAATGTAAGCAAACACAGTCATTCTGAATTCAAACACCCATCAAGTTTACAATCTTTGCAGGCCCAACTTGGATTTTATGGGTGTCTCACATCTGGTTAAACTGATACTGTTGTGAACAGGAGTGTGCCAGGCAATATTTTGTTATCAAACAAATGAAATGTAAAAGGTTCAATGATTATTGTATGTTGAATATTAATTACATCAGATAAATTATTGGAAACAACTATGATAGTTCTGTGTAGTCAGGGTCTTTCAAATAGAATGGTCTGGAAAAACGCTCTTAAACACTTCTCGCTACAATTAAACCTGTCTCGGTATAACTCGATATAGTTTGCTATACGCAAATTATGTAAGTGTTCAAGAAAAGGGCGAATATTAAGTACAAGAGCAAAAATGAAAATTTTAACGACATGATGTTATTTAAAAATCTTTAAACTTGTGAAAAAATGATAAATATTTCAGAAAATAATGTTTTTTAAAGCCATATTTGTTGAAAAACATAGACTGCTTGTTCAGAATATTTGCCGATAAACGGCGCCATTTTGAAAATGCATCAAATTAAACATCAAATATTTGCAAATAACATCGTGAAATATTATAATATTTTTACATGATACGATTTAATAACATCTTTTCTCTGTAAAATCAATTTTTATTTTGTCATTGAACAATGCATAAATTTAAAAAAGCTCATGAAACTTGGACCTATTTTCAAATATGAGCAGTAGATTTTTACCTTGACACCAGGAACGAAAAATTCCTAATTTCATTTCAAATCTATAAAATTGTTACTTTTAACGAAAAACTGATAATATAATGTAGTCAGAGTTAGTTTTAGTAATATTTTGATTGATTTAACAAAACATCATCTTATAATTTGATTTTTGAATGGTGATGTGCTATGCCAGGTCACTGTCGGTAGATTACCCAATCACGAGACAGCTTTTTTCGTAAAATTGTTCAGTCCCAAGACCATTCTATTTGAAAGACCCTGGTGTAATCAATCAATATGCAATTGTTTATTCTTTATTCCAGTGACCAATGGCCAGAATCTTAATTGTAACTTTGATAATGACAACACTTGCGCATGGACCAATGTACAAGGCAAAGATAATGCGGACTGGCAAATGAGACAAGGACCAACTCCATCCCAATGGACTGGACCACCAAACGACCATACAACCAACAGTTCAAGTTAGTAATAGAAAAATTGTTTTTTTTTTTGAAATTGGGAAATAGTTTGTCCCTTAAGTCAGGTTTTATCTACATATAAACATCATAATGCTTAGTCTTAAAGCTTAAATAAAAAAGAGACTTATATATATGGTTTTCAACTAATTACAACTACAACAAACAAAATATTTCAACATTATCCTTAGAAAAACTGGGGAAAAAAACCCTCTTCGTTCCCATATCAAATTTTGATTTACAGCAAAGTCTATTTGAAGAGAATATAGTTCTGTCTAATAATCCTTATTAATGGTTAACTAAATTATTCGTTAATTATTTTCACAGCTGGTTACTACATTTACTATGAGGCAAACAATGGTAAATTGAATGATAAGGCACAGTTACAGAGTCCTAGGATATCAGTAACTTCAGGACAAAAATGTCTTAGCTTCTGGTATTACATGTATGGCCCCAGTGTAAATGCCCTAAATGTTTACCTCAAGTCAGGGAATACTTTGGGCACTGCTGTATACCACAGAGAACGGACACAGGGTCAAAAGTGGAACCAGGCTACTGTCACAATTTCCAATAAGAGAAATATACAGGTATTTTTTACTCTGATATGTAGCGTTATTTTCAGCTTTTTTTTATTTTTGACCTGTTCTAGGTATTGGGATTATGAACTAAATTCTAATACTTTCTAATGATGAAAAAGATTCACTGCTGTAAAACTTAAGTACACCAAGTTTAAAATGGGAGTTTCGTTATGACTACAATAAGGTATCTAGGTAAATTTTCCTGCATTTGTTATTGGCCATATAACTTAGTAATTCATATATCTGTGTCTAAAAATATATTTTGGTAGTCTAAATGAATTGATAAAAATTTTTACCATTTTCCAATATCCCAACATTAGTTATTCCAAATTATTTGAAAGGGTGTTTGTAAATTGTTTTAAAGATAATTTCCAATATATATTAACAACATTTTACAGGTTATCATTGAAGCAGTAAGGGGACGTAACTACCTCTCCGATATTGGTGTAGATGATATTCTGTATACAAATGGAGCATGTGGACAGCCAGGTATTCAATGACCTAACAGAGATCTTTAAATTCAGATTAACATTTTAAACTTGTCTGAACAAATTTGTGAAAAAATAAACATAAGTTGTTCCTTTTTATTAAAGATTATTGATATTATTTTTTTTATAACAGACTACTCCAAAATAAAAGAAGGAAAAGTCCATTAAATTAATTCAGCTGGATAACAGTTATGATGTATAAATAATTCCATGTGAATGATGTTATGTGTTCTACTTTTTTCATATTTGTTTTTATACAACATCATTTTAAATGTTTTTGTTTTGTTTTACTTTTTTTATAAAAAGTTTTACAAGTATAATGTTGTAAATTTATCTGATATTAGTGAGTTTATTTATAATTTTTACAACTGTTTATGACCTGTGAAGTCTCAGCAGGGTACTAAAATATTATATTGTTTGCTTGTTTTACAGGAAATGTGACCCCAGCTCCAGGTCTTACAGGAACGATTACCTGTAATTTTGAGACCTCATCACTCTGTGGTTATAAACAGTCCAGAGGTGATGACCAGTTTGACTGGAAGTGGGCCTCAGGAGCATCTCCCACCAAAGGAACTGGACCACCTAATGACCACACACAGCAGTCTGCAGCAGGTATGTTTGTAGCATTCAAATATCTTTATAATATTATAGCAATGTTTCAAAATTTGTTTACATTTTATTAGTTTATACCAATTTATTTTTAGTTCGATTGTGTCAGAAGCTGTAAGCTTATTGAAACACTTTTGAATCAGTTCATAGAGCCAACCAGTACTAAGCAATGATTGTAAAGTTTCTAGCTCATGGAAACAACTCCGCCATGTCGCCACGCATTTTATTAAATAAGAAATAAAATTCATGACCAGAGTTGTGAATATATTCTATTATTTTATACATCTAACTAAAGTTTTTTTCAATATATGTTTTTCTTTTTTCTGCATATTTTATTTTGCATAAGTGTTGGGAATGAATGATTATAATATTATAATACAGAACCTATGTATGATGTGATGAAACTGTATGACATTGTTTTTGATCACAGGACATTACATGTTAATGGAAGCAAATGGACGTAGAAATAACCAGAAATGTAGACTGCTGTCTCCACAGACAGTTAGTAAACAACCTTTATGTCTGCAGTTTTACTACTACATGTATGGTAGAAACGTAAATAAGCTCAGTGTGTATATAAAAACTGGAAACAGAGTTGGTGGAGCATTATGGTCTAGACGCGGTAATCAAGGTGCCTTATGGCAAGTAGGACAGGTCACTTTAAGTCAAGGAAACAGAAATTTCCAGGTAACTTACGATACTAGTTTTATAAAGTAAAAAGAAACACAAAATTTTAATTTTTTTGCAAGACCCAGAGGCTTATCATTAGTGAACATTATACATTTTAAAGAAAACAAAAAAATTTAAAGCATATGATGCATAGGTCATGTGACCACACTATCACAAGGGCTGAGTTGAGGGGCCATTTTATGCTTTAATGTCTACATTAATGTATTATCATTTATGATAACTTCAGCCAGAGTTTGGACCAGTTTTAAGTACATTTATGCTAAACAAATGATTTTGTGACATTTTGGCTCAGAGTTTGTTCATAGCTTTGGCTTTTTAGTGTATCATTTTAACAATAGATGGCCACATGAGCATAAAGACATACTTTAACATCTTGATAGTATATATGCATTTGAAACACTTCATATGTTGTTTTTTTTTAAAATATGCACTATATGCTTATAAAATTGTGTTTTAGGTTGTGTTTGAAGCTATGAGAGGTAATGGTAATTTAGGAGATATTGCTATTGATGATGTTGTCACTCACACTGGTAGATGTCCTGCTCCAGGAACATGTAACTTTGAAAAAGGTCTGTGTACATGGACTAACTCAAAGGGAGATGACTTTGATTGGATACAAAGATCTGGAAGTACAAACACCCAGGGGACTGGTCCAACAGCTGACCATACTCTAGCAACAGCTCAGGGTAACATTTATCTCTATATTTGTTATCTCCTATTTGATATTTAAATTTATTTCATTGGAAAGTGAGAAATATGTAAAGTATTTTCTCTTTCATTAGTTTCAGCAATGATATATAGAAGTAATTCACTTTGAAGCAAGATATATTCAAATGTTTTGTAAAATTCTAACAGCCTTCTTTCAATTTGTGATTATTGAAATAGATTAAAAACTGAATATTAAGAGTAAGTGGTATTCAGTTTGTAATTTTTCTATCTCATTGAAGAATTCTGGTATTTCATTGCTGAAGGTTGCTGACAAAGAGTCTTTCCAAAAAATCTTTAAATTAGTAACTGCGAATACCAATTAGCATTTTTACATTTAATTCTGTTTCAATGTTTTTTCATTCATTTATTCAATTCAAAGCATAGGTACAAATAGCCTTGAGAGTGAAATCATTTCTGCACAAATAGGTGATATTAAATTTTATAATTCATAATTGGATATGACTGATATTTACTTGTAATTGGAGTCATGAGTTATTTATGTCAGCATCCTTGTTAATTATAGCTGTTTACATGCTGTTATATTTAGGGCATTACATATATATTGAGGCAAGCTCACCACGACGACCTAATGACAAAGCTCAGCTGATCAGTCAGACGTTAAGAGGATCAACTCGGCCAACATGTTTTCAGTTCTGGTACAGTATGGTTGGGGCAACAATTGGTTCCCTAAATATCTACATGCAAACAGTTAGCAGTCAGACTACAGTAAATACATTGATGTGGTCTCTATCAGGGAACCAGCAACAACCATGGATACAGGGAAAATTCAGTATCACTAGCAGGACAAGTTACCAGGTATTATCATATTTGTATTTACCATTTACCTGTAGAATTTGTTTAATGGATTTGCGCAGTTTTTAATTTGAATCAGCCCATTTAAAGTTTATGGGATAACAATATCAAAATATAAAAAATAAGCTACAGACTGTACAAATGTGCATGCTGGCCTGGCTCTATAATAGAGGCTAATAACTTTCATGTCCAAGTAGGGTTAGGCATTGAAAGCTACTGCCAAACATGTTGATGTATTTTGTCTAAGATTATATAATCTGTGACACTTAAAGTGAATTTCTCTATGAATATGTTAAGCATTAAGATATAATTGTGTGAGAATTTGGATTCTCCTCTTTTTAAAGAACAATAGGTAATTTCTGATATTTAAAAGAATCATTTTTCAAATAATTACAAAACTTCAGCTGATTACCATCTCACTGTAATTACTGTTACAAAAGCAAAGTTTACTATATGTATATATATATATCCTATGTTTGACTTTATTCCAGCTTATAATTGAAGGTGTTAGAGGAACTAGCATTACAGGAGATATTGCTTTGGATGACTTGAAAACACAAATCAACAGTAAATGTGCAAGTGAGTTGTACATTTGTATTACTTAAATTATTAGCAGTTGTCCAGTGATAGAACATTGGCTTAAAGATTGAGAGGTCCCAGTTCAAGTCTCAATCCTGTCAAGGACACAGTTAGAAAAAAAAATCAGTGAAATTTTCTCAGTTTTTGTTACATTTTTAATGTTTTGATTCTCCCCATAATTATGCACATTTTACTTTATCTGTGTGTATTTTAATCTGTTTTATGTAGTGAATCTATCTTTACCAGGGTTCTTTTGTTACATGTCAGTCTATTTCTGTACCCATGCAAGGGTAAAAATGCAATATCACTGAGGGACATTACAAATTGTTTTATTAATGTAAATTATGCCTACTACTAAACAAGTAAAATCATGTTAGGTATGATAATAATAATTATTCTCTTTACTAGTTCAACCAACGAAAGCACAACCTACATCTACAACAGCTAGTCCTTCAACAACTCCTGCCACATCTGCTAAACCTACAACACCACATGTGAAGTCTAATACAGTAACATGTAACTTTGATTATGATACATGTGGATGGACACAGCTTAAGTCAGATCAATTTGATTGGACAAGACAGAAGGGAGGAACTATTCTACCAGGAACAGGACCATCTGGAGATCATACATCAGGGAGTATGTTCAACATTTTTTATATTTCCACTTCAGATATATGTCTAGATACCAATAATGCCAACATAGGCCATAGTACTTGTATGTTCTGTTAAAGATGCATGATGAACCCTTAATTTTCTAAGTAAACCATAAAGGAATTCAATTACATACAAAATAAGTTATGACACTTTTTATTCGCAGTCTAAAACAATATTGGAAATATAAGTGATGGATGACAGTCATGTGCTCGTTTCTTTAAAAAGGCAGCTGAATGAGTTTTAATTTATGATGGGCTTTGACCTCAACCAAAATCTCTATAGATATTACAGAAATTAATTTTTAGAATACATTTTAATGAATATGCAGAGCAAGATCAAAATTCTGGAGATCCAGGTTTGTTGATGGATATAAACTATTATAAGAAAATGATTTTATATAATTATTGTATATGATAATATTTCAGCTGGCTACTACATGTATACATCAGCCTCTGTAAGGTATGCCAATCAAACAGGACGGATTCAGAGTCCTCAGATCCGACCTGGTGGCAAGTCACAGTGTCTCACGTTCTGGTATCATATGTACGGACCTAACATTGGTGTAATGAACTTATATGTGAAGAAAAGGCCAAATCTTGGGGCACCTTTATGGACAAGATCAGGATCCAAGGGTAATAAATGGCTACAGGCAGTTGTCACTTTACCTAGCAGTGGGGCTTACAGAGTAAGTTTTATGTACTGGAAAGTTAATTTATAATTATTCTATCGTTTAAGAGTATTATAAGAACTTTAGATCCATCTGATGATATACTATACATGCCCTAACATCTGGGAGGTCCAGGACTGAATATAGGGCTATATATGAATCACCCAGGAACCAGTAGAGATATTAATTTGAAACTTGGAACAATAAAGCAATGTCACAATGCAATTATCTATGTCAAGTTTCATAACTCCGATAGTTTGACATAATTATGCCTCTTTAATTTTGAAAATATCCCAAAAGAGTACCAAATTGGCTAAAGCTTTATTAATAATAACAAATGAACTGTCTTCATATTTGGACACAACAATCCTTTAGAATGTTTCCCTTGACTAGACTTACATTGACCTTGAGTCATAAATGACTTTGACCTTCAAATCAAATTATTGTGTTTTGCTAATTTCTTGCTCTTACTGGTGATATACTTGTTAATTATGAATGGATTGTCATTATAATTAGGCAAAATTTCCTTTAGGACAAGTCTTTTATGAAGATCAAACTAACTTTGACCTTGAGTTTTAAATGACTTTGACCTTGAGGGTGAATTAAATGCATTTTCATTTAAATATCATACAAAGTGTCATTGAAAGAAGGCTAAAATTATGACATGTAAGTTGAAGATAATGGCATTAGCTTTGTTGATTTAATGTTTGTATTTTATTGATATTTTCATAAAGACTGTTGGCAGTTATATTTCAGGTGTTGTATTTTACACTGATTTCATATATGTTGATTACTTGCAGCTTGTATTTGAAGCTGTTAATGGTTATGGTTTCCGTGGTGACATGGCTCTTGATGATGTCACTTTACAGTCATGTGCAGGTTTGTTAACCTATATTTAAAATGTTTTATTTTTTAGCTAGATTTTTTTTAAGATTGTTACAGTAATGATGGTGTTGCTGTTCACAGACTTTAACCTTGTTCATAACTTTCTCGGTGTATTGTCTTCATAACTGGCAACAACAAAAAAAAAATCAAATTTCCAGAGAAAAATAATATACATGTGTGCTTTTTTTATATACTTTAAGGTATCACTACGCTTAAACCAGGAGCATCTGTGTCACCAATTTTTCCGCCTTTAAGGTCTAGAAAATGTACATTTGAGCAAGCTAGCATATGTGGCTATACACAAGATAGGACAGACAATTTTGATTGGACTAGAGATGTTTCTGGTACGAATACTGGTAGCACTGGACCAAGTCGTGACCATACATACAATACTCCCCAAGGTAAATAGTTGATCTATAATTTAGATAATTTAATGTTTGTCTTTCAATTTAGTTATGTCAAGTGATTAAAGAAATCTTAGTATGAGTGTTCTATCCACAGTTTTAACTTATCTTTAAACATAACAAGAATATGTATTATTATATTTTCAATGTTGATGAAAGATGTTACGTTTCAGGACACTACATGTTTATTGAGACTTCAGCACCTCGTAAGCAAGGAGATAAAGCAAGACTTATATCCCCAGCATACCAAGATAATACTGATGTATGTGTCCAGTTTTGGTACCATATGTATGGCACTGGAATAGGAACATTCAATGTTTATGCTCAGGTAAACTGGGGGGAAAATAATGAATTACTTTTTAGCTCACCTGAGCATATGCTCAGGGTGAGCTATTAGGATCACTCTTCGTCCGTCGTCCGTTGTCCGTTCACACCATTAAAACGACATCTCCTCTGAAACCATAAGGCATATCATAATGAAACTTCACAGGGATGTTCCTTGTGTCAAGCCTTAACAAAGTTGTTCAAAGAATTCCATTCCATGCAGAACTCTGGTTGCCATGGCAACCAAAAGAAAAAACTTGCAATATCTTCTTTTAAAAAACCCAAAGAGCTAGAGCTTAGATATTTTGCATGAAACATCTTCTAGCAAGTGTCTACCAAGTTTGTTCAAATAAAAGCCCTGGGGTCAAAATTGGCCCCGCCCGAGGGGGTCATATGCATAAAGTAAATACTTAGAAATCTTCTTTTAAAGATCCCAAAGAGCAAGAGCTAAGATATTTAGTATGAAACATCTTCTAATGAGTGTCTACCAAGTTTGTTCAAATAAAAGCCCTGGGGTCAAAATTTGCCCCGCCCCAGGGGGTAATTGATTTACCCTATATGCATATAGTAAAAACTTAAAAAATCTTCTTTTAAAGAACTCAAAGAGGTAGAGCTAAGATATTTAACAAGAAACATGTTCTAATGGGTGTCTACCAAGTTTGTTCAAATAAAGCCCTGGGGTCAATTGGCCCCGCCCCAGGGGTCATGATTTTCCTTATATGTGTATAGCAAAAACTTAAAAATCTTCTTTGAAAAAACCCAAATAGCTAGAGTTTAGATATTAAGCATAAAACATCTTCTGGTATGTGTCTACAAAGTTTGTTCAAATAAAATCCCTGGGGTCAAAACTGGCCCCGCCCTAGGGGTGTCATTGTTTTTAACTGTAAGTGTATAGTGAAAGCTTCAAAAATCTTCTTTTAAATAACCCAATGAACTAGAGCTTAGATGTTAAGCATGAAACATCTTCTTATGGGTGTCTACCAAGTTTATTCAAATAAAAGCCCTTGGGTAAAAATTGGGCCTTGCAGGGTTGGGGTAGGTGGGAGTGGGGGGGGGGGGCAGAGGTCATTGTTTTTCATTATATATATGTAGTAAAAACTTAACATCATGAAACATCTTCTAATGGGGTGTCTTCCAAGTTTGTTCAAATAAAAGCCCTGGGCTTTAAATTGGCCCCACTTTAGGGGCCTTAAAGGTGAGCGACCTCAGGGCCATCATGGCCCTCTTGTTTATGATATGATTTTTTTAGGTTGACTGTTCTTTCTCTTAAAGAAAATTAACAGTGACTTTCATTTCCTTGTAAAACAGTGTTTTCTATTGCAGTATGAATCAAACCTTCCTTTATTTTATATAGAGATGTAGATAACTATGTTATTTATTTTGCAATTTATGAAAGAGTGAAGTAATCCATCATACATGTATATTTTTGTAGAAATACTACTGTGATTTGTTAATTTATTTATGTTTATTCAACATTTTGCCAACTGCCCTGGCTTGTTTATGTGTTTTCACTTTATAAGTTTTAATCTTCAAGATAACTTGCAGGTTGGATCAAATCTTGGACTCCCTGTTTTTACAATGACTGGTAACCAAGGTAACAAATGGATTGTTGGACGTGCATCCATTCCACAGAGCACTGCTTCCCAGGGATACAAAGTACATGTCATTTTTATATTTGATGAAATATTTAATTTTTGTTAAAATTGTAGGTGTGTGCTTGTTTTATTACATTTTTTAATTAGTTTGATTAGTTTTCTCTCCTGATGCTAAAGATGAGAAATTAACCTACAAAACAATATATTTCACTATTTGTGGTAATTGACATAAAAAGGTGCCTGCCTTTAGTATTTTTATCTGGCCAGAATATTTATACACTACTTATTGCTTGTATGGATAGATACACATGTACATTTTCTTGTGGGTAATTGTATTTTTTTTTAAAGTTCAGCCAATATAAGAAAAAGAGAAAGTTAGAATAGCCTTTCTTTTAGATTATAATTGTTGTGTGAAATGAGAATGAAATTGTAATAAATTTGATTTTTTAGGTAGTATTTGAGGGTATTAGAGGAATAAATTACCGTGGTGATATTGCCATTGATGATATCACCTTCACAGCAGGCTCCTGTGGCAACCCAGGTAACATGAAATTCCTTTGGATTAGATTGAAATGAAATTAAAACTAAATAGATGTAACAATGTTAAACATTGAAATGGTGCATGAAAAGTTTAAGACATAAATGAATAAATGTATTTAAATTCCATGTAAAAATATACTGCAAATGTTTTTTTTTTTGTTGTAAAATTTGACTAAATGAAAATGTGCCTTTTATCACTTTATAACTACACTGTTAAGACAAAGGACTATTTTTTGGGGGGTTTACTTTGTTTTGTTTTACGGTAATTTGGTAATTCATGTAGATTTCAAGTGCTTAATGCTTACAAAAGTAACTTTGTTCATTTAAACATGTGTTTTTGTTACTTAAACATTTTCATAATGTTTGAACATTATAAAATTCGGAGGTATATTGCTTTTGTTGTTGGTCTATTTCTTGCTTTTTGTGCTTGTAACCTTGTAAAACTATTACGTTCATTATTGTTACTACTAATTTACAGTTGAATCTTTTCATACTTTTTGAAGAACCTTGCCAACTTTAGTATTTCTGTGTAGTTTTTATTTGGAAATTTTAAAGTTTAATTTTGACAAAAATTTGTGATTTACCCGGTTCTCATAATTTCAAATTTAATTCTTCTAACATTAAATAACCATATTTTTCAAAAGATATCTTGTGAGATTTAAAGTAATATTAAATTTTCAGGAGATTGTGACTTTGACACTGATCTTTGTACATGGCAAAATGTGCAAGGTACCGGGGACAGTTTTGACTGGACCCAACAGTCTGGTTCTACTGCCAGTGGAACAACAGGACCCACTAATGATCATACACAGGGAAACAATAAAGGTAACTTAAACTGAGGATTTAAGATTGAAATTTTTTAAAATTATCTTTAATTTAAGGTTTTCTAGACTTAATACTTGCAGATATTTATGATTTTTAGAACTTTTAAAATCAACCATCAACATTTTGTATTTTTAATCTATACTTTATTTTCTAGATTATTGATAATTTATTTATCTGGTTAAAGATATTTCAAACCTGATTTTTCAGATTTTAGGAATTTAATATTCAAGATTGTAGATGTTATGAACTTCTTATCCAAGATTTGAAATATTTCAGTACTCAATATTTAGATGTGAAAAATAGTTAGTATTCAAGATTTAAACATTCAAACTAAATAATCTAAATAAAGAATTTTAAAAAATAAGTGCAAAAGATTTTAAATATTCCAAATTGAAGTACTCCAAGTCTTAAAATATTCCAAACACATAATTCAAGGTTTAACAAATTTTGAATTAAAAAATAACTCTCATAGTTCAGTTGACAGTGTTGATTTTATTTTCTGAGATATTGATGTTATACTGAAGTGTTTAGAATTGCCCCAAAAAGATTAATATATTTAACCTTGTTTATCAGGAAAGTACATGTTTATTGAGACATCAACACCAAGGCGACCTGGAGATGTAGCCTGGCTGGTCAGTCAAGTATTTCAACCAACTGGAACTGGTCAGTGTGTGTCATTCTGGTATAACATGTATGGTCAGACGATTGACACCCTCAATATATATGTTTTACCATCTGGTAGGTACAATAAGTAATTTAATGTTTTTTACAAATTTATTGCAGATGTTTCTCTTTTATGTGATCTTTTTTTGTTTTTACTTAACAAATATTGTAAGTGTTTAGATTTGAAACTTGAAAGAAAACATTGTGGGCCAATATACATTTCTCTGTGTCCAGTTAATATTGATACATATTGGCTCAATTTGTTATACTTGAATACACATGTTTATGATGCAGTCAATACTTTTTATTTTTGATATGTGATAAACGAAGACATTTAATAAAGTTCCTAGTCTCTGTACTACACTTACATTAGAAGTTTTGAATTTAATGTAACTATGCAGCTGATTATTTAAAGGATAATTCATTTTAGCACGTTAAAATTCGAGTCATGACTGTTGGGACTTTGTGATTCTTCTCGTTTCATAAGAGAGGACTTGTCCAATCACTGAAACATATATTGAAAGTTAGCAAGTACATGTATATTATTTCATGATAAAAATTGTCTTAACATGTGACATACTCTTCATTTACAATTTTCCCCTATAAATGATGTTATTCTATTTTTACTGAAATGTTTACATTTTTTACAGGTTCAGCAAACAACCAAACAATATGGTCATTGAAGGGTAACCAAGGTACACAGTGGTTTCAAGGGCAAGCTCCTATCCCAAGATTAGGAAAGTCTTTCAAGATAGTGTTTGAAGGAGTTAGAGGGAAAACTTACAAGGGGGATATTGCTATTGATGACATATCATTCACAAGTTCAACATGTGGAGGTACATAGATGAGTTTTATCTAAATTAGATAGTGCTATACCCCTTTTAAAGCATTAATAGGGAAATAGGGACTATTGAATAAGTGCATCATTGTGATGTGTTGAATCATTCAAGGGCTTGTGAGAAAATAGCTTTATACAATGAAGAGGTGTTCTGCAATCCACTAGAATATCACACATGTGTAATTTGCCTTGTAAAACAAGCTTTTTTTAAAAAAATGTATAAAACAAAAATTATATCAAAACAAAGTCACCAGAATTTTCAAAAATTTCACAAACTTAGTTATGATGTAATAACTGTGTTCTTTAACCTTAAGCTGATAAATCCACAACAAACAGAGATGTTTTTATTTTTCAGTGCGACCTTCAACCGCTGTTCCTGCTCCCCAGACATCTGTTGCATCAACAGTATCTATGGCAACAGCACCACCTGGACAGGCCAATTGTAACTTTAATTCTGGTCTTTGTGGCTGGACGCAGGATAAAACAGATGATTTTGATTGGACACGTCAGAGGGGAAAAACAAATTCTGCTAATACTGGACCATCTGCAGATCACTCTGGAAGTAAGTAGAATTATTTAGTATTTAGTACTGTTCAGTATTTATTCCTTGATGTTTTAACATCTCTGATAAGCATATTTCAATGCCTCTTTCCAAGACAGAGGGAGTGTACTTATTTGCAAAAGTCTGTCCGGTGGTAAGTGAGAAGGACTGTTGGTTGCTCCATAGATTTTTTTTTGTTTGAAACCAGTAACATTTGACCCACAACACCAGTGGGATATTATTCTTATTAAAGGAGTTACACTGAGGTCAAAATGTCTAAAAAATTGTTTTAAAGTTTGAAATTCCTGCAAGTGAAGCACTTAAAATGGAAGTAAATGCAAAGGATAATAAAGAAATGTATTAATCAGAATTTAATTGAATAACAAGTTTTTGTGTGATTCTGAGCCCAATTTAATGAAAAATATTGCAGTGCTTTTCATTTTTGGGTCATGATTATTCTGAACAAGCAGGGTGAGGGAATGATCTGCAAATTTGCACAAGTTATTAGTTAAGACCTTCATTAGATGCTACACAAATCTCCGAAAATTATTTGCAGTCTTTTTATATCAATAAACCTCATCATAAAGTCCCATCTTATTGATTTTTAAGCTCTAGAGAGAAAAAAACAAGGTCTTTGGAAACTGTTTGCACTCAATAACATTTGCAAACTCATGACAAAGGACATTTTTTTGAGGGCTTGGTATTTCAAAGGTCAAGGTCACAGTCATATTGAGCGTGAAAACCATTCAAATTTCATGAACTTTGTTATCATTTCCACAGGGCATTCAAATTTCATATAGTGATTGTCTTCATTGAGTTGTTACAAGTTTATTTATTTGCATCAAAGTTGAAGAAGACCCCTAATGTTTTTGGGCTTATAATAGGAAAATATGCCTGTTTAAGCAAAAAAACAATTAAATTCAATTACATGTAAAATTTTGTAATTATTGCTTACAATTTTTTAATTTCCGCTGTCTAATAGATGTCTGATATATTTTTTATGTTATTGAGGATGAGTGGTGCATGAGCATAGTCCGGGATGGCAGGTTTTAATCAACAAGAAGGAGTTTGACATTTAAATATGAAACAGAAAAGTTGTCTTTTTAATCAAGTTTCCCAACACTGATTCACTTTATCAGTGTTCAATGTAGAACAAATTTCCAGAGGGCCCTTCAGGCCCATAAACTTTTCAAAAGAGGGTCATTTGAGAAAAAAGGGGGCCAGCACTTAAAATGAACATCAAATTCAAATAAGGTATTGTATCTTTTTAAGTTACTTGTTCACGTACCATATATAGACCAAAACGGTTGCAAAATTCCATAACAATCAACTCAACTAAAAAAAAAAAGACATTATTTGGACCTTTTTCGAGAGTTCTGTTAGCGTTGATGCAGGCTCAATTTTTAGAACTGATTGGTAAAGAAACAATGACATAATGTTCAAAGAAACATATAAGTCTTATTTAAATGTTACCAGGGATATTTGATAACAATGTTCAGTTTTTAGCTCGACTATACGAAGTATATGGAGAGCTGTCCTACTCGCCCCGGCGTCGGCGTCCGCATTTTAGATTAAAGTTTTGGTGCAGTAAAATATTTTTCACTATAACTTTGTCATTTCTTAAGGTATCAACTTCAAACTTCAAATATATGTTCCTTATCATCAACCACATCTTATGTGACAAGGTTCATAACTCTAGCACCAATATTTTCAGATTTATCTCCCCTTGAACTTAGAATTTTCCTTAAAAAATACTATTTTTTACTGTTACTTCTTTATTTCTTAAGGAATCAACCTCATACTTCTAATTTATGTACCTTATCATCATCCCCATCTTATGTGACAAGGTTCATAACTCTAGCACCAATATTTACAGATTTATCTCCCCTTGAACTTAGAATTTTCCTCAAAAAATACTATTTCTTACTGTTTCTTCTTTATTTCTTAAGGGATCAACCTCATACTTCAAATATATTTACGTTATCATTATCCCCATCTTATGTGACAAGGTTCATAACTCTAGCACCAATATTTTTAGATTTAGCTCCCTTTGAACTTAGAATTTTCCATAAAAATATTATTTTTTACTGTTACTTATTTATTTCTAAAGGGATCAACTTCATACTTCAAATATATTTACGTTATCACCATCCACATCTTATGTGACAAGGTTCATAACTCTAGCACCAATATTGCAAGATTTATCTCTCCATAAACTTAGATTTTTTTACTAGAAAAATGTTATTTTTTATTATAACTTTTATTATTTTTAAAAGGTAAATACCTCAAACTTCAAATACTTATTCCTTATCATCAATTACATTTTATTTGACAACTCTTGAAGCAATATTTACAGATTTATCTGTCTTTGAACTTAGGATTTTCTTTAAGAAATATAATAACTTCTTTACTTTTTAAGATATCTACTTCAAACTTCAAATATATATTTTTTATCATTACACAAATGTTGTGTGACAAGGTCCATAACTCTAGCATGACTATTTCTAGAATTATTCCCCTTGATCTTGGAATTAATGTTAACAAATGTTATTTTTTTTTTCTATAACTTAATACATAATTATACATAATGGATTTTTCTTTCATAGTTTTGTACTCCTTACTGCGTCAAGTATTTTATTAGTCGAGCTTCGCTGTCTCCTGTGACAGCTCTTGTTTAATCAGCGCCCGATATATAAAGGAAAATCATATTTTGCAATAAGCTTATAAACTTACAATAGTCACTAAAAACATTTACCCTTCTCAATATATCCAAGCTAAAAACAAAGTGTCAACAGGTGCTAAGACAATGTATATTGAAATACCGGTACCTTTGATCTTGTGTCAGGACAGCAGTTCTTACGTCATGCTTAAGATGTCTGTATTGATTAATGATATGCACAATGTTTTAGCGCCGACCAGCCATTTAAGACCAATCAAAGTTTATTTACTCAATTGTCAGACACTCCCTAGCCAATCGTGTTTGATTAGCTCTATCTTTAAGACTTTTTTAATTGGTTGAAGGCGTGTTCGTAATAATTTATGCACACCTCTATAATTAACTCACACTTTTTCACAAATATATAGTTTTTTTTCCTCCGGAAAGCTATTGCATATTAATTTGTTTTGACACGCACGTGACGATTTGTTTTGTTTATAAAAACTGTGACTCAAAAGTAAGTTTTAGGTACGGTACGAAGAACAGGTCTGCATAGTATTTACAGACCCGGACCGAGAGAGCGTTGCGATCAAGGTTTTAAAAGGGTTACCGAGTGCGGTAACTTTCTTACCAACATGCTCTTGTTTTTCTATACAAACTTCAGTTTTGAATTCAATATTTATTAATATTATTCACAAGAAACTTTTTATGTACTTAATCAGGTTTAAGATCATTAATGGCATTTTCTATGAGTGCGCCCGTCGGGCCCATAGTTGAATTTGTTTTGCGCCGGCGGTCTTTTCAGGGGGTCAATGGCGCAATGGCCTGCTCTAGATTGAACACTGCTTTATTCAATGCAGATAATATGTTCTACATAAAGTTCCCTATGTTATTAGTTTTCTTTCTGTTACTTTAGTTTATTTGTTGATTTTAGGTGGATACTACGTGTATATAGAGACAAGTGGTGTGGCATTAGGAAAGAAAGCTCGCCTCATCAGTCCACAGATACCACCAAATCAACAAGGCCAGAAATGTTTCACATTCTGGTATCACATGTATGGTCAGAATGTTGACCGGCTCAATGTGTATATCCAGTTTGGGCTCTCACTACCTTCCTCTGCTACCTTGACAAAACAAGGCACACAGGGGAACCAGTGGAAGAAAGCTAGCCTATCATTCTCTGCTTCAAAACCATTCAATGTATGTTACATGATTGAAAAGTGATAGATTTATATTATCTTTCATATATTGCAGATTGGATTAGAATATAAGTCCGGAGGGTACCCACCCTTTGAGTGCGGGGTTGCTGCTTATGGGTAGTACCTGAGGGACAGGATATTCCGATCTGAATCGCAAACACTTACCTTTTCTTGCATATTCCATCATATTTTAAATTCTTTACCTCATTGAAATAATTTTTTTGTCATTTCATCTAAAACTATTTTCTCACAATGGCATATGAATTAATAATGGCAAAATGATGTCATCCTTACCATGAAGTTTCACTTCAAAATGAAGTCATTATAATGGGGTTTGTTCATAAAATGCACTTTAATGACGTTATTTATAGCACGTGACTCATCTGGCACACACCGGCCATCCCGGATAAAATTTCTGGCAAGGGTATAACTAACAGAAACATGAGTCTAATATGCAAAAAATTGTTATATAAGTCAATAATTGTAATTACTATACAGAATCAATGATTGAAATACAAAAAGACCTTCAAAGAAGAAAAAGTGAATTCACAAGGGCATAGCATAACATGATAATAGTATCTTGTCTAGAATTGATCTGACTAGAGATGGAAACAAAAATTAAAAATTTTGATTTATAATGTGAAAAATTTGCAAAATGTTATTCTATTTACTTTTAGATTGTCCTAGAAGGTAGACGAGGCAATGGTTACCGTGGTGATATAGCTGTTGATGATGTGTCAGTGGGAGATGGACCATGTTCAGGTTAGATATTATTTAACGCTGACTGTGATAATTATATAAGGCAGCTCACAAAACTCCTTGGTTAAGATTATTAGTCAATAAGTGTGTAATAAAGACCAAGTTCAAATAGACTAACTAACAGAAAACTAGCTTTTTAGGAGTCACAAATTCATTAGCCAATTGATACCACTATAGTGCATGATTGCATTTTTCTTATGGATATTATGAGAAAAAAATATCACCCATTTTTACAGAGTGATTTTTTAACATATTTAACTGTATTAACTTATTAACATGACAAGTTTTTTGATACCAAATGTAAGACATTTCTGCATATTTGATGAAAAATGCCATACTGAAATTACAAATTAATTTTACATTAAGGCCAAGGTAAAAGCAAATCAATTTTACAAGTCCAAGGTAAATATAAATTTAATGAAAAATTAAACTCAACATTAAATCCTGTAGGTGATCCTAACATGAGACAGTGTGATTTTGAGAATTCGACAATCTGTGGATTTACTCAGGCACATGGAGGAGCAGACAAGTTTGATTGGACTAGAGATAATAGAGGAACATCGTCAACTCGAACTGGTCCTACTGTTGATCATACACTGGGAACACAAAATGGTTAGTTTAATAAAACAGAGAAACAAAGAATCCCTAAAGAATGCACAAAATGACAAAATTGAAAATGTTGCAGGCTCGGTTTGATTGAGCCAAGCGACATGCTCATGGACAGTAATGAAAAGTGCTATATTCTACTGTATGCTTTCTTAACCATTTACCTCTGTGGGTTATAAAATTACAAGGGCCATGAAATTTGTGCATTTGGATATTACTATTGTAGCATATGTAATGAAGATATTTTTCTTTACCATTGTACTACGATATGTTAATACAGAAGGGTCATATGTTCTGCCTGTAATGCTTAAAAAAGATTGCAGTACAATCATGAAAAGTGTTTATGTTCTAATTTAAAAAACAAATGCTGTAAGAATGTGATAATACTACTGAGAGCTCATCGGTAAATGTTGCTGAATGATTTAATACATTTATTAAATTATAGGCGACTAAATATTAAGACATTGTCATCAGCAATTGATACAGAAGATGAAATATGATTTCATCTGACATGTTCGTGTTTGTGTACTTATTTGAAGTTTATCATAAATATAATATAAAAACTATCAACTTTATGCAAAATTGAGGCATGTCTATACTTTTTATGTTTACAATTTTTGATTGCTTTATTCTTTAATTTGTGTATATTTTAGGACATTACATGTATATAGAGGCATCAGCACCTAGAAGGCGAGGTGATAATGCCCGTCTCCTGAGTCCCATATATAACAAATCAACCCAACCATCATGTCTTAAGTTCTGGTATAATATGTATGGAAGTAGTATGGGAACACTGAATGTGTATACAGTGTTAGGAGGTGTTTATAGGAAGGTGTGGTCCAGAAGTGGTGAGTCTTTTGTTTTATCTTCCAAATAGGGAACAGTTATCATTCAATTTGCAAAGATCTTAGAAAGATTGTTGTTAATCAAATTGAGTGAAGGAGGATTTGTTTTGAGAGGGTTGATTTCATGTTCTTACTTTCAGCTATTCAAAAACTAGATAAGTTGTGTCAGATTTCTTATCTATTTTAATTCTTGTTGCTTTTGTTTTTATTAACTGTACTAAACCAGTTATATATTACTTTTTGACAATACTTATTTTTTAATTCAGGCAATCAGGGTAAACAGTGGAATGTGGCATCTGTAACAGTACCGGCCAGTAGTAGAACATGGCAGATTGTGTTTGAAGGTATTGTAGGAACCGGTATCCAAGGTGATGCTGCCATTGATGACTACAGTATCACAGCTGGACCTTGCTCACCAATTAATGGTATGAACAAACATCTTCAAATCTTCTTTTTTGTCTGAGCCTCTTTATCCAAAAATCAAAAAGGATTCTTTTTAGAAAAGAAATGAGCCTCGTCACGACAAAACAAACATAATGGGTTTGCGACCAGCATGGATCCAGACCAGCCTGCGCATCTGCACAGTCTGATCAGGATCCATGCTGTTTGCTTACAAACTCAGGTATAACAAGTAGAGAAACTGATAGCGAACAGCATGGATCCTGATCAGACTGCACAGGCTGGTCTGGATCCATGCTGGTCGCAAACCCATTATGTTGGTTTTGTCATGGTGCGGCTCAAATTATTTACAAGAAATATAACCATCAGACTCAACTAAGTTTGTTTGCAAGGCATAATTTAATTTAGATTGACATTGAAGGGCTTAAATTGGGTTGTTTAACTGAAAATCAGCAGGACTTCATTAGACTGAGGTCCTTTAATTAAATCAATGCTCAGGTTGGAAATATTCACCGTATCATCATTATAAATATCAATTAAAACTTTTTAAAAGAATATTATATTGCATAGTATATGTGACATTGAACAAAATATATAACATTATGCTAAGAAAAATATTGTTAGTGCAAAAAGCATGTTCTACAAGTAAAAAGATTTGAAATTAATGTACATTTTGGTCATATTTTGCAAGGCACAAAGTTATGTAACTTTGATATGAAGAACCTGTGTACATGGACAAATGACCATGGTCATGATAAATTTGATTGGCAGTTAAGACAAGGGTCAACACCTAGTGGACAAACTGGACCTACTAATGATCATACACTTGGGAATGCTCAAGGTAGGCATTCATATTTGTGCTATTTCTAATACTTGTAATTGAACAGTAAATCCTTATGTATTGTTAATCCTTTGTTCAGACAGGATGAATTAGATCATATTTTTGCAGGGACAGAGTCATGAGCATTATGAGTGACATGTATTTTTATAAAACTCTAGAAAATGATCATTATGAATGTTAATCAAATAAAAAATTGGTCTTCAATGGAAGTCAAGTGTCATATTATCAAACTTAAATTTTCAAGTTTATGTAGTTTTAGAGCACCAAGCAACAAAATTTACCTTAAAGTTGTCCAATATCATTTAATTTAAACATGATAATTGTTGTCTTATTTGTTTTCTTAATTCAAAAGAAAGAGTTATTGACTTTAAACTAGAAATCTGTATGAAGTGGATATCTGTAATATCTTTATTGTGTAAATGTGTTTATCAGTATTTCATGTACCGTGTCATTTTTCAAGGTTCCTACATCTTTCTTGAGGCCTCCAATCCAAGGATACAAGGAGACAGGGCGTGGCTTGTCAGTGAGAGTTTCTCCACATCGTCTCTTAACTGTTTATCATTCTGGTACAGTATGAATGGTAATGGAATTGGTGCACTAAGAGTGTGGGTGTGGGCACAGAATGGAGCTCAAACACCAATCTGGGAGCTGAAAGGAAGACAAGGTACTTCCTGGTTACAGGGAAGAGTGAAAATACCAGCACAAACAATGCAATACAAGGTAATTATGACAGCAAGTAAATGATATTGTGCAGTACAGTATAATGTAACACACATGTAATTATAAAATTAATTTATATCATTTTTTTAAACAATAAAAAAGACCCAACATTTTGAAAATGTTGACAAGTAGCTGTTAAATACCACTATATGTTTTTTACTGTTTTTGTTATTGTTGTTTTTTTTATACTTTGCCAGTTTTTCAAGTTCAAGGTTGTGTATGAAATAAATTTTATCATACAGATACTCACTTTTTTGACATAAATGAGCAAATGAAACCCTATGTATTTTCCCATTAAAAAAATAGAAATGTTATGTAATGTTTGCCTACCATTATTTCTGTCACAGATAATAATGGAGGGTACAAGAGGCACTAGCTTTGCTGGAGATATTGCACTGGATGATATCAGTTTTAGCGCCACATCATCATGCACAAGTAGGTATCATTTTTTGCAATGATATATAATTATTAGATGATTAGTTATGTTCATAGACTTTGATAGCTTCATGCAATAACTGTTGGCCAATGGTCACCAGAACCATCTTTCTTCTGTTGCTTTTTGGCAATTTAGTATTTTGTAGGGAAGTCAATTACATTTTCCTACTTTCATGACAAATTATTTAGCGCTAATTTCTTTAGTTAACAAGCATCTAGCATGCTCTAAAACCATTATTTAAACATTATAAAATTCTTGTTTGCCCTTTCTAAAGAAGTAAAAATTTATTCATTTCTGAGGCATTATGTGTCCACATATTAATTACCAAATAAGTACAGTCAGGTATTACCTAAAATGTCAGTGTTATGTAAGCATTTGATCCTTTTATCATATCAAATATTTGAGCCACGTCACGACAAAACCAACATAATGGGTTTGCGACCAGCATGGATCCAGACCAGCCTGCGCATCCGCACAGTCTGATCAGGATCCATGCTGTTCGCTTACAAACCCTATAAGAAGTAGAGAAACTGATAGGGAACAGCATGGATCCTGATCAGACTGCGCGGATGCGCATGCTGGTCTGGATCCATGCTGGTCGCAAACCCATTATGTTGGTTTTTTGTGACGCGGCTCATTTTGGTCCAGGATATGAACAAGGGAAACTTAAGGTGCCTTATATTTATCATTATTCCTATTCATTAAATATTTGCATTTTTGTAGGAACACCTCAAAATTCCCAGCCATCAGTTCCTGCAGTCACCCCTACAGGAGCCTCAACCACAGGTACAAGAGGTACAACACCTAAACCTACCAGTGCCACAACAAGGAGGTCTACTGCTAAACCAACAGGTAGTGCTTTTAATTAAGATGGTACATCCTTTTATTTGTAAAATCACAAGTATTTTACATTCATCTAACAATATCTAACCATTGCAAAATATGTTAAATCTCTTGCTAAGAACAAAATGATTTGCTTTTTCCCTTAAGTTTGTTTTTGTTCTTTGATTATGATTACATAGTCGGTTTTATTATCTTATTAATTAAAGCTGAGTTTTTGGAAACATATAGTAAACAAAAAGAAGAAATGATACTATTGCCAAATCTGTCACCAAAAGTATGACATGACAATAAATATGTCACTTATCAATAAGTTTCACAGTATAGAATTGTTCACTTATTGTTCATGGGAAGAGTATATGTGTAAGAGTAGAACACTCAATTGGTAGAGCTAAAGAATGGTATGCAGAGAGTTTTGTTAGTTTGCAGATTTTTCCCGATCTTTAACATATAACATAGAAAATTTACAAATACTGAGATTTCATTTTTAAAAACTTGAAAAATCCCAACCAAACCATGAATGGAATCGAAATAAACCAATGTTTGTCTGACAGGTGGAAATAGCTATGTATGTGACTTCTCGTATGACACTTGTGGTTGGACACAGGATAAAACAGACCAATTTGATTGGTCAAGACACAAGGGTCGTACTTCCTCAGCTGGAACAGGACCATCTGGTGACCACACAACGGGATGTGAGTAAAATGATATCTTATTTTCTGCATGTTGTCATTTATATCTCACACATATGTGCTGAAGTTATTTCTTTCTGCATATTTTGTCTATGAAGTTAAAGTTGATCCATTTTGAAGCAGGGTCAAAATTTTGTGTTAGAATTGGCAGAATACTTGACTCACTTACAAAATGTTGTCATATGCAGGTTACTGTATGTAAATGAACCATATTTAGGGTGTAAAATAGACATAACTTTACTTATATTTCAAGTAAAATAAAGATACAATAAATGTACACAATGTTTTTAGCTCACCTGTCACAAAGTGACAGGGTGAGCTTTTGTGATCGCTTTTCGTCCGGCGTCCGGCCGTCCGTCGTCCGTCCGGCGTCCGTCCGTAAACTTTTACTTTAAATGACATCTCCTCATAAACCACTAAGCCAATTTCATCCAAACTTCACAGGAATGTTCCTTTGGTGGTCACCTTTAAAAATTGTTCAAAGAATTTAATTCCATGCAGAACTCTGGTTGCCATGGCAACAAAAAGAAAAAACTTTAAATATCTTCTTTTAAAAAACCAAAAGAGCTAGAGCTTAGATATTTGGCATGAAACATCTTCTAGTGAGTGTCTACCAAGTTTGTTCAAATAAAAGCCCTGGGGTCAAAATTGGCCCCGCCCCAGGGGGTCATTGATTTTCCCTATATGCATATAGTAAAAACTTAAAAAATTCTTCTTTTAAAGAACCCATAGAGCTAGAGCTAAGATATTTAGCATGAAACATCTTCTAATGGGTGTCTACCAAGTTTGTTCAAATAAAAGCCTTGGGGTCAAAATTGGCCCCAGCCCAGGGGGTCAATGATTTCCCCTATATGCATATAGTAAAAACTTAAAAAATCTTCTTTTAAAGAACCCAAAGAGCTAGAGCTAAGATATTTAGCATGAAACATGTTCTAATGGGTGTCTACAAAGTTTGTTCAAATAAAAGCTCTGTGGTCAAAATTGGCCCCGCCCCGGGGGTCATTGATTTTCCTTATATGTGTATAGCAAAAACTTAAAAAATCTTCTTTGAAAAAACCCAAATAGCTAGAGTTTAGATATTAAGCATGAAACATTTTCTAGTGAGTGTCTACCAAGTTTGTTCAAATAAAGGCCCTGGGGTCAAAATTGGCCCCGCCCCAGGGGGTCATTGATTTACCCTATATGCATATAGTAAAAACTTAAAAATTCTTCTTTTAAAGAACCCAAAGAGCTAGAGCTAAGATATTTAGCATGAAACATGTTCTAATGGGTGTCTACAAAGTTTGTTCAAATAAAAGCCCTGGGGTCAAAATTGGCCCCGCCCCGGGGGTCATTGATTTTCCTTATATGTGTATGGCAAAAACTTAAAAATTTCTTTGAAAAAACCCAAATAGCTAGAGTTTAGATATTAAGCATGAAACATCTTCTAGTAAGTGTCTACAAAGTTTGTTCAAATAAAAGCCCTGGGGTTAAAACTGGCCCCGCCCCAGAGGTGTCATTGTTTTTAGCTATATGTGTATAGTAAAAACTTAAAAAATCTTCTTTTAAAAAACCCAATGAGCTAGAGGTTAGATTTTAAGCAGGAAACATCTTTTTGTTGGTGTCTACCTAGTTTGTCCAAATAAAAGCCCTTGGGTTTAAATTGGCCCTGCCAAGGGGGGGGGGAAGTCATTGTTTTTCATTATATGTCTGTAGTAAAAACTTAACATCATGAAACATCTTCTAATGTGTGTCTTCCAAGTTTGCTCAAATAAAAGCCCTGCGGTTTAAACTGGCCCCGCTCCGGGGGCCTATATACAGGTGAGCGACCTCAGGGCCATCATGGCCCTCTTGTTTGTTCTTGATTTTGAAAGCCAAACTGTAGTCTGAGAATAAACAGAAATAATAATTTAAATACAACACTCTTTGTTTAAAGTAATCTAAATTTATTGTTCATTGTTTATCCAGCTTAGGATGGAAGTTTGTGTATTTAGTATATGGTTTATGTGCCTAATATAATGCAAAGTTAACTAAATAAAAGACAACATATGATCCTAGCAGAGTTGATAGCACTTAAAACCACCTTTATTTGACTAAATTAATATTATGGTTTATCTTGTTATAGCTGGATACTATGTATATATTGAGACATCTGCACCAAGGAAGCTTGGAGACAAGGCTCGATTGATTGGTCCCTCCCTACAGCTGCAAGCAGGGCAGTCCAAATGTTTCTCATTCTGGTATAATATGCTGGGTAGTAATGTAAAAGCGCTTAACATTTATGCAAAACATGGCACAAGTCTTGGTTCCCCTGTGTGGACAAAGGCTGGTACCCAGGGACCAAACTGGAAATTAGGTCAAGTCTCTGTTACAGGACCAGGACCTATCCAGGTAAATTTTTAAATTTATACCCCTGCACAACAAAGTTGTAAGGGGAGTATACTGGAATCAGCTTGTCCGGCCGTCACCCCATCTGGCCGCACTATGGAATAGGGATAGGGGGCCATCTAAATGTAAACAGAACAAAAGAGAACAAGAGAAAAAGAGATCATTCTGTAACAATAGAGTAAGGGGCCGTTGGCCCTCTATTAAACAATAGAAAATAACAAAAGAAACAGAAAAACAAAACATGACAGTGGCAGTTCTAGTTTAATCTAAGTCATTTTGTCTGTTCAGTTTATCATACAGATGGGTTTATACTAAAATGTCCTGTAAACAGAACTGTATCAGTGTAATATTTTAATTATTTTACTTTTGCAGGTATACTTGTATATTGCATATTTAAACTTTGTTATCTTGAAAATTTACTGACATGAAAACATAACCAAATATTATCTGTGTCATTATAGCCTTAATACCAGCATTATGACTGTAAATCTTGTTGTTTTTATTTTATAGAAATTTTTAAAAGTATATCTTGTACAAAAGAATTATATATATTTAATTATAATCTTCCATCAACATGACAATAATCAGAAAGAAGAAAAATGTTTTTTTTTTTCAATTTTAAATATCAATCTTCTCTTTTACAAAATTATTTTACCAATCATGTGTGCATAACAGAGTTGTCATTGTTCTGCTATGACTTATGCACTGTTCATTACTAGTTTGATTTAAAAATATGATTAAATTAATTTATGAAATACAAAAACTGATAAAGCATCAGTGAAGAGATCAGGATTATGATGGCATAAGTCTGCAGTCATTGCCATTTCCTGCTGATGAGTTGACTCATTGATATATTGATAGTACATGTATATCGTTTGATAATATTACAGATTGTAATTGAGGGTGTACGAGGTAGCAGTATCCGTGGTGATATATCCATTGATGATACAAACGTAACAGCTGGAATATGCCCTGGTAAAACTTAGTTTAGTCTGGACAATTTTCTGAATAACTTATCTTTTACCACATTTAATTTTTAACACTGTAGCTTTAGGAGTATTTTCGACTTACAATTTTAATATTTTTAAAGAGAAGGAAAATCTGTTAACATTTGTAGGGAAGAATAATTATATTCCTTTCAGTTAGTTATGAGTAGAATTCACAGCAATATAGCAAAGTTATAAATATATATTATTCTTAAAAGTCAGACTGTTTTTTTTTTCATTTTGATAGAAATTTCATCAGACATGAAGTTGGGGATGGGCCAGATGAGTCACATGCTCTAAAATGACTGCTTGCTAGCAGATATATCATTTATACTTTGCAGTAGAATGATACATGGATTATTCCTGTATATGTTTATATGAAAAATAATGTCAAATTCATTTAGTAAAATATTTGAATTTGTTATTTGCTTTGTTTACACAGGTGCACCAACTCCTACAGGTCCTCCTATAGTGCAAGCTTTGCCATGTAACTTTGAGAACAGCAATAACTGCGGCTATACTAATTCACAGGGAGATGATTTTGATTGGACAAGAAATTCTGGTACCACAGGTTCTGCAGGCACTGGACCATTTGCAGATCATACATTGGGAACCAAATCTGGTAATGTTAATACAACTAAAGTTTTAAAGAAAACCTGGAATTTTTCAGAAGTATTAGTGTGTTAATGGTATTTATAATTGGGACATTTTGTATCTTACTTTAGCCTACAAATTAATGTAGTTGGTAACACTTTTTTGGGACAGTTGTCCACATATTGGCAACTATGAAAATACACATTAAAAGGAAAAAAAATAGATGGATGAATTAACTAAGTAATGAAAGAATGAAATAATTTATCACCAGGTATCAAATATTTATTTCTAAAAACATTTAAAGAAGATAGACATTAGTTATAATTACTTATATAGATCAAAATGTTAGAATGTTCTGAAGATGGTTATATTTGCAAGAGAATTACAATTGGAGATAATTATACCTATTGATGATGTGTACTGAACAAAAAATAAAAAAACTATTAACAAAGACAGTTTATTATTTTCCTGTTGATTTATTTTTTCTTTTATTTTCAAAAATATTACAATTGAAAGCAGATATGAAAGATAATTTTATTCTGTTGAATCTTATTTTCAAATGAACGATTTTTTAAAATCTTTTTAGGTCACTACTTTTACATTGAAACATCAAGACCAAGGACTCAAGGGCAAAAAGCTCGGCTGGTATCAAAATCAGTGTCTTTAACTAGTTCAGTGTGTGTATCATTTTATTACCATATGTATGGTAATAATATAGGAGCCCTCAATGTGTATGTGACCAGCTCTGGTTCATCTAATAGTGTACCAGTCTGGTCTAGGAAAGGAAACCAGCAAAACAGATGGTCTGTGGCACAATTCACAATGAATCCTGGACAAAATCAACAGGTGCTGTTAATATATCACATTGTTTATTTCATTTTCAGATTAAGAATATTTAAATTCAGAGAAAATCAAATCTAAGTTTAGAAAAAAAAGATCAATCATTACTTTTTTCACTGTTGATTTAAAACTGGGGTTTTGTTAGTATAAGAATTTCATTGTTTTCATCCTATTACAGCCATGTGGTATATTGAGTAGGAAATCTTTTATTTAGATCTGAGAAATTGGTACATTAACCTTTCAGTTTATATGAGGAATAAAACTTTCATACATGTAATTATTTCAGTTAATGTTTGAAGGAGTAGTTGGTAATGGTTACCAAGGTGATATAGCTATTGATGATGTATCAGTGAAAGCAGGTCCATGCAGTGGACAAGGTGAGATCTTTATAGTAGAAAATCAACCTTACGGTCTCATAGGCTATGGTATAAGGCCTGTAGGCCTAGACGGCCTAGACTTTTTAGTCCTTATCCTGGATGTAGCAATTGTTTTATTCTGTAATGATCTAATTTATAATATTATATCTAATGTCATTTGCCATTTTAAAACTATTGTTAATGAATTGTGTAGACAACTTGGCAATTACGTGAGGAGAAACAGGTTTGTTCTGTTACAAAATCCAGGAAGACTTGTTTAAGGTTACTCCCTGCATGTTTAAAATGTTTTAATCTTTATGTAGTTCAAAGGCAAAACAGCTTTGTAAATTTTCTTTTCTTTTTAGCTCATCTTTTTTGAAAAAAAAAGTCTAGCTATTACGATGACTTCTATCAATGTAGTCAATTTATATATAATTCAAACATTTTAAAAGTTATCAACATGAAACTTGGAATACTTGTTTATCATGACAAGGTGCAGTTGTAAGACAAGATTCATAATTCTGAAAGCTATAATTTCAGATGTATTGCCCCCTTTTTAACTTTTTGTCAAAATTGGTTGCACTTAACAGATGAGCAGTGCTTGCAGTGCTCTTGATTTTTAATGATTAAATACACAAGAAAAGTTATAATTTTAACAAGGCACATATTGTATCAACTAAATACCCAATTTTTTTTCTTTTCTCATCAATAATAAAGTTAGTCATTTTTTTACATTAAAGGTGCATGCAGCTTTGATCAAGGCAGCCTTTGTACTTGGTCAAATGTTAAAGTGGTAGACACTTTTGATTGGACGTTTCAAAAACAAGGAACACCATCAGCTGGGACAGGACCAACTTCTGATCATACACAGGGTAATGGAAAAGGTGAGACTATCTGTTATGTTGTACATGCTTTATTCATTAGAAAGTATAATGTAGGGATATAAATTCCATGATGATTAAGTGATATATTGGTTGCATTTCATTGTCAAAAGGACAATTGTCAGTTGTTTATCATGTTCAGTATACCAGGTAAAATAGATGAAGTGGCTTACCTTCTCAAATATCCTACAGTTTTACATACACTATAAAGATTTTCATTTGAAAATGTATCAGTTTTTTATGCTGCATGCCTCCAGATGAGCCAAACTATTTCAAACTATTATAGGAAATTAAACTTAAGAAAAATGTACTAAGATTTTAAGAAAAGTCAATATATTCACAATTCAAAATTTTATAACCATGTAATATACAATTAATGACTGATTTTGCAGCATATATCATCATATTTAGTCATGCAGTGACAGCTTTCTTTTTTGCATATTCTGGGCTATTTTTTTGTAAAGTTAAAGTACCGTTTGCAATGTGTAAATTACTTTCTTTTTTCACAAATTTTACCCTTAATACATTTTCATTTTTTTCATGAAACTCGGCATGAATCCAAATGCATACTACTTTAAGATTTTTCATTACTAGGCTAGAATGGCCAAAATAGGAATGTGGTCATAATTATAATAAACAGTAGAAAACTAGATTCTTGAAAAGTAACTTAGAATTATGATTCTGTTTTTACTTTTTGTAATTGTTTTTATGAAATATATTTCAAATTTTTTTACAATTGTAGGAACCTATATATTTATTGAAACAAGTAGTCCGAGACGTAGAGGTGACAAAGCTTGGCTACAGAGTGCCATTTTTAGATCAACTGGTTCTTCTGTACAATGCTTTCACTTCTGGTACACAATGAATGGAAAATCTGTCGGTACACTGAATGTTTACCTGTCTAATAATGGTACAAGGACTAAAGTTTGGTCACTTTCTGGAAATCAGGGTATACCTTGGAAATCTGCACAGTTGCCCATTCAGAGTAAAACACAATATTCGGTATGGAATATGTTTTTTATTATACACTTATAAATGAAATATTGAGAAATATTGATGGAATAAAATGCGTATTTTCATTTTCCGTATTTTCACTGTAAAAATTTATTTTTCACTGTAGTGAAACATATTTTCGGTATTTTCACTGGTGTCTTGCCGGACTACTTTCTTTTAAATTCTGCCTGTACACAAAATTTAAGGGAAGGTCTTTCAAATTTTCTCGCAAAAAAGAGAAAAATGTATATAATAAACAGAAAATTCAAGTTTTTTCTATAAATACATGATTTATTTTCATCTTGTGGCATGAAAATTACCATATTTCACTTGTGGCTACCGCCACTCGTGAAATATTTATTTTCATACCACTCTATGAAAATAAATCATGTATTTATAGAAAAAACTTGAATATCCTCTATATATCTTAATGTCTATCTAACTAACATACATAGCACTAATTTTCATATTTTCTAAAGAGTTTTATATACATGCATTTTATATATGATGTATCTTTTGCATGAGCTATGGTTTATTTCTGTTTGTCTGTTCTCTCTTTGCAATGCAAGTGTTAAATCAATACATAAGTTTGACAGATATTTATTTATTGTCAGTACAAATAATTTGTGACCATATACTGTATTTTAGCAATTATTTCAATGTTATCCTATTTACCATTAATGGATACCAGAATTTATAGCATTTATAAGTATGAAATATCTTTAGTTTTGTAATCAAACATTTATATAATTATTACCATTTACAATGATCAAAAATAAAAGTTAGAAGAAAAAATTATCTTGGGTTGAAATGATAATTATTGCTTTATTTCTATGACTTTGACAGATTATCATGGAGGGCTTGGTAGGTACTGGTTACCAAGGTGATATAGCTCTAGATGATTTGTCATTCACCAGTGGCCGATGTTCACTCACACCAGCACCTGCATCTCCACCTGGTGTATCCACATTAGCACCCACCACTTCAGCTTCTACGCCAGTCATAACAGCTACTTCCTGTAAGCATTAAACAATTGTCAAATTTTTTTTTACACTCTATGGCTAATAATTTCAAGCCTAAGATCCAAATGTTTTACTTTTGATATCCTTTCTTCTCTATATAAATAAAGAGGATAAAATTTCATTTTAAGGATATGCTAAAAGAATAGCTTCTCTTTGTTTATCTTTATGTTCATATTTTACTGTTATAGATTTTCACTACATTTCAGTCAATTATTCTATCGATGTTTTTATATCTATCAGTTTTTAATACTAAACAAGTTCCAGAAAATGATGATTTTGTTAGTTTGTCTGTTTGTCTTTTAAATGAGGCGTACAAAATGTTATGATAGTAATTATTGCCAACAGTGTTAAAATCTTGAAACGTTTTTGTATAATGTGACAAAATTCATTGTAACAAAAATTAAAGTATCAAGCTTTGAATACTTATGTCATAATAAAATGGCTGTCTTTTTAGTGCCCAGCTCCTTTAACTGTAACTTTGAGAGTAACACATGTGCATGGACCCAATGCAGAGGATGAAAAGGAACATTTTTGAATCTGGCATCAGCTGATCACACCAAGGAACATTCTTTTACCTTGGGCTTGTATATCAATTCAGCTTATTCATTTTATCTTTCATTTTTTTATCTTTTCCACAATTTCAGCTCTTAATTTTTTTAATAATTCGACTATATTATATTAAAACTTTCAAAAAGTTCAAGTATCATATTAGGTAATAAATACTGTTTTTGAAATCACAGTCTAAAGTAACAATTTATTTTAAGTAGATAGAATTATAGACAAGCTAATTAGATTTTCTATATGTTTTTATTTTTGGATTGGGAAATTGTTAAAGCTTATAATTTCATCTGTCTTTTGAATAGTAATGTAATTTTAGCAAAAAATCTTTCTTTGTTGTTTGACAGATGGCTACTACATGTACATAGAGGCATCTAATTTAAGACCAAATGCCAAAGCTCGCTTAATAAGCCCAAGGGTTCAACCTCAACAAGGACCAAGATGTCTGAAATTTTATTATCATATGTATGGAGCTCACATCAACACTTTGAATGTGTACGTGAAGTCTGCATCAAACCTTGGTAGTGCTGTATGGACACGTAGAGGTACACAGGGCAACTTATGGATTCAGGGATCTATTGTCATAAATACAACTACTGGCTATAACGTAAGTTCATGACTATTTTGATGAAATATTTGTATTACATCTACCAAAGTACATTATGCTATCAGAAAAACAAAGGCAGACTGGAAATGGCAAAATGGTTATCACATTAGAGGCTTATATGTATCAATATGGCTAAGAAGCAATACCATATACTGTTTTATTACTTAACATAAATACTTCTCATTTAATGCTTAGCATTTAAAGCTGATTGTTTGTGAAATAATTTCTTAATGTGAACCTGGTGTTTTTCAGGTTGTGTTCGAAGCTCTGAGAGGTGTGAATTATGCTGGAGATATAGCAATTGATGACATTACATTGGCTAATGGTGTTTGTTTAGGTAGGATGCAGCCATTTTGTTCGCCATCTTGAATATAAAAATAGTTTTTGATTAACTTTATGATATATTTTCATTTAAATAGTCTAGAGATGATGAAGTGTGATTAGTTTCAAATAACTTATGATACAGTTAGATAAATTCAGACCTTGATGATCATATGTTTTCATATCATATAAAATTAAATAATTTCAGTACAATGTGTAATGCACACATTTTATATTTTAGCCCCCACACAGGGGCCTAATAGCACTGTATTGAGCACCTGTGACTTTGAGAGTAATTTATGTGGCTATACAAATGATAGAGCTGGAGATAATTTTGATTGGACCAGACAGACTGGCGGCACTGCCTCCCGTAATACAGGTCCAAGCTCTGACCATTCTCTTGGAACTAGAGCAGGTATGTAACTTCTTTATTATATTCAATTAACAGTAAACATAAGGTTGTTAAATAATTTTCATTTTCTTGCGTATTACTCTCTTTATATTAGTAAATTATATAATTTCAATAAAACCAAGCCCATAGTGCATGTGTGTAATATTTTCAAATATGTGCATTTAATGATTTTATTAATAAATTTCTAAGAAAAATGTATTTGAAATTATTTGCTGCATGTTTAGTTTGAAAGTATATGAGTGTATATTAGTTTTGTAAGATATTATTTACATGCATACAGAATATTCACAAACATATACTACTGTTTATAATGTTCATGTATGATTTTAACATTTTTTTCTCGTTTTGATCCCAATGGTATTCTAGCCATGTAATCTGGTACCTTTGTTATTGTATTCCTATTCTGAATCAGAATGATTAAAACCTTTACCTATACTTGCTGGCAGGAGGTCATTTGTTCTACTCAGGTAGCTGCTTATGTTCCCTTTAATGCGGTTTAATTCTTGTTCTGTTACAGCAAGAAAACACCTTTGTTGAATGCAATGCACTGCTATCATCTCCACCCAGCCTCTATAACTTTATTGTATTATCAAACAGATAAACCATCAGTCTTATTACATATGACATGCTTGTTTCAGGTCACTATATGTATATTGAAACCTCTGCACCGAGACGCACAAATGACAAAGCAAGATTGTCTTCAAAAACATTTACAAAAAGCACAAATGATGAATGCCTCAAGTTCTATTATCACATGTATGGAACAAATATTGGAACATTGAATGTCAAGGTTGGTCATTGGAACATTTCTGTTAAATTAACAATTAATCATGTGTCAATATCTTCAGAAATCACTTACCATTATAGATCAAAGTCATTCCAATTGACCAGACTCTTAACTGTTTGACTTTTTTTGAATTGTTGATATAGATAATATCTCTGAAAAAAATAAATACAAATGTAACATACTTCCCCATATCCAAAGTTGAAAGAAGATTAAATTCATGACAATAAATATTTAGCAAAGTAAAGATTAGACTGAATCTTTTTAAGCAGTAAAGAAATCTCATAAGTAAAGATACATGAATTAAGGTCGAACATTATAGAATATATGTGACTGCCATCAATAATCATACCACAAACTGATAAAGTTTTCATTACCTAACAGTTGAGGGTAAATAACAACCTTGGTTCAGCTGTGTGGGCAAAGTCTCGTAATCAGGGTAATAAATGGAACCTGGCTGTGGTGACGTTACAAGGAAACAAACTCACACAAAACTTTCAGGTACATTTGTATACCAGTAGCTTGTGGAAAATAGTTAACTTACCGAAATTTTTTTTTAGTTCTAAAGTGGTTACTTTATAGTCGGAAAACTGTTTTGATGAATTTGTTAAACTAGAAAAATAAAAAAATAATTTTTTATCAGTGATTATTAGCTTATGAGCTAAGGCTCAGATATGAAATTATTCGATGAAAATTTGACATATGAAATAGCATCATTTAAAGTATGAGCATATTAAAAGATGCCAAATGAAATTTCACTTGTATTATGAGATACATATTACTACTAAGTTTCTATCATCTATATGAGTTGTATCTAATGGCAGGTATATCAATTCAATGAAATAGCTTGTTGACATTGTTTTATTCTTTTGTGATTTGTAGGTTGTATTTGAAGGAATCAGAGGTACTGGTATCTATGGAGATATTGCCATTGATGATGTTACCTTGACAACAGGAGCTTGTTCATCAGTATCAGGTTATACAAATATTACTGTTATATTGTGTAAATTTACTGGGACATATTGAAGCAATAAAGAAAATCAGTGATGCCATAATGGTACAATCACAGAAATGATTATGATGTATTGCCAATATTTAAGGCAATCAATAAATGATTGGTCAGTATTTGAAAAAATCCACACTTTTGACTGATGTCAATAAATTATGAAAATTCATCCAAAACATTCACAGAAGCTTGTAACAATAATACTATGAGTCATTGTCTAAAACATGTATCTTACAGAATTCATTTTAACAGGTATGAAAGTGAATTATAGACAGATAATTATTGATGTATCAGCTTATTGTCAATATTTGACATCTGATATTGATTTATTTTTGATATTCTTTTCTCTGTATTAATGATGGCTGTAATCATTGACATGATGAGGAGGAGCTTTGAGAAAAAGTTTTTGATAAACATATATATGATACAGGTGGATGTAACTTTGAGAAAGGACGCTGCACGTGGACAGATGTACAGACTGGAGATAATTTTGACTGGAAGACTGGTTCAGGTAGAACAACCTCTTCTGGTACTGGGCCTTCCTCTGATCATACACTTGGAAATGGTCAAGGTAAGATTTCCTTTGTCTATATATTTTGAAATTATAATTTCTAAATAGAAATTATGTATAATTCTTTAAGCATATTATACACCATTCATGAATTTATATACCCCTATTAAAGACAATTTCAGTCTTTTTATAATTTATGTTTTCTAGTGTGAATATCTGCTCAGTTCATTGTAAACAACAGTGCTTAGCAGCCAAATGAACAATGTTTTCGACAAGTGAAATAGATTAATTCTGTAGAAATTGACTTTGCTTAGGGACAACAATTTATCACTTACATAACTTATTACCAGAGTTTAATATTCATCATAATCTATCAAGCAGATCAGCATAACAATGCACACTTTGGCATGAATTTGAGAACAAATACTTAATATTTGGTGATATTAGTAATCATTCACTTAGTGTAGAACATAATTATTATATATTGTAGGACATTACCAATATTTGGAGTCATCAGCACCAAGAAGAACTGGTGATCAGTGTTGGTTAGTAAGTGAACAATTTCCACCAACAAATGGTGCCTGTATCAAGTTCTGGTACAATATGAATGGACGTAATATTGGTACACTCAATATCACTATACAGGTACAGTTATATTATCATATACACATCAAAACTTTGTTAGATTACAACTGCTTGTAACGCTGATTAACATTACATGATATAATTATGTTGTTTATATACATGGCTGCTGCAAATGGCTAATAAATTTTTATTTCAGCCAAAGAAATAATTTGTTAAGTGTTTTAAATTTGTTACAAAGAATTTTGACAGGTTATGATGTAATATATGTATGTGTGTTAAAGGCATACAGTAGTCTTTTAATATTAAAACATAAACCATGTGACTTGATTAATGCTTCCGAGGGATCACTTTGTTTTTCCAGAATTTTGTACTTCACAACAGCAGGTGTCAAGTGCCGTGTGGCAGCCGTAAAAAGTTGCCCCGTACTTCACTTCAGTGTTGTTATATTTTCTGGTCCTTCGGGATCATTGATGCCAACACTATAAAGTGTTGAGAATTGAGTACCGCTCAAGCCGGTGCTAGGGGGCGTGAGGGATGTTGCACTTATTCATTATCCCTCATGTACAGACTCAATCAAACCGAGTCTGCAATTCTTATGTTATTTTGTTGTGATTAATGCTTCCGAGGGATCACTTTGTTTTTCCAGAATTTTGTACATGTGTAAGAGATGGATAGTGTGATGAATTGAGCCTAATTCATTCAAAGCTTTATTGGATGCTTAAAGTGTCCGCATTAGAATGTAGCATTAGAAAAGTATTGCATGCATAAAACATCAATGACTTTGACTTCATTAATATTCCAGGGTTAAAGATAAATAGATATAAGTTATGTGCACTTCAGACATATGACTTTTATCAGTGAATGATAAATGAAATGTAATGATTAAAATAATACTGATATGTACATGTATTTAATCTTATCATTTTTTCCCTATGTTCACTTATTTCTTTCCATGGTCCAATCCTTCTTTTCTGACTTCAAGAGGATCAACAACCTCCCAATCCCCTTACCTGTCCCCCAGGGTTAAAGATAATTATATTCAATCAACGTTTAATGCATTCTTTCAGTATGGTAACAATAAAAACCAGACTGTATGGTCAGTGTCCGGTGATCATGGTGACAAATGGTTAAGTGGTCAAGCACCAATCAAATCCTCCACACCATACCATGTAGCCATTGTTGGTGTAAGAGGAAGTGGTTACCAAGGAGACATAGCATTTGATGATGTCTCTTTCTCTAAAACAATATGTGGAGGTGAGTGACCCAATTGCTGTTAATTGTATACATCAATATGCATAAACCTTTTCAAACAAGTATACTCAAAATCCTTTTAAGAATAAGGATTAGTTATTCTTTGCAATATGCGTATGTAAAGCATATGTACAGAAAAAAGTTCAGTCTATCCCTTTCTTGGCATTTAGCACTGAGTTATAAGGTATTGCTCTGCTCCAGTAATGAAAGTGAGAAATTTTAAAACTGTATATTAAGTATATTAAAACATATCATATATCAATTAAAATTATTGTAATAAAAAGGAAAATGTAATATGTTCATAAGGTAAATGATATCTTTGTTTAGTTAGATAAATGAAATTGTTGCTGATAAATATCTTGTACTTTATAATCAAATGATATCTTGTTATCAGAGTAAAGTTATGGTATATTAAAGTACCTGATATTTTACCTGGTACGTCCAGTATCTGACAAGTTAGACTATCTTTATCTATGTATAATCTAATGTTGTGCCATTTTGAGATGTATTTATTAATTGATGACTTATTAACACTTGCAAATTTTAATATACATGTCTGTTTTTCTGTACAAAGTCCAATCAATCATGCAACTTGATATCAATTCACTTTTGAAAGTGGACTGTTAAATAAGTCATGCATTTTTGACTTTAGAAAATGGTAAACTTTACAAAGTAAAATATGGAGTATCAATTGATATTTACGTTGATTTATTGTATGTTTATAGTACAACCAAGTGAAGCATTAGTAAATGGTAGTACAGCACCACCATCTGTAGCTACAACACCAGCAACCACACCAGGTTTGTATTTTAGTCACTATATTATATCATTAAATATAATGATAATAAATTCTCCTTCTTGCCGACTTTAGATAGGCAAGACAAGACTCTCAACTGTAAACTGCTTAATTGTAACATTCTGAAAATGTTGATATAGAAGTTTATCTGTTGAAAACTACAAATAATACGTTATGCTGAGGGTCTTGAGTCAATTGTCAAGCTGAACATTTTTCTCGCCCTGTGATATTTACAATGTAAGTCTTGCAACAATTGAATTTATATTTTCACATGTCATTAATTAAAGTTTCTTGCAACAATTGAATATATATTTTCACATGTCATTTATTAAAGTGTCTTATTTCAAGAACAAGATTTATAACAGTGTTAAGAGTGATTCAGGGCTTTGAGCTAATTACTTAATCTAAAAATTTTTCCATCTTTATATTGCCATTGATTAAATACTGATTATTTGATAATCTTTCAGCAACTGGTGCAGTGGATTGCAACTTTGATACAGGATTATGTGCATGGATACAGGATAAATCAGACAATTTTGACTGGACAAGAAACAAGGGCAACACAGGGAGCTCCCTAACTGGACCTCAAGCTGATCATACCTCCGGCAGTTAGCATTTTTCTTTCTTGTATCTCAAAATATACCTATATCTTTCTGTTTAATTTGATCCTTTTATCATTATTCATTGTGATACAATATATCATACCTTTTTACACCCATCAGAATGATAGTGTTACACTTCAAAACTGTTCACTATTTAGGGGAGAAAATGTTAATCCAAGGGTCTTGAGTTTGAGTCCTGGTCAGGCTGCACATTTTCTTTGATAGTTGGTGCCCAACTTGGGGCCGTGGCTGCATATAGGTCAAAGTTTAATTTGCATTGATCTGTAATCCTGAGAAAGACAAATATCAATATTGCTTGAAAGTATGTCACAGTTCAGAACTGTTCTTTTTTTAGGGAGAAAATGTGTAAGTGGCCAGATAGCTCAGTCCATTGAGCTGTGGAATGGTATTCCAAGGTTCTCAAGTCAATTATCAAGATGAACATTTTTCTTGCCCTGTGACAATAGTCTTTTAACAATTTATTATGTATTTTCTTCCAGTAAAGTTACAATATTAATTAACATCATTTCAATTTGTTTATTTCACTGATATAATTACAGGTGGTTACTATATTTATATTGAGACATCATCACCAAGGAAACAAGGAGATAAAGCACGAATCATAAGTCCGCAGCAAGCACCAGGTGCAACTTGTTTGACATTCTGGTACAACATGTATGGACAACATGTGAACGCTCTCAATGTCTATGTAAAGACAAAGCCAAACCTTGGTTCCCCAACATTTACCAAGTCTAGAACACAAGGTACCAAATGGATACAGGCACAGGTCGACCTTAATCCTACTGTAAACTACCAGGTCAGTTATTTAAAACCCTTTCTGTGTGGATTTTGTTGAAAGTTCTTGGGATAGAATATTGTCAGAGTCGTCATGGTGGTGTGTAAGTTGAAAATCAACTACATAAATTGATCTTTCTGTTAATGAAAGACAGGTATATTGCCTTGAATAGAATTTTTGTATGGCTATAATTTTGTTAATAGTAATTATTCCTTCCAAATGCACCACAAGCTCCTAATACTTAACATAACATTGTACTAGTTTGATAAAAACTGCTGATACATTTTTAATGCATTTGTTTCACTTTTGTTCCCTCATTACAGATTGTTATAGAAGGTGTGGTTGGAGGAGGTTACCGTGGTGATATTGCTATTGATGACATCACAATGACTCAAGGGCAGTGTACTCAAGGTATAGCTTACATAAAGACATTGTAATGATAGAAATTTAACATTTCATTCATTAATAGCTTTATTGAATCACAGTTTCTATCATATTTCAGTGTAGAAAAAAATATATTGTTAACCTTATCCTTTTTGTCACCATATCCTTTTTGTCCATATGTTTGAACTACATTATAAAGCAAAACTTTGTGTATTCAAACCATATAACATTGATTATTAAATTTTAGTACAAAACAACACATTAGCCTGTGATTTTGAAAGCACATCTTTATGTGGCTACTCTCAAAGTACTAGTGACAGATTTGATTGGTCAAGAGGTACTGGTACCACTTCATCAAGTAGCACAGGGCCCAGCAATGATCATACATATGGATCTGGAAGAGGTAAGAGTTAATGAGTTTTAAAATTATAGAATAGCAAATAGTTGATTAGTGCTTTGGTATCTCCCTACCTTAAAGATGATTGATTCAAGGTCTTTTAGACTCACAACCATGACCTAACTAACCCTGTATGATACATTTTTGTACTTGTTTTTACAAGAAATTGATGAGTAATTAAGGTGTGTTTATTAAAGTCAAGCCTAAATAAATATCCACAAGGAAAAAAAAGTGATAAACTTTACTCCACCTAAAATCTAATATGTATAGGATTCTGAAGTAAATTTTTAAATATTTTTTAATGTATCAAGCTCGTGCTAAGTCATTATGTTTATAACCTCTTTAGTGTTAAAGATTGATACTGAATGTGAAATATATTTTACCAGGTCACTACATGTACATTGAGACTTCGGCACCAAGACGACCAGGAGATAATGCAAGATTGAGTTCTGGTGTCTACACACCTACCACAGCTCCACAGTGTCTGGAGTTCTGGTACAACATGTATGGAGTGGACACTGGAACACTCAATGTATACTTCAAATCTGCCAATAACTTAGGATCACCTGTCTACAGTAAACAGGGTATGTTCATAGTTTTAACTGTTGATATACAATACTTCCAAAAATTGTTTTTGTAGATCACCATTTTATGCTTGCCTTGAATTTCAAACCAATTGTAAGTGTGCTAAGAAATTCTGTCTTTTTGCCTCTCCTGGCTGTATATTCAACAATCTAAGTTTATTCCTGGACTCCCTGTATCTAGCCTAGTATTGTATGATAGTCATATGTTATGATTCCACAATTTTACAGAAAGCAAATTTATAGAAATTTCTGTAATGGAATGGTCATTTAATTCTTTGTTTTCAAAATGTATCTAGGACTTGGAATGATGAATAATTCATTCTGTTATAATCTTATTTTCATTCATATTTCAGGTAACCAAGGTAACAGATGGATTAGAGCCCAGGTTGGTCTACCAACAAATGGACAGCAAATTTCCCTTGTATTTGAGGGTATAAGAGGAGCATCTTATCATGGTGACATTGCTATAGATGATGTTAGTGTGAAACAAGGCTCCTGCGGACAAGCACCAGGTAGTCATTACATTACATTTTATCATCTGTATAAAAAAAACAACATGATTCTCCGAAGACAAAGTAATGTATAGCTTTAAAGCTCTGCACTGTTAGATAATGCAACTAAATGAAGTTACTTTTCCACAGAAAAATTAGAATTTTAAATATTTAAATTGCATTCTTTGCTTTACTAGATCTATTTGCATAATTCAACTGAATTTCCTTCTTTATCACCATATTTTTTATCTGGAGTTAGGACAGCTAACCATTTCCTTACTATTGTAATATTATGAATTGTTAGTAACAGCTTAAATTTCTTAATTTGACAAAGATATCAACTATTCAAAACATATTCCTTAATTTCCATATAAAATTTACACAAATCTAGAGGCTGCCACTTTCATTTGATTTGTTCACTACGTGCACAGTCTACAAATTTATGTTCATAGTCTTTTATAATATTTGCTGAAACATGTTTATTAATTCTTTTCTTTTTTTCATTGCCAGGCAACTGTAACTTTGAGGTAGACAAATGTTCATGGAGTAATTCACAGAATGACACGTTTGATTGGCAGAGAGCAAGTGGTAGTACAACATCATCAGGAACAGGTCCACCATCAGATCATACCTTCTCCAATTCTACAGGTATATCTAATCACATGTCTATAATGTTGGAAATATTTATTACATAAATTTAATATTTGATTGTTGCTGATATTTAGAATTTAGTAATGTAACGACATGTAGGAACTATGTGTGCATCATTAAGTTTGTAAACCTTTGTTGGTGATTTTCAAAAATAAAAAATGTATGTAATGAAACATTAAAAACAAATAGGTAAAAATTCAACGCTGCATTAACTCTATTTTATATTGCTATTATTACAGGACACTATGTATTTATTGAATCTTCATCTCCAAGGCGACCAGGTGATAATGCTATCTTACAAAGTGCTACACTCACAGCCAGCACTAACTGTATACAGTTTTACTACAATATGTATGGTTCAAATATTGGTACCCTTAATGTGTGGGCAGCAGGTCAAATAGTATGGACCCTCTCTGGGAACCAGGGCACTTTATGGAAGCAAGGTCAAGTCAATGTTGGACAGAATTCAGCTTATCAGGTACTTGTTGTGGATAACTGTTGTTTTCTATTTATATGAATTTGCACACTAAAACCTTTTTATTGCAGTAAGTTTGAATCCATCAAGGGATAATTTATTCCATGCAAGTGAAGAATTCATTTAGTATACAACATAAACAGTTCCCCAATACAACCATTTTGCCTAATTAGCTCAACTATTCGAAGAATAACTTTTAACTTAGAAATTTTGGTTAAAGTTTTTCTGAAAGTCAAATATCTCAATTATTGCTTGAGATATTCAATTGAAACTTACAATACTTATTTATAGTAACAAGGTTCATCAGATTGACAAGTTGGATAACTCTGCCTACAATATTGACAGAATTATGCCCCTTTGAAACTTAGAAATTTTGGTTAAAGTTTTTTGTAAAGTTGAATATCTCAATTATTGCTTGAGATATTCAATTGAAACTTACAATACTTATTTATAGTAACAAGGTACATCAGATTGACAAGTTGGATAACTCTGCCTACAATATTGACAGAATTATGCTCCTTTGGAACTTAGAAATTTTGGTTAAAGATTTTTTGTAAAGTCAAATAATTCAAATATTGCTTGACATATTCAATTGAAATTTAAAATACTTTTTTATAGTAACAATGTACATCAGTTTGCAAAATTGCATAACTCTGCCTGCAATATTTGCAGAATTATTTGCCCCTTTGAAACTTAGAAATTTTGGTTAAAAGTTAAATGTCTTCAAAGATTTTTACTTGAAACTTCACACATGCACTTAGGGTCATAATTGGAGGGTCAATTAATTGTATGTCACTGACCAAGTTCCATAACTATCTTGCATAAAGGCTGATTCATATCCCCTTTTCCACTTAGTCTCTTGGTTAATGTTTACATGCAAGTTTTACATATCTCAATAACTATTAAAGATATGTATTTAAAACTTCACATATGCATTTAGGGTCATAATTGTAGGTCACTGACAAAGATCCATAATTCTATCTTGCATTTAGGCTGATTTTTCTCCCCTTTTTCAACTTAGAAATTCATCGTAGGGTTTTGCTTGTAAGCTGTTATCTCAATAACTACTGAAGGGTTTGTGCCTTTATTGGGACACTTTTATGCATTCATAATAATAAATCAGTGATTTACTTGATAAAACATCTGAATAACAAGCCTTTGAACCTTTTCTGTCAAATTTATGTATTCATAGGTGATTAGTATTATTATACTCAATAAAACACCCTTGTGACATTACCTTCCGAATAGTCAAGCCAATACTGTATAATTAGACTCTCTCTAAGGCCTATAACATGAATTTATAAAAAAAAATTAGCCCTTTTGTGAACTTAAAAAATTGAACATTATCAAGGCTCCTTTACTATCAAGCACTAAGAAAAGTCGAGCGTGCTGTCCTACGACAGCTCTTGTTATACATTGAATTAACTAATTTTAACATCAAACTTGGACATATATCATTAAGCTGTTGACATTGTGTTCCTATTTATATCTTAAACTGATGTTACATCTTACTTTTTAATCTTAATATTTTTATTAAGCCTTCTTTTATAGTTTAATTTAAACACATATATTTGTAGATGAACTTGAAATGATTTATGTTATGTACAATGTTACAGGTAATGTTTGAAGCTGTTAGAGGAAATGGCTACCGTGGAGACATTGCTTTAGATGACATCACATTTGTCACTCAGTCCTGTACCCTGACTCCTGCTAATGCCAGTCCATCACTTGCAGCAACACCAGCACCAGGAAGTACCATGGCTCCTATCGTTATTCCTAATGGTTTCACATGCAACTTTGACTCGAACATTTGTAGTTGGACACAAGATAAAACTGATAATTTTGACTGGACTAGACAGAGACAGGGAACTGCATCAGGAAACACTGGGCCTAGTAGAGATCACACAAGTGGTCAGTTACTTTATATTGTTACTTATAACTAGGTGGCACCTTTGGTCAAATTAATCTCATTCAGACTATATTCTTAAGTATTTCTTCTGTTAGCAACATGTATGTGGAATTTATAATATTAATGCACTTTTTTTATAGACAAGTTCATTAAGAAAAACAAACACCAGCAATGTTAAAATGCATTCATTAAAGCACAGGAAAAAGATCCATTCAAAAAAATGAGGTCAGATGTTCAACAGCTATATCAACTCTGTGTAGAGAAACCAAAATTCAATATATAGTCATAATTGTAGCATAAATTTTCAGATATTTTAGTGAAATAATGTTATTTGATTTAGGAAATATTCCTTAAAGAACAAAATGCAACAATAAATATTTATGGCTATGCATACTTTATTATTTATGATGCAGAAAACATTATTATTTGTTCATGCTTATATTCTTAATGGTATATAAGACAGGGTAAACAAATTGTTTAAGTCCATGTTTCAATGAAAATCATTGTTAGAAAAATCACGACCATAACTTTAAAAAATATTTAACTATGCATTGAGTATGAAATTTGTAGTGTTTACATTAAATGTTAAAAGACATGTCTTTACTATCTTTTCAGCTTCTTTCATAATTGTAAGCAAATGTAACCAACAAATGTTGTTTTTTGTGTTTTTATACCCCCACAAACGAAGTTTAGGGGGGGTATATAGGAGTCAGCTTGTCGGTCCGTCGGTCGGTCCACATCATGGTTTCCGGACGATAACTAGAGTTTGGAATGAGGTATTGTAATCAAACTTGGTATATAGCAACCTTATGTGGAAACTCCGGTTGGTATTGCATTTGGACCCCCTGGGGTCAAGGTCAAGGTCACCGTTACTAAAAATAGAAAAATGGTTTCCGGACAATAACTAGAGTTAGGAATGAGATATTGTTATCAAACTTTGCGTATAGCAAGCTTATATGAAGACCTGGGTTGGTATTGCATTTAGGCCCCCAGGCCCCGTGTTCACAAAGAAAAGATCAGGATCAGGATCAGTTGATCCTGATTTTATTTTCATTGTTTTATAAACTAACACTGATCGTATTATGCTAGAATTAAATGGTAAAAAAATGAAATATAAATAATTTCTTATTTGCAAAGAAAGAAACCTATTTTGGGATAAAATCGACAAAAAAACAAAACAAATACAAAAATAATCGGATCAAAATGAGGATCAATTTTAGGATCACGATCAAAATTTGGATCAACTGTAAAATACCCATATCTTGTAAAATTAACAATAAATTAATTCTAAAGTTTCATAAACATGCTATTTCAGGTCCAGTTTTATCAAGTTATTACTGTAAAATTAATCTCTAAGGATAAATAATGGAGAATATTTCAGTTTTTAAATTTGATCCTGATCTTGATCCTGATCCTTAAATCTTTGTGAACACGGGGCCTGGGGTCAAGGTCAAGGTCATGGTTACTAAAAATAGAAAAATGGTTTCTGGACAATAACTTGAGTTAGGAATGAGATATTGTAATCAAACTTGGTGTATAGCAAGCTTATATGAAGATCTGGGTTGGTATTGCATTTGGACACACTGGGGTCAAGGTCAAGGTCACCGTTATTAAAAATAGAAAAATGGTTTCCGGACAATAACTAGAGTTTGGAATGAGGTATTGTAATCAAACTTGGTATATAGCAACCTTATGTGGAAACTCCGGTTGGTATTGCATTTGGACCCCCTGGGGTCAAGGTCAAGGTCACCGTTACTAAAAATAGAAAAATGGTTTCCGGACAATAACTAGAGTTAGGAATGAGATATTGTAATCAAACGTGGTGTATAGCAAGCTTATATGAAGACCTGGGTTGTTATTGTTTTTGGACCCCCTGGGGTCAAGGTCAAGGTCACCGTTACTAAAAATAGAAAAATGGTTTCCGGACAAAAACTAGAGTTAGGAATGAGATATTGTTATCAAACTTGGTGTATAGCAAGCTTATATGCAGACCTGGGTTGGACCTGGGTTGGTATTGCATTTGGACCCCCTGGGGTCAAGGTCAAGGTCACCGTTACTAAAAATAGAAAAATGGTTTCTGGACAATAACTAGAGTTAGGAATGAGATATTGTAATCAAACTTGGTGTATAGCAAGCTTATATGAAGACCTGGGTTGTTATTGTTTTTGGACCCCCTGGGGTCAAGGTCAAGGTCACCATTACTAAAAATAGAAAAATGGTTTCCGGACAAAAACTAGAGTTAGGAATGAGATATTGTTATCAAACTTGGTGTATAGCAAGCTTATATGAAGACCTGGGTTGGTATTGTTTTTGGACCCCCTGGGGTCAAGGTCAAGGTCACCGTAACTAAAAATAGAAAAATGGTTTCCGGACAATAACTAGAGTTAGGAATGAGATATTGTAATCAAACTTTGTGAAAAGCAAGCTTATTTGGAGACCCCAGTTGGGATTACAATTAATTGAAATATTTCTTTGTACACAGTTGATAGTTTGTGTTGAAATTTTTCTTCAGACTACTTATTTTTCAAAAAGTTGCTGGTGGGGGTATTAATCACCTTCAGTGATAGGTCTAGTTTGTTGTTGTTTTTTGTTGTTGTTTTTTGTTGTTGTTTTTTAGCAATTTACTATTTACCTTTATTACACATGTTTGCCTTAACAACATTTCATATCAATTTGATTATTTTACAGGAAGTGGATATTACATGTATATTGAGACATCAAGTCCAAGAAGACCTGGTGATATGGCTAGACTTATCAGTCCTCAGATCAATGGTGCATCACAGATGTGCTTGAAATTCTGGTACCACATGTATGGTACCCATATCAAGAGTCTTAACATCTACCTGTCTCAGAATAAGACATTAGGAACTGCGGTATGGACAAGAAGTGGTAACCAAGGTAACAAATGGATACAAGGAAGTTTCCAGATTGCAGGAGGCAGTGCCACTTCACAAGCTACTAATGTAAGAAAAACATTTGTTATATTCTTATAAATGAAATATGGATGAAATGAAATGTGTTTTTTTTTCATTTTCCATATTTTCACTGTAAAAATTTATTTTCACTGCAGTGAAACATATTTTCCGTATTTTCGCTCAGGTGTCTTGCCAGAGTACTTTCTATTAAATTTTGCAAGTACACAAAATTTAAGGGAAAGTCTTTCAAATTGTAATGTCAAAAAAAACAGTCAAATGTATTTAAGTAACAGAAAATTCAAGTTTTTTTCTATAAATACATGATTTATTTTCATCTTGTGGCATGAAAATTACCACATTTCAGTCGTGGCCACTTATGAAATATTTATTTTCATACCACTTAATCATATTAAATCATGTATTTATAGAAAAAAGTTGAGTATCCTCTATTCATTATTTAAAATATTGCATTTTGACATAATGATTCTGTGTAAATATCTTTCATGACAATTTGTTAAAGATAAGTTATTATGACTAGAACAATGTTTGTAACATTTTAAGCTTATTTAAAATAAAAGTAATGGTGTTAATTGATATTTTATGATTTCAAGCTTTTGTATTTGCATCTATTTCACAACAATTATAGAAATATGTGAAAGAATAGTATTTTCAACACCAGAGTAAAAAGGTTTTCATGTATGAAACTGATCATTGTTATTGTGAATTTTAGGTTGTGATAGAAGGTGTACGAGGTACCAGTTACCTTGGTGATATAGCAATTGATGATGTGTCTCTTACAAGTGGCCAGTGCACAGGTAACTTTTCTTTATGATTCCCATTTTAACAAGTATAATATCATGATCCTGACAAGAAAGTCATTAAAAAGCAGCTGGACATGTCCATGCCAACAGTCATGCCCTAAGAGGGTTAATTTTGAAGCACAAAGTGGTGATAATTTACCTCCTAGCAATTTCCAAGCAGTTTTAGCAAAAGATTTTTGAGGGGAAGGAAGGTCTCTGTATGGTAGCCAATAAGAGAATGTACAGTAGCCTGTAGAGGTAGCCCTGAAAAGGGCTGTTATACCAACTAATAGCTTACCTGTCAAACGGGGGAATTGAGAAGAATTGTTCCATGAGCTTATGATGCACATTTTGTATTTAGTGTATACCCATTCTCAGAAGCTTACAAAGTGTCATGTTGTTTTTGTTCATTATGGTCAATGTATTACAATAAATTGAAATTCTTCAGGACTAAGAGAATATAAGTATATCACATTGGATATAAGGAAGACTCGTTTATTATGAGGTCAAGAAATATTATAAATATTACCTTAGTTCATTGACATCATTGGACAGCATTATATTTTTATTGCATCACTTTAGTTTAATTATGTGTATCTTTTCTATCATGCAATTACATTTTCTTCTATTGTAACACTATAGGATCAATAACTTCTCCTGCAAATTGTAAATTTGAGTCAGCCACCCTGTGTAACTACATACAAGATAAGACAGATAGATTTGACTGGTCATGGCAGGCAGGTAGCACCAGATCTACAAATACTGGACCGGCTAGTGATCATACATATGGAACAGGAACAGGTATTTATGGTCTTTCATAAATATGACCACAACAAACATATAATTGCGAACCTTTTTTATGGCAGGTAAAAAGTCAACTTTCAATCCATAGAAAGTATTAGTTTTGTCAATTAAGTACCATTTTCTTCTAAGCATTATTTCTTTGCATAATGAGCTTGTTTTATATCTGAATGCTTCAGTATGGTTTTTTATGTATTTTAAGGCCATTATGTATACACGGAAGCATCAGCACCAAGAAGAAGAGGTGATATAGCCAGACTGTGGACACCAGCTCTTACATTAACCAACGGTGGATGTATATCTTTCTGGTATCATATGTATGGAAGAAATATGGGTACCCTTAATGTATATGCAGTTCGTAACACCACTAACCCAACACTTGGAAATCCTTTATGGTCACGAAATGGAACAGCTGGTAACATCTGGTTACAACAGTTTGTCAGACTGCCATCAATGTCCAATTTCAATGTAAGAAATTTTTATAGAAGTACATTGCTTGAAATCATTATAAGATATGTAAACATTTAAATTTAACATTGTGTAGGAACTTAAAGTTAAAAGGTCAGTAATAGTAAACTTGTTTCTAAAGTCAAACTTTATTAACAACAAAGCAAAGAGATGATATTAAGTTTAAGAGTAACATGTGTTGTATGTTGTAATTCAGGTTGTATTTGAGGGTGTTCTAGGAAATGGACCATACTCTGACATGGCTATAGATGATGTTAAAATGCTCTCCTCTTGTCCACCCCCAGGTAACTAGACTCAACTTCATTCATGTTTTGATACATTTGTTATTTTAAACTTATACAATATAAATCATTTACATGCTAATGGGCAAGATTTATTTGATAGTTAAAATAAGTTAATGATAATGGAAACAATTATGATGTTAGTAAAGTGAAGACTGGGATGCACATTACCTTAAAGTTACAATAGTTAGACAGTGACAGAAGGAGAAACATAGGAAGGAAGGCAAAACTTGAAGGAAATACAGTAGAAGAAAGCACTTGATTGCATAGTGTATTCAGTGTGGATAAAAACACAGTACAAAAAGAAGCAGTAGCAGAAGAAAGGCATATTGGTATAAGGCACAGTTGAAGAGGAACAGGATGAAATTGAGGGACATTGAAAGAAAAACAGGAGGAAATGGAGGGACAGTGAAAGAGAAACAGCATGAAATGGAGGGACATTGAAAAAAACAGCATGAAATGGAGAGACAGAGAAACATAAACAGAATGAAATGGAGGGACAGTGAAAGAAAAACAACATGAAATGGAGGGACATTGAAAGAAATACAGGATGAAATGGAGGGACAGTGAAAGAGAAACAGGGTGAAATGGAGGGACAGTGAAATAAAAACAGGATTAAATGGAGAAATCGTGAAAGAGAAACAACATGAAATGGAGGGACATTGATATGAAATGGAGGGGCAGTGAAAGAGAAACAGCATGAAATGGAGGGACAGTTAAAGAAAAACAACATGAAATGGAGGGACAGTTAAAGAAAAACAAAGCATGAAATGGAGGGACATTGAAAGAAAAACAGAATGAAATGGAGGGACATTGAAAGAGAAAAAACATAAAATGGAGGGACAGTGAAAGAGAAAAAGCATAAGAAATGATGAGAATGAGCAGCAGGATGGATAGATAACAGAAATACAGCTACGCAAGATCCAAAATTGCATTTACAGAGGAAAAGATGTCAATATTGATACAGTAGATATTATAAATATAAGAAGAGATTTTGGTAAAGCATTTGTTGCAATACATTTGTGGAGTGATAATTGTATGTAATGATAATGATATATTTTGGAAGAAATGTTTGGAACTTTTGTTTCAGCTGTCATGATGCTTTCTTGTGTTTTTCAGATTAAGAAAGCATTATAACAGTTGTAATAAAAGTTTTTTTATCAAAGACTCGGGTACAGGAAGTGAAAAAATTATGTTAATAACCCCAGAGAAGTTCAGAAAAGGTTGCAGTGATCTTGTGAACCAGAGATGTGCATCAGTTTCTAGTCATTTTCATGATACTGACTTTCCTAGTTAACATGCCATGATGCAGTTTCTTTCTTCTTATGAAACTAGTTCTTATTAAAGCTTTAAACAAATAGTATGCACAATGATTTTATTCAAACTTTTATACTAGTTGAATAAAATAAGTAATGGTTCAGTTTTAATGGCAGATATTGAATATGGAATATCTTGATTATTAAACCAATGTAAAACAATAGGTCAAAGCTATTTTCAAGACAGTATTATTTTCTGTAATACATTTTAGGAGATTGTAACTTTGAAATGGGACTCTGTAGCTGGAGAAATTCAAAGACTGATAACTTTGACTGGGTGATCATGAATGCCAACTCTACAACTTCCAGTCTGCGCCCATCAGGGGATCATACATTTGGTGCTAGACAAGGTAAGAAATGATTTTTTACGTGAATTTATTATACCCCCACAAACGAAGTTTAGGGGGGGTATATAGGAGTCATTATACCCCCACAAACGAAGTTTAGGGGGGGTATATAGGAGTCAGCTTGTCGGTCGGTCGGTCCGTCGGTCCGTCGGTCGGTCCACATCATGGTTTCCGGACGATAACTAGAGTTTGGAATGAGGTATTGTAATCAAACTTGGTATATAGCAACCTTATGTGAAAACTCCGGTTGGTATTGCATATGGACCCCCTGGGGTCAAGGTCAAGGTCACTGTTACTAAAAATAGAAAAATGGTTTCTGGACAATAACTACAGTTAGGAATGAGATATTGTTATCAAACTTGGTGTATAGCAAGCTTATATGAAGACCTGGGTTGGTATTGCATTTGGACCCCCTGGGGTCAAGGTCAAGGTCACCGTTATTAAATATAAATAAATTGGTTTCCGGACAATAACTCGAGTTAGGACAAAATAGAGTTAAGAATGAGATATAGTAATCAAACTGTATGGCAAGCTAATATGAAGACCCCGGTTAGTATTGCATTTGGACCCTCTGGGGTCAAGGTCACCGTTTCTCAAAGTAGAAAAATGGTTTCCGGACAATAACTAGAGTTAGGAATGAGATATTGTTATCAAACTTGGTGTATAGCAAGCTTACATTAAGACCTGACTTGGTATTGCATTTGGACCCCCTGGGGTCAAGGTCAAGGTCACCGTTACTAAAAATAGAAAAATGGTTTCCGGACAATAACTAGAGTTAGGAATGAGATATTGTTATCAAACTTGTTGTATAGCAAGCTTATATGAAGACCTGGCTTGGTATTGCATTTGGACCCCCTGGGGTCAAGGTCAAGGTCACCGTTATTTAATGGTTTCCGGACAATAACTAAAATTAGGAATGAGATATTGTTATCAAACTTGGTGTATAGCAAGCTTATATAGTGACCTGGGTTAGTATTGCATTTGGACCCCCTGGGGTCAAGGTCAAGGTCACTGTTACTAAAAATAGAAAAATCTCTGGACAATAACTAGAGTTAGGAATGAGATATTGTTATCAAACTTGGGGTATAGCAAGCTGATATGAAGACTTGGGTTGGTATTGCATTTGGGCCCACTGGGGTCAAGGTCACTGTTACTAAAAATAGAAAAATGGTTTTCTGACAATAACTTGAGTTAGGAATGAGATATTGTAATCAAATTTGGTGTATAGCAAGCTTATATGATGACCTTGGTTGGTATTGCTTTTGGACCCCCTAGGGTCAAGGTGTTACTAAAAATAGAAAAATGGTTTCCGGATAATAACTAGAGTTAGAAATGAGATATTGTATTCAACTTTTGTGAAAAGCAAGCTTATTTAGAGACCCCAGTAGGGATTACAATTAATTGAAATATTTCTTTGTACACAGTTGATAGTTTGTGTTCAAATTTTTCTTCAGACTACTTATTTTTCAAAAAGTCAAAGTTGCTGGTGGGGGTATTAATCACCTTCAGTGATAGGTCTAGTTGGAGTTCAAATGCAATTGATAAATGGTAGTTTACACTGTCTTAGATTGACATAATTCTTTTTTATTTACGTTGATGATTAAATGCAACTGCTCTTTCGTTCAAAATATATGTTTTTATGAATCTGTGATAATGTCAGTAAGTTTAGAATGGAATATAACTACTTCTAAAAACCACATGACTCATTTTGTCCCTCAAAATATTGATATTAGTGAAAGGATGTGACTTAATTTATGTAAGGATATTCTTTACATACTAGTGATAGTGTTTCTTTATCTTGTATTTTAATCATACTTGATTGAACTCTTATTTCACATATAATTCATTTGAGCAGCGTCACGACAAAACCAACATAATGCGTTTGCGACCAGCATGGATCCAGACCAGCCTGCGCGTCCGCACAGTCTGATCAGGATCCATGCTGTTCGCTTACAAACTCTATTACAAATAGAGAAACTGATAGCAAACAGCATGGCTCCTGATCAGACTGTGCGGACACGCAGGTTGGTCTGGATCCATTCTGGTCGCAAAACGCATTACATTGGTTTTGTCATGACCCGGCTCATTTTATTTTGGTTTTATCTAACAGGACGCTACTTATATATCGGAGATGGTAGTATTACTACCCCTGGTTCCCATGCTGACTTGCTGGGTCCATCAATGCCAGCAACCAGCTCAAGTGGTGCATGTGTTAGATTCTGGTTTATTTTCTATGGAACAACAAGTATTGGAAGTTTGTCAGCTTGGGTTATGCAGGTACATTTTAAGTTCATATTTTACCTATATTAAAGAACTTCTGTGCAATAGCAACATATTAAGCAATATATTTTAAGATGGAAAAATCATTAAAGGTACAAAATTTTAAAAATTTAAAGCCACAACACATGAATGAAGTAAGTAATGATGATAATAAATACAAAGCACTATACTAAAACAGAAAGCTGTTTTTCTTTACAGATTATCTCTCATAACCAGGCACATGTCTTTTTGAATTATAATGAATAAGAAGTCAAGCTTAAATGCTAGCTTAACTACATGTTTGAGGTGTTATAATAATATATATATAATCCTTTTTGTGGATGCAATTTTAGTTTTTGCTGTATGTATATCACATACCTATCAATCACAGAAAATGTCTGTATCATTATAGGGATCTCAACAATCAAACGCTTGGAAATTATATAACCAACCTTCAAAAGCAAAAGGACAATGGACACAGGGTCAGTTCCCGGTTTTAAACCGAAACAATTACCAGATTATGTTCCAGTTCACGAGGACAGCTTCTTCTCGAGGATATGTTACCATTGACGACATAACAATTACCACAGGAAAATGTCAAAGTAAGCAACAATAATATGCAAACATTTTAAATTTATATGCAAACATTTTAACTAAAGATAATAGATATAATAGTTTTCTACTGACATTATATTGCTGTTTTTTGTTTCATTTATTCAACATTAAGCAGCTATAGAAAAAAATTGAAATACTTACAAATGTGGAATTTTGCCTTTCATATGGGATATATTTTACTTCAAAGTAAATGGCATTTCTCATTCACAATCGTTCATTAAAAAAATATAATATATTGGGTATATTTAACTTTATATATCTCATTGTCGGGATACAATCAGAGAAGGTAATTGACTTAACATGTTCGTGTTACATTTTACGTCCTGTGAAATCATGATTTAAAACTAAATGTTTACTCTATTTATCCATAGACTTCAGATATCAATTACAATAAGAAAGTTAAGGAGTTTATAACAATTTTGATAAAAAAAACATGTATAGGATTCAACTTATGTCAATACTCAGTAAAAATGTAATAATTTTATTTCAGCAAGCCCAGTAGATGCTATGACAGGTACCCAGACAACCGCTTTTCCCACAAGTTCAACTTTAGTGACTGCTACACCAGGTAAAACTGTGGCACATTATTTTGTCTAGAAAAAATGTAGAATGAATAATTAATTTTGCATATGGAGAATTTTAAACAAGTCTCGATGAAAATTTTTTAATAATGGTGAGTATTTGCTCAAAAGTTTTGTCGTTTAAATATAAAAAAAAACAAATTACAATATAATGCAGTTATTATTTATGAATGATCTTTTGAAATAATTGAAAGATTTAAAATACGCTTATTTGTTTTTGTTTTTTTTTAATTTTTCATTGAAATTTAGTAAATGGATTCATTCTAATAGGGTATGAAAAAGGTTATGAAAATTTGTTAATAGCAAATGATTAGGAAAGTTGTATTTAATATTTCAGCCCCATCTAAATATGACTGTAATTTTGAGAATGGTCTTTGTACATGGACACAGGCCCAGGACGATCAGTTTGATTGGACTCTACAGACAGGCAGAACCGGGTCTGCCAATACTGGTCCTTCCTTTGATCATACTATGGGTCAAAATGGTAAGTTCTCAGTTTTCTCATTGTCTTTCTGAATTATTGTATTTTTTTCTTATGTTAGAATTTTCAGTTTTTCATAAATTATAGTGTACATATAACTTAATTGTAAGTTAATACAGATTTTTCTTATTTCTTTTGAATTATAAAACTGTAGTTGAAACATAAGATTTTAGGGTGGTTATATTTTGGCCTTTTGAATTACACTTGTGAGTAAATATTAGTGTAACTTGTGAATTTATACTTGATTTCAAATGTTATGTTGGTAAAAAGAATATCTGCTTCTGAATCTATTACTGATTCATAATATTGAGATATTTTTTGTCAAACAAAATACACTTTAGTGAGATTTAGTATAGACAGCTGACAGCTTTGATCTATAATAGTCAAGGATATATGGATGTTTTATGGATATTTAAATTTCAGGCCGTGGACACTATATCTTTATTGAGGCATCAAGTCCAAGGAGAATGAATGACACAGCTCGCATTTTATCTGCACCAGTGACAGACACCACAACAAAATGCTTACATTTCTGGTATCATATGTACGGTACTCATGTTAACACCCTTAATGTTTACTTGAAGTCAGGCAGTTCTCTAGGTTCACCAGTATGGAGTCATACAGGCACATTGTCCAACAAGTGGTACAATGCTAACATTAATATACAGGTAAAGGATGTAACCTTGTTATTTTTGCAGTTGAAACTATTCCATATTGTTTTTAACAGCTTTTAACAGCATTTTGAATTTTCAAATTAAGTTATCTATGGACAGGTATGATTGTTTACTGGTAAAATAGAAATTTTGCATAAACTAATGACAGCTAACAATCAATGTTCATTATAAGAAGTCACATTTTTTATATAAACAAAGTAGAATCTCAGGGCTATTGCAAATTGTTCTTCAATTTTTCCATTTATTTGTTTTATATAGGGAACCAAACAGTACATTTTTCCATTTATTTGTTTTATATAGGGAACCAAACAGTATATTTTTCCATTTATTTGTTTTATATAGGGAACCAAACAGTATATTTTTCCATTTATTTGTTTTATATAGGGAACCAAACAGTATATTTTTCGAATTTATTTGTTTTATATAGGGAACCAAACAGTATATTTTTCCATTTATTTGTTTTATATAGGGAACCAAACAGTAAATTTTTCCATTTATTTGTTTTAAATAGGGAACCAAACAGTATATTTTTCCATTTATTTGTTTTATATAGGGAACCAGACAGTACAATATAGTGTTTGAAGGTGTGAGAGGTACCAGTTATAGAGGAGATATTGGTCTAGATGATATCTCTGTTACCACTGGATCTTGTTCTGGTATGTATTAACTGAGAATAAAACAACCTGAAGGATTAAGTAAATCTGAAAATAAAAATTTATCAGCTAGGGATTGTAATACTTTGCAAGCCCTTACTGATAACTGGCTGGCCCTGTTACTAATTCATGATTTTCACAACACACTTAAAATGTCTTCACTATTGTTATGTCTTGTTATATATGTCAGTGTCGTCATCAGATATTTTTAAGAAATCTTAATGAAATACAAAGTAAAATAAAATCAAAGAAACGATTAAATATGCTAAAGAAATCAGTAAGGGTCCATCTCCATCTTTATATCACTAATATAACGTTAGTTAACTGCATAAATATAAGTTCAGTCTCATGAAAAATTAGGAATTGTCACAGGCCATGGCTGAAAAAAGAATGTGTGATTATAAAATTTAAATTGCAAAATAATAAACAACATTTTTTAAACCTGATTGGGCCCAAATTTCCCAAATTTTTCCAAATTTTGTCTGGTGAGTGTTCTTATATTTGAAAAATAAATGTTTTTTTAAATTTTTTAAAAAATTAAAGATGGTCTGTTTTTAAAAATTTTCACTTAAAAAACCAAATTTTGGGAAAATTTCAATTGAAACATAAATTGCTAAAAAACATTGTACTTTGTATTTTTCAAATTGTGTTCCCACCAATTTTTTCCTATATGTGTAATTTTGGTTTGTTGATAATGGGAATTTTTTTTTAAACATAATAAAAAAATTTTTCTAACATAAATTTTTTTCAGGGAGCGCTCAACATTTTCATTTGAATCAAGAAGAATATGTAACTAAAAAGAAAAGAAAAGGGGACAAAATGTTTTTTGTTGGACATGGAAATAGGATCTTTACAACGGTTTTCTACAGGCATTTTGGGAACCCTTTTCGGTTTTTTTTTCAATAAACTTTTTTTTCCCGGCTTTTCCAAAAAGGATTGATAAATTTTGGTGCGGATTTTTTAAATTTCCCAATTTTTCTTAAGGTTTGGGAAAAATTAAATTTTCCTTTTAAAATTTCAAGTTAAGATTTTCCTTTTTTAAAATTCCCTTTTCAATTAATAAAGGTTAGCTTTTTTTTAAAAAAGGGGAATTTGTTAAAACCCCCTTTTTTCTTGAAAACATTTAAATTTTAAAACCCGGTTTTTTTTCAAACCCCTTTTTGACCAAATTTTTTGGTTTTTTGGGAACGGGTTTATTTAAACATGGGGTTCGGTTTTTAAAATTAAATTGGGCATTAAACTGTATTTTTTTAATTTTTTTGGCATTTTGAAAATTTATTTTTTTGAAAAGGAAATTTTGTTTTTTCCCCCTTGAAGTTTAATTAGGGGGTGCCCTTTAAAGGGATTACTTTCTAAAGTTCTTATCTTTTTTTTGGAAAAAGGTCCCAAAAATTTGTTAAAATTTTGAAGTGGGTTTCTTCCTCCACTTCGGTTTTTTTCAAATGAGTTTAATTTTTTTTTAAATTTTGGTAAAAAATGATTTTTAAAAAATTTGATTTTTTAATAAAAAAACAAAAGGCCCTTGGGTTTTTTTAAAAATTTTAATTTTAAAATTAAAAATTAATAAAGTTTTTTGGCCCCGGAAAAAAAAGGGTTTTGAAAAATGAAAAAAGATTTTTTAAAATATTTTTTAGGGCTTTCGGGGTTTTTAATTTTATATTGGGGCTTTTCTGCACCAAGGGGTAAGGGGACAAAAAAGCTAGAATATTTTCTCCCCCCAGCCAGAAACCCACTGGTTTCCTGTGTATATTTTTTAAATAAAAGTAGGGTAACAGTGGGCACATTTAAAATGTTTATGCTAAACCGGAAATCCCAAATTGGTTCCCCAATACGTCAAAAAAGGTAACCAGGGTAACAAATGGTTAAAGGCCCGGGTTTCCCCGGTAAAATCAACATTTACTTGGCGGGTTTTAAAGTGAATATTTTAAAACCATAAAATATTTGCCCATATTTTAAAGGCCATTTGGTTTTTAAAAAAAAAGGGGAAAATTTTTAAACTTTTTAGATTTTTTTAAATCTTGTCTCCCAAATTGTTGGGGGGGTTTTATTTTTTTTCACATTTAAATTGGCCGGGAGAGTAAAATTTTAAATTGTTGAAAAGATGTCTTACCCAACTCTTTGGTAGGTATTTACTGGCTGTGAAAATGTTTTTGTACTTCTTCTATAGAATACTATCAAACCAAATGGAAAAAAACTCTAATGCTGTTTTCTTGTGGATAAAGTTATAGATATCACCAAATATTTTAAACAGTATATACATTGCCATTTCCAAGTTTTTCATAATAATTGTATGATTTTGTGTCACCAGTTAACATTTGAGGGAATACGTGGCACAGGAGTCAGAAGTGACATTGCTATTGATGATGTGACAATTACTAATGGTGCCTGTATTGGGGATGATGGATCATGTAATTTTGAGAAGGATACTTGCTCCTGGAGAAATACACGAACAGGGGACGATTTTGATTGGCTTCGAAAACAAGGGCACACTGGCAGCAGTGGAACAGGCCCCTCAAAATGATCACACAATTGGGACTTTCCTTGGTATGTAAAACTAGGCAATTTTCTGTGTAGTTTTCAATGAATTCAGTGAAAGTAATACCGTATAAACAGTTTAACTTAAATACATTTATATGTAATTTCTTGATTTTTAATTATCTCCTCAACTTTTACTTGAACATGGCAAAAAAAAAACAACAGAAAAAAACCCAAAAAAACGAGCTAATTAAGCCTTCAAAATTTTTTATAAATTCCATATTTATTCTTAGATTTTCTGTTTAGATTTCTTTAAGTAAGCTTTAAAAATTTTATTGATGCAATATCCAATGATATAATATTGAGCATATTCTAGCAGTATTTTTTAAAATTTGTTTCCTGTATTTTAGGGCACTACATGTATATTGAGAGTCAGAGACATATTTTAACAGTATTTTTTATTCTGTTTTCTGTATTTTAGGGCACTACATGTATATGAGACTTAAATATTGAAAAAGTTTTTTTAAGGTCAATTTGGGGTTTTAATTTGGGAAACCTACCTTTTTTACCCAAAGGGGAAAAAAATTAGCTTTTAAAAAAAGGACATTTCCCTTTTACCCAAAACCCCCCTTTTTTCAGGTTTCTTTAAAGGTTTTAAGAGGAAACCCCCTTTTCCCAAATAAAAAGGAAATAGGGTTTTAGAATTTCCCTTTTCACCAAATTAACCTTCCTGTAATTTGGGGGTTAGGAAAATTATTGGGAATTTTTTTTAGATAAATTTTTAAACCCTTTGGGGGAAATTTTATAAATTTATTTAGGAAATTTTTAGTTAAAGTAAAATTTAAAATTTTTAAAAAGAAAAAAGGGGAACCCCCGGGATTTAAAAGGTAAAAAAAAAAATTTTTAATTTTTTAAATAAATAAAGGGGGATTTAAACAAAATTTATATCGGGTTTTTTTTAAAAAAGAAATTATATTTAAAAAAAATTTTGAAAAAAATTTCCAAATTTTTTGCCCTTAACCCCAGGAAGTTAAGTTAAAAGGTTTTAACCTTTTAATTTTGGTAATTTTTTTTAAATTTTTTTGAAAAATTTTAAAATTCCCGGGAAAAAAAAGCAGGGGGGGTCTAAAATTTTTCCAAAGAAAAAGTGGAACCCTACATTTTTGCCCTTTTTGGGAAAAAAAACCCTTTAAAAATTTTAAAATTCCTCCGGGGAAAAAAGCCCCTTTTTAAAATTCCCTTTGAAATTTAAAAAATTTTTTAAACTATTTTTTTAATTTAGGGATTTTAATTTTAAACAAGGGGAAAAAAATTGCCCACGTCAATTAATTATTATTTTTGACCAAATTGCCTTTTTAAATAGAAAAAAAAAAACCCAAAAAACTTTCAAACAACCAAAGGCCTTTTTTTAGCTTATTTTACCTAAGAAATTGTTTAACTGGGCTTATCTAAAGGGGCCTTTCGGCACCCCTGGGTTACGGGACCCAAAAGCTGATCATACCACAGGCCCGGAAAAGGTAAAGTTGATTTTATAAAAAATTTTTGTAGAAATGTGAAAATGTTTTATTTCTCATTATTAAAAAGGGCTTAAAAAACTCTAAAAAACAGTGATTGAAATAAAAACAAAAAAAATGGATCGCCGAAAATTTTTTAGTCAATTAAATTTTTTTTAATCAAGAAAACCCTTTTTTTGTTTTTTTTTTCAAACAAAGCAAAAGGGAAAGGGCCCAAAAAAAGAAAAACCCTTTTAAAACCATATTTAATCAATCTGTAAAAAATTTTAGTTTCATTGTTCTTGAAAATTTTCTGTTTATTTTTTAAAAAAATTAGTGGTTTTTAAAGGGGTTTCCCCGTTAAAAAATGAACCCTTTTGTACAAAAAAAATTTTTTTTAGATAAAGGGGTGGTAAAATCTATGTTTTTAAAACCCCATCAAAGGAAACCTAATGATTTAAAACTCGGCTTTGTCTGGGACAAGTTCCCCCCAGAAAAAGCTTTCTTTTTCTGAAAATTTGGTACCATATGATGGACCCCCCCTGTTAAAGCACTCAACATCTCAAAAAAGGGACTTGTTTATAAAACTTTTTAAACCCTTTTTTAAAGTTGAAACCTTTTTTTAACATAAAAATTTGCTAATTAAAAACCCTTTAAAAACACAATTTTAATTTATAATTTTTTTTTTTGGGGTTTCAAAGATTAAGAACAGATTTAGGGGCATTTATTTAAAAATTTTTTTAAATTTAAAATTGATTTTTTTTTTTTTTTTGTTATCCTAAAAATCTTAAATATAAAGTAAGAAAATTACAAAACCCGTATTGTTCATGAAAACCCAAATAAATGTTTAAATCACTATTATGTTTAAAATTTTTTTAAAGGGATTTGAAAGGGTTTCCTTTTATGATTTAATTTGGTTATAGACCAAAAAACTCTGGGATCACCAAACTGGGACTAAACTAGGCACACAAAGGGGAACCAAAGGAAATCTGGACCGTTAATATCCCAGCAAACTACTTTCAAAAATACAATGTTGCCTTGAAGGGGTTGTTGGCCTGGTTACCCCGGTATTAGGGGTTTATTTATTAACATATGGTTTTCCCGGGGCTTGTCCAAATTTAAAAGGGAAAAAAATTTTTTTCATGTTCCAAAAAGTTTTGGGCATGTAAACAAGGGGGTTTAGAGAAAAAAAATCCCCTGCCCAACCCAAATACCCAAAAACATTTTGTATTAAATAAGCTTTTAATTTTTTAATGATTTTTTAAAAAAAAAAAAAAAAAAAATACTATATGATTTCGATAAAATTTTCGAAAAAAATAAAAATATTCACAAAATGGGTTTGGGTTGATCTGTTTTTTTAAATGTTATAAAAAAAATAAATTAATTTTTAAAAAAAATTTTGTTTTTATTTTAGAAAAAAAAGAAAAACACCTTTTTAAAAGGAATTTTACTTTTTTGTATTTTTATCCCAAAAAAAAATTTTTTGAAAGCAAAAGGAGAATATTTTTAATTGAATTTTGTTTTTAATCTTCCCCTTGGGAAAAAAAAAACCCGGGGGGAAAAGGGGTCAATTTAAATCGGATTGATTTTTGATTTCAACACAGCGAACTTCGTTTCCACCTCAAATTTTTAACCGGTTCCATTTAAGTCACGAATTTAAATAAAAACGTTAAAAATGAAAATTTTTGTTTTGAAATTTCAAATGGTAAAAAAGAAAAAATTAAATCAGCCCGGTTTTTATTTTTTAATTAAAAAATGAAAAAGGGGCTCTAATTAATCCTTCAAAACCTTAAGTAACCAAAAATGACAATTAAATTCCCGGAAAACATTTATTTACAAAAAATTTTTTTTTTTTAAAAAAGGGGTTTCTTTTAAAACCAAATTTTTTTAAGAAAATTTTCCCTTATAAAATTAAAGGATCATTTAATTAAATTAGCGAAAGGACTTTTCATTATTAAAAGTTTATTAAAAATTTAGCCCTTTCTTTTTGCAAAAAATTTTTTGGGACTTTTCCAAAAATTAATAAATTTTGGTAATCAAATTTTTTAAATTTTAAAAAAAAAAGTTTCCCAAATTTAAGAAAGGAGTGGGGGATTTATGGTAAAAATATTATTTGTTTCAGGGGGAAAGTGTTGCTCATTTGACACTGATCTTTGTGGATGGGCTCAGAGTAAATCGGGATTTTTTTGATTGGCCCACAGAAAAGGGGTTTCCCAAACCTTCGTCTAGGGGAAAAACCGGGTTCCCACTAACGATCACACACAAAAAAACCGCTCAGGTAAATTTTTTATTTTTTTTTTTAATTGATTTTTTCACATGCAGAAAATAAAAGAAATACTGCAGAAGAATGACTCTCTACTAAAAATGTAGGGACTCTAGGATCAATCCTTGGCACTACCACTTAAATAACCATATGACAATAATCAGATGACACTTTATAACAAAACTATGACTTGTGATAAAAGTGTGTTACTCAAAACCAATTATTGAAGAACCTACACATAGATTAAAGATCATAATTTTATAGCTTACTTATCATCATGAAAACAGCGTTTCAGTGGGGATAATTTAAATAATTATTCAGGTCCTTTACCTTTTGGCTTTCTTTAAATTCCTTTTGAAACTGTCAGTTATCAAATATGGGTATATCAAGGATGTAAAAATAGAAATAAGAAGGCTGTTTAAACCATAGAAAATTCATTGAAAGTGAAATTATTTTTTTATAGGTTCCTACATATATATTGAATCAAGTTCACAAGCAAGACGACCAGCGGCAGAAGGCGTGGCTAGTCAGTCGTCAGATTGGCTTTACCTCGCCACAGTGTCTGAACTTTTACTACAATATGAATGGTAAAAACATATAGGTTTAGCCTGAATGGTTATGTAAAGACTGGAAAAGCTATGTTACCTTCAGCCCCAGTCTGGTCACTCTCTGGACCTCAGGGACCACAATGGGCATTTAGGTCAGGCTACAGTGAGAGCTAAAACATAACCTTAAACAGGGTAAAATATTAAAATTATATACACCTGTTACTGTTATTGGGGACATGGTACACACATGTATATTTTGTATTCAAGTTATGGTACACATTAAGTGATTCATTTTAATGAGATAATGTGCTGAGATTGTATTAGTAATGAAAATTTTATTATGTGTTACATACTCCAATGACATGCCCATACAGTAATGATAATGCACTGCTTTTCCAGTTTTAGAGTTCTATTCAATGCAAAAACGTGTTACTATTCTATGTATTTTTGTGTAAGTGGAAGGAATAAAGTCAGTGTTTATATATGTTGAGGTGGGGGTTTGTGGTAGAAGAAACAATCAGTTTCTATATTTATTCACTCACGGGGTATTAGAAGCCCCTGAGTGTTTTTATTTTAAAAGACTGTAGGAAAAAAAAACAAAAAATAAGAAAAATGCCCAAAAGAGAAATTTTTTGGTCGGGCCCTTTTAAGGGGAAATTCCCTTTAAACCTATAAAAAGAGAATTTGATTTTTTTTTTAAATTTTTTTTCCCCACATATAAGTATTTTTTTAAAGATTGTTTTTTAAAGGGTGTGATGGGGAAATGGTTTACCGGGGTTTGATATATCTATAGATGATATCAGTAGAAAAAACTCGCATTTTTAAACTACCAGGTAATATAAAATGGGGCCGGGGCCCTGGGAAAAAACCAACATAAGGGGTTTTGCGACCAGCATGGACCCAGACCAGCCTGCGCTTTGGGGATCCATGTTTGTTCGCTTAAAAACCCCCTTAAAAACAAGAAAGGGGAAAATGTTTAGCGAACACATGGATCCTGATCAGGTTGCGCGGATGCGAAAGGCTGGTCGGGAAATCCTTTGTTTGGTTTCGCAAACCCTTTTATTTTGGGTTTTTTAAATGGCTCAAATTTATTCATTTTTAATTTTTCATTGTTTTGGAGATTACTTGGGAATTACTTTTCTTTCGTGCTAGGGGTTTAAACATTTTTAAACTGGAATATTGAATTTTTTGATCTGTAGTAAAAAATTTTAGTTGTTTTTAAAATCACTCAAAAAAACCCCAGGGTTTTAAACTTTTTTTTTTTTGGGTTTTGAAAACCTTAATAAATTTTTAAATTACGGGTAATATCATTTATAAAACATAAAAGGGTAAAATAAAACATAAGTAAAATTTAATTATAAATCTTTTGAAAAAAATTTAAAGAAAAAGGGGTCAATGACTTTTGAAAATCTCTATCCCTTTTACAAAAAAAACAAGGGTGGTAACTAATTGATCACAGTGCTCCCCTGTAGTAGCAGAAATTATCTTCCTTGATAGAACTACAGACAACACAAATTTTAATAACTGTTAACTTCAGATTTAACCACTTAATTGAATATGATTATCCTTTCAGTTATGGTTCAACATATTTATACATTGTATCTTATATAGAATAGAAATGTTGTCATCCTTTGACAGCATTCTTACTTTGTCAATGATTCTTTTAATATGAACTTGACATACCAAAATCATTTTCAGGAAATTGTGATTTTGAGGGGGGGCTGTGTACATGGACTAACCCAGGTGGTATAGATAATTTTGACTGGGTACTGGGACGTGGTTCAACAGCTTCACAACTTACAGGACCATCTACTGATCATACTGTTGGAAATGCAACTGGTAAACTATTGTTAACTGGTACTTTTAATATATAGAGGATATTGAATGAGTGTAAGTTCCATACTGAATTTGTTGCACGAGTTGTATAAAATTATATTATGCGAGCCTCTGGCGAGCATAATATTATTTTATTTAACGAGTGCAATAAATTCAGTATGGAACTTACACGAATTTAATATTCTATTTATCACATACCCAAAATAAAGACCGTTTAAAGTGCAATAACAGCCATTTTTCAGTATAACGCTAACATTTAGCGCTCTTTACACTATGTTTGTATAACGATATTGATGTCACGTCAAAATATATGCACGGCCGTGCAATACCATATTTACGGATTCGCAAAATCGGCACGGGTGTGTGATAAATAGAAAAGGAAAACTTCATGTAAACGTTTTTTAACAACATATATGTGTGTTGATTTTGCCTTCATTCATATGACATGCATGTTATGAAATAATTACTTACTTTAAGGTACAAATTATTTTTGTTACAGTGTCTCACAAGATACTTCAACTTGATTGTAAAGTAAACTATCATAAAAAGACACATTCAAATACAATTGTATCTCAAATCTCCATGGTCTAACATTTTCACTATGAGCATTTTAAAATTTCACAGTTCTTGAGAACTTGTTTGTGTACTGTTTGATATTGCTGAATTATTTATGAATAAATTTATTGTTACTTTTATATAGGACAATATGTATTTATTGAGGCATCAGCTCCAAGAAAACCTGGAGATAAAGCTGATCTTAAAAGTTTAAAGTTTGCCCCTACCCAGCCTAAATGTGTGAATTTCTGGTTCAACATGCATGGTAGTAACCTCGGAAGCCTTAGTGTGAAAGTGGTACCAGCTAATAATACCAACAGTAGTACAACAATATGGCAGTTAGGACAAGACATGGGCACAGCATGGATCAATGGACAAGTTGCCTTCTCAAGCAAAGTGCCATTCTATGTGAGAATCTACAGTCTTGAATTATAATCATTGCAAAATTTCTGTAAATTGGTTTTTCTTTAAAATTTTCATAGTATAACAGTGTTTATTAGTCTTTCAAATCCATATCAATGAATTAGGCCTTTGAATATTTTCTTTATTCTGATTATTGTTCTCATACTTTGAATTAATTACTAGATTTGTAAGAACTTATTCGTAACTAAAAATCCAAATATATATTTGATCATGTTTAATATTGAAAACCTTTAACTAAGAATTAAGAGTTAACCCCTTTTGGTAATGAAGTTATGAAATTGTTTCTGATTTTTTTGTAGATTGTATTTGAAGCTGTGAGAGGCAATGGTTACCAAGGTGACATCGCTCTTTGGGTTTATATATTTATTTTACAAACTCACCCTGCCTTTGGGAAGTTTTAAAGCTCAGTTATAAATTTAAACCCACTACTAAAAAAGGAAAAGTTGCTTACTGGGAAAAGAAATTTTTTTAGGTGTTACAAATTGAGTGCATTTTCTAAAACCTTTAATAACCTTTTAAATACAAACCCCGCCCTCATTTGGCCAAAACCATTCAGTTTTTTCTTAGTTTATCTTTAGCGTTGTTGTCCTAGCTACAACAATTTTTTTTCCTTGGGATTAGCATCTTTCTGTTCAAAAAGAAAAATGTAAAGTAAAATAAAGGGAAAAAAAAGATATTAAAATGAAAAGAATTTTTAATAGGGGTTAAAAAATTTTTAAAAAATAAAAAAAATTTCCAAAAAGATGTTTTTTAGATTTTTTATAATTTTAAAATAAAAAATCTATTAAAAATAGAAATGTATATTGAGAAAAGATGTAAAGATCATTTCTTGATTTTTGGCTTTTTAGAAAAGAATAAGTTGTGATATAATATCATCCAAATTAATGATAATGTAATGATAAATTGATATTTTTTCCAGTTCAACCACCAACAGCAGCCACATCAGCAATGCAAACAACCTACTATCCATCAACTGGATCCACTACCCCACCCACATGTAATATATCAATTATGTTTATCATTTATTTAGCAGTAGATATAAGACTTGGCATGATAAAAAAATGCAATTTTAGGAATATAATAATTATACCATTACTGTATTCTATACACAGTATTTATGTATGTTTTATAAATCAGTAATCCACTCAAAAGCATAAAATAAAAACTTTTGTGCAAAAAGATAAGCATTTTTAAAGCATAAGATCAGAGGTGTCTGTAAGGTTTTTTAGACCTTTCATTATTTAATACATGTATATACTGTTTGTACTAAAAAGAGTCAGATTGAAAGGTAAATTTTCTTACAGTGCCCCCATCTAGACTGGACTGTACATTTGAGAGAGATTTCTGTCAGTGGGCACAATCTAAAGATGATAAATTTGACTGGACAAGGGCCACTGGTCCTACTTCATCAGGACAGACAGGACCTTCAGTAGATCACACACTTGGAACAGGTTTGTAACTGTTATATAATTATAATGATATATATTTATCATAATTTTGTCCTGAAATTTAAATTAAGGGGTCGGTGCCAGTATTTTCTTTTAATTGATAATTGTTTATAGCAGCAATCTGCCAGAAAACTCCTGGGCATTTTCCTGTATACTATAATGTGTATCTTTATGCATTAAAGTTTTATGTAACTAAGTGAGTGTTCATCAGCATTAATAAGCTTTAGAATGAATGTTTAGTTAATTATTAAATTTGAATTATTTATATAATTTAAATGATTGAAATCAATGTAAGTGTTGAAATTTTTCACCATCTTTTTTCTACTTCAGCTCAAGGTCATTATGCTTTCATTGAGACATCAAGTCCAAGACGACTTAATGATACTGCTAGACTTAACAGTCCATCTATTCCTCCACGTGCCAACGCTCAATGCCTGAGATTCTGGTACCACATGTATGGACCCGATGTCAACACACTAAATGTATATGCCAAATTTGGGAGACAGATTGGAACTCCAGTCTGGAGCCATACTGGAACTATCAACAATCAGTGGCATTTCCAAACTGTTGATATAACAAGTACACAAGGAGCTTCCTTCCAGGTAAAGTGGGAATTTATCTATTGAGAAAGCCTTGTTAATAGTTGGTCAATTGTGAAAATTTGTGAAAGTTGTAAATGTATCATAGATCTAAGTTAGTATTTTTATTAAGAAGCTTTAATAATAGATATAGAAATTATCATGACATATAAAGTTACAATTACATTTGTACAGATTAAAAAACAGCAACATGTAAATGATAGGAAGAAAATGGAGCATATGACCAACAAGTGATTTTTCACCTTATGTAATAGAGGCCTGTTTAAGGCTTCTTCCCAAAAGAAATTTTCTTAATACAGTTTTCCCAAAGGTTTGAAATTAATCAATTCACTTTGCTTCCCAAACTAGCAATTTTAGCAATAAATCTTCACAAAATCAAAAAGCTAAGTCCTCTTCCCAATTAAATGAGAAAAAACCACTGCCACCATCTGCTTACTTTTCTATTTTGAACTTATCATTAATAAAGAAAAGAAGATGGAGTCTTAGAAAGAAAATTTTATGATTACAGATAGTGTTTGAGGGAGTAAGAGGGACAAGTTACCGTGGTGATATAGCCATTGATGACATTTCATTCTCCACTCAACCATGTCAACAAGCACGTAAGTATACATTTGTATATATACAGGTAGTTTATTAATGTTCCTTCCATGCTTACCCATTTCCCTGTTTGTCTAGTAATAGGTTGCAACATCCATAAGAATAATTTAAGATGATTTGAAGGTTGTTCTGTGTGGATATTATTTTCATTTAACTTCATTTACATTTCACATAGTTTCACTAAGTGTTTGAGTCCTCAAGAATACATCAAGGACTCAATAAAAAAAAAGAAAAAAACATTCTGTGTCTATCTTTGTCTTTATAAAAATAAACTACAGTATGTATATTAAACCTTCATATGTACACTGTTTATATGGGCTGAGTTATGTAAAGATTTGTCACTAATTGCTTTGACTTTGTTACACTGGACATACAATACATTCACTGGGTATAAGGCAAAGGTATTTAAGTGATTTGTTCTTATTTCAGCTGGAGCTAAGTGTGACTTTGAGCTTGGTCTATGTGGTTACACTCAGGTTAAGACTGATGTATTTGATTGGTCAAGATCTGTCGGGGGCACCTCGTCTTCTGGAACAGGACCTCGCAATGACCATACATATGGTACCAATAGAGGTAAAACTTATATTTCCTTATATTACTTCATATTTGTATTTCATGGTGAATAGTGCCATACATGCAGCATAAACAATACTGTAGTTTTACAAGAAACAGATCATAAAAGGGAAAATTATATGCTATTTGTTATTGATTTTATTTGAACAATTAAACCAAACTGCAACATTTTTAATTTTACCATTTCAAACTTTTAAGGTTTCCGTTTTATCTATTATCGTAATAAGCTGTGCCAATTTTAATGTTCATAAATAAGCTAAATTGTGTATATTTTTTTTCTTCAGGTCATTACATGTATATTGAAGCAAGTTCACCTCGTCGTAGAGGAGACGCAGCACAACTTCTCTCCCCTAGTTACTCTTTATCTAGAGGAGGCTGTCTAAACTTCTGGTACAATATGAATGGTGCAAGTATGGGAACACTAAATGTAATTCTTAGACAGGGAACAAGACCACAACGAATCTGGACCAAAACTGGAAACCAGGGAATTGCCTGGCAACTGGCACAAGTTACAATTCCACAAAGTTCTAACTATACATTAATGTTTGAGGGCATTGTAGGCACTGGTTACCAGAGTGATATGGCAATTGATGATATTTCTATAATAAGTGGAGGATGTACATTACCAGGTCAAATATAATTATATATCTGATTACTTGGTATACATTTTCTTTTTTTTTCTTTTTTATTACATTTAGACTTTTTGTTCTCTAACATTAGGTTCAGAGATAGGCTAAATACTTGATGACAAAAATCTATTACTAAATTTCCCAAGTAAATTCTTATCTTTTTCTTTATCAATGATATGATTTTGAAATTAAGATTATTTTTTTTTTTAACTTTGTTGTTGTTTTTTTCATAGGTAATTGTAACTTTGACGATGGCACTATGTGTACATGGACCAATCTAAGAACAGATGATTTTGATTGGCTGATAGGAAATGGAGGGACGTCAAGCAAATATACAGGACCACAGAATGATCACACCCACAATGATAACACAGGTAGGTGTGTCATGTTTCATGCATTGGTATGTGTAAATTAGCATTTCTGTTCCGTTATCAATGAGTCATAGTATATAAAAGGAATATAGAGTTATTAATTGCAAGAACTTTATTCAATATGGTTGAATCGGTAATGTTTGTAAACATGAAGTCATACTTGTTCTACAGATACCACCAACAAGTGTAAATGTATGTAAATAAATTGTAAAGCTATCATTTTATAGTCCTTTATTATTAATTCCATTACCTACTTAAGAGACTTGCTGTCAACAAAGACTTTTTTCACATTTCTGAAAAAAAAAAATTGTTGAAAGGTATGATTATTATTATTAATTGTATATCCTTTTAGGGAAGTATATATTTATCGAGGCAAGTGCTCCTCGAGTAAAGGGAGATACAGCACGTGTTACAACCCAGCAGTTTAATCCAACAACTGGTAGTTGTATGAACTTCTGGTACCACATGTATGGTTCTGGTATTGGTCAGCTGTCAGTATATCTGGTTACCGGCACAACAAACCAGACATTGTGGAGGCTTACCGGCGACAGTCAAGTACAAACCTGGCAAAATGGTCAAATTGGAATTAAAAGTAGCAAACCGTACAGGGTATTTAAATAGAAATGCTTTTTTATATTTGATAATAATGCATTTAAATATATGTACATCATTTGTGGGAGGGGGTCTCATTATGTTGAAAAATATGTGCAATCATTACTGGAATAAGATTTATGTTGTTTTATAAAAAAAAATGACAGAACTTACTGGAACATTTAGAATGATGTTGACTGGCCATTTTTAATTTGCCTTTCAAAATGTTGGATTACTATTTATGGAAGAAGCTTTATGTTGATTATTTCTTTTGACATTATAGGTTGTAATAGAAGGTGTTAGAGGAAGCTCCTACCTTAGTGATTTGGCAATAGATGATATCTCATTTACAGGATCTTCTTGTTCAAGTATGTCTGCATTTATACTTCTTTTAATGAACAAGGAATAAAATCCTTATACTTCCTTTTGTTTTTATATTAATTAACAAGGAATATGGATATTTATTATTCAGTAAGAAAAGAATAATATACAATATATTTCTTATTCTCACAGTTAACATGGTAGACATACATGTATAATGAATCCTGTTCTTATACAGTAAACACTGTGAATTATTTCTTTTCATTCTTAGATTAATTTTTACAACAATATATATGCATGAATATATAACAACTTTAATCTAATGATATTTCTAATTCTTTTATAGTAAATAACAAACAAAAGGGTTTGTCTCTTCTGTTTATTAAAAATGATTTCACTAGTTCAGTCCAATTTAAAAAAAAAATTATATGTACATGTAGTACTGTAGTGTTTTGTTTTTGTCACTGTTTTTGTTGTTTTTCTTTTGTTGTTGTTTTTGTTTTTTTTCTTTTTAACAAAAGGAGTTACTCTGTTAAACTTTAAAAATGTGCTAAAATGAACTTTATGGTAATTGTATGTTTAATATAAACTTATAAAATGTGTACCCATATAGTATGGTATTCTATTCTGTGTTACTATTATACTGGACATGTCATTATTTCAGTAAGTCCAGTAGCAGCTAATCCAAATGGACAAACAACAGTGTCAACAACACCAGGTTCTGTTACCACAGTTACTGTTGGCTCAACACCAAGTATGTAGTATTGTACTATACTCTAATACTGCTTTAATGATATACTGTATGAGTATTGATAAACTTAAAGATGTGAAACACTTATTATATAAGATCTTCATTTATTTGTTTATAAAACTGTTTTAGCAGTTTCCCTAATTGTTTATTATATATATATCATGCATGAAATGACACATACATAGAATTGGTGTTTTTTAAGCTAGCATGGTTACACACTACTGGAAAAGAATTTCCAAGTTTCAGCCTGTTGGTTTGGAAACAATACAAAATCTTCATTCATTATTTATATTACAGTGAAAAAGAAAATGTTGTTTTTTTTTACTTTATCTAGAGCTTTAAAAGATTATCTGTGTTATTTTCAGCTTTAACAAAATATGACTGTAACTTTGAGCAAGGATTTTGTATGTGGGCCCAATCTCCAGATGATAACTTTGACTGGACAAGAACACAAGGACCAACAGGTTCCAAATCTACTGGGCCAACAAATGACCACACAACTGGAAAACGTTAGCATATTGTTAAATAAACTCTGTTCTCATCCGTTTTTTAAAGATTTCATATTTGAAACCAAATTATTTCTCTATGCAAATGGACTCAATCAGACAGAGTTCACCATTTTCATGTCTTTTGTTGTTTTAATGTTTCTGATGGTCACACATATTTGAGATTTTCATATTGAATCAGACTTGTATGTTTTTTTCTTTATTTTTTTGTTTTTTTTTCTGTAATTGGTCTAAAAGTCGTATGTTGAAGTTTAACATGATATTACTTTTTTTTTGCTCCATATCAATATTCTATCAATATTTTCAGCCAATGGTTGGTATATCTTTATTGAAACATCTGCACCACGCAAGCCAAATGACACCGCCATACTTCAGAGCCCTGTCATACGGGAGACTCAAACCCGTTGTCTTAGCTTCTGGTACCATATGTACGGTACCCATGTCAATACACTTCTAGTCTACCTGAAACCAAGTACTGTACAAGGTCTGGGAACCAATATTTGGAAACAAACTGGTAACCAAGGAAACAAGTGGATACTTGGGGAAGTTACAATAGCACCATCTTCACCTAGCTACAAGGTACACTATATTTCAGTTAAACAGTTTGCAAGCATGTCATTTCCTTTCTTTAATTAACAACATTTTTTCAGGTAGGGTTTACAATGTATTCAGTTTTTGATACAATAAAAGAAACATCTACAATAAGTTGTTTTATAGATGTTAAGTTCTTTCAAGAGTTATTTTATTCATTGCTGATCAGTAATTGACCAAATGTGAATTGATGTAGTAACTGACATGCCTAAATATACTATGAAAAATGAAGTTAAACCAAGAAAATTGAACATTGCTTTTAGGCTTTTTCATTTCTTTCAATACATTGTTATTCCTTTAAAAATGGAAAAAAATGTTATGTTTGTAAAGATGATAGACTCTGCTTTTCAGGTTATATTCCAAGCTCTACGAGGAATCAGTTACCGTGGAGACATTGCTCTAGATGATATCAGAATGTCTTTAGGAGCTTGCAAACAAGCAGGTAAGATACTTTAATATGATTTGTATATGACTTCATATATCTGTTAAAACATTTTATTGAAGTGATTATTTTTTTTATTTATCATTAACCAACATGTTCAATTTCTAACACAGCTATGACATGTGACTTTGAGCAGAGCTCAATTTGCAACTACGTACAGGACCAATCTGACACACCCAACTTTGACTGGACTTGGAAATCTGGTGGTACTGGCTCAGCCAGTACAGGACCACCTTCTGATCACACTACCGGAACCCGAACTGGACATTATATCTACATTGAAACATCAGCACCAAGGCAACCAAATGACACTGCTAGAATTTCTACACCAAACTACACACCACAGGTTAATATATATACACATAACAAGGATAAAAAGTTTAGAAATATGATTTTCTTGTGAATTAAAAGCCCAAGTTGTTTAAAGGATAGAACATATTATATATTACTAGTCATCTCTTGAATAGTGAAATTGACATATCTGATAAGATTTGCATACTCTTCTAAAGAAGTCTTATTATGAATTTCAAAATAAAGTTTTGTTAATGATGATGAAAGAGTGATTACAATAAACTGCAGATTTGTACTGCATTTTAAGCTCCTTATTAAAATTTCTAATTTCATGCCATCAGGCATATCAACATTGACAGTGTTTAAGTATGCCTTTTATTACATGTACTTAAAAAAAGCTATGACAAGCAATGGAAGATAAGCTCTGTATTATCTTTTTGTCAAATATATGGTTAAAGTACTATGCTTATAGATGGATTGGCAATTGGGTGCATCTGCCAAAGACCGCTTATCTAGTTAAAAGTTGCTTGTCATTTTATATTTTTTCCCAGAGATAAGCATTAATAACTGGATTTTAATCAGTGTAATACTTCCTTTATATTTTTAGAGTTCTGCCCCCGTGTGTCTCAAGTTTTGGACACATATGTATGGAGTTGATGTCAACACACTGAATGTATATCTTGTTAACAGTCAACAGCCCTCTAAGAGAAACCTAATATGGACACGTTCTCTAAACCAGGGTAATGCATGGAGACAAGCAGCTGTCACTGCTAACCCTAGTGGTCAATACAAGGTATGGACAATTAATTATTGTATGCTTTGTATAATGAGCTTGGTCTGCTATATAGTTTGATGTTTTATCCTTATTTGTAGAGGTATAAAGATAAAGCAAACTAAATTAAATAAATCTAAAATTGGGCTGTACATTATAGAATCAAGCATGTTCAGAATAGATAGAAAATGGCATGTCCTAAGTGTGGGTCTGAAAAAGGATGGTTTGACATTTTACTTGCTTACTTTAATGTAATAAAGCATTTGAAATTAAGCAATGTAATAATAAGACTGTGAAAATTGCAATATAAAGTGATAATGCAGCAATATTTGTTTATTTCCAGATTGTGTTTGAAGGAATTAGAGGAAAAGGTTACCATGGTGATATAGCAATAGATGATGTCTCTATCTCAAATGGGGCTTGTAGTGGACAAGGTTTGTAAAAATTGTTATAAATATTTGTAAGATATAACTATCTGTTATTTAATTGGTTCTTACTTAATTGATGCTCATTATGTTGAGAGACACATTTTATTTTCAATCTTATTTTAAGTCACTGATATTCTTTTGAACAGACAAATTTTGAAGAAAAAAAAAATTATTATTTTTTAGCCTGATATAAAAATCATTGTGAATCTTTCTATAATGTCATAGGATCATATGTTTAATCTAGATTTTTTTAACCAATGACTAAAGGCTAATTATCTTTTTTAAAAACAAATGTATACATTTATAATTGTACAGGAGACAAATGTGACTTTGAGAAAGATACATGTTTCTGGAAGAACATAAACCAAGGGGATGATTTTGATTGGTTAAGATCTCGTGGCAAAACAGGCAGTTCATTTACTGGACCAAGTACAGATCACACACAAGGAACCAACTCTGGATACTACATGTTTATTGAAACAAGTGCCCCTAGGGTTAAAGGTGACAAGGCAAGGCTGATCAGTAAGGTTTATCCACCGTCAGGACCAAAGTGTTTCAACTTTTACTTCTACATGTATGGTGCTGACATTGGATCTCTCAATGTTTACGTTCTGACCAACGCATCATCATCAGCTTTCTCCTCGGAAGCATTGAAATGGACAATGTCTGGAGAGTACCTGAATCCAAACAATTGGGAGCAGGGATCATTCAATCTCACTTCCCAGTATACATCAAACCCATATGAGGTATTTACTTCTGAAATGTCTATGCATTAGAAATAACACTCTTTACTATCACAACCATTTACTTGTTAAATTTGTGTAATGGATTTGCCCTTCTGTGAATTTTGAGTGGTCCATTTAAAGTTTAAGAAATTTCCACATCAAAATACAAAACATGAACTACCAACAGTATAGAGCCTGGCCATAGTGCATGAATATGCAGGAGACCTGGCTGTATACTTATGACAAAGACAGTTCATGTTCTGTTCCAGCAGAATATTGGTTAAGACCTTGTTATTACAAATGAATATTTCCATAGTTTCTTTAGAATGTTATATTACATTATTTCTAGTATTTCTAGATAGAAAAGTAATTGTTTATAGAGTATGAGTAACAAACAGACAGTGTTCTTATGTACAAAGACAAAAGAGAGACGTTATTTATTCTAATATTTATGTTGATTTTTTTTTTATACTTTCTTTATAATTTAATCAGTCTGAAATGAGTGTATCACAGACATTGAATACATAAAGGCTGCTATAGGTAAACTATGCAAATTTATATTATCTTTCAGATAATATTTGAAGGAATTAGAGGGAAGGGTTATAGAGGAGACATTGCTATTGATGATACAGCATTAGTTGATGGTGGATGTACACAATTTCCAGATAACTCTCAACCAAGTCAATGTAAGTTTACAATTATCTCATTTTCCTTCAAAAACTGCATATGACCTTTTTTCTATAGTTATTTTTTTTAATAAAGATTGATCACTGAAACAAAATTTAGATTTTTTTCCCTTAAGTTAAAGGCAATTGCCAATTTTTGTGTCTAGTCTAATGGCTGTGTTATAGATAAATTTTGCAGGGAAAATATATACATTTTAGACAAGTCTTGAAGAAAAATACATTTGTGTCTGAAGTTAAATGGTGTTAATTTTAATTTTATTTTTCTTGTAGCATCACTTGGAACAGTCACATGTAACTTTGACTCAGATTACTGTCAATGGATTCAAAGCACCACTGATCAGTTTAACTGGTCACGCATCAATGGCTCCACCTCCAGCCAAGGTACCGGTCCTCTAGGAGACCATACTAGTGCTGGTCAATCAGGGTATGGGACAGGATCATACATTTATATAGAAGCATCTGGGCGGCGTACACCTGGTGACAAAGCAGATTTGATGACTCAAATCATACCTAGCACTTCTCCACAGGTAAAAAATGCATATTTACATTGTATATTTAAACAATGTAGTTCTGGATGTTTATGATTTTAGTTACACAGCTGCTGCTAATTATCTTTTTATTTTTATTTCAATATAGACAGAAACTGTGCATTTATTTTCTCAGTACATTTGAAAGAACTTTGACAGGTAATATGGCTGTATATAAATGGTTGTTTGCTATATGACCATCTCATATTGCAACCATTTATACTAGGTCATATAATCAGTGTCAACAATATTCATAAGAAATGATATAAAATATTTATATTTAAGACATTCTGCTATACTGCTTTGTTCTAAATAAATGTAGTGTTTTCATGCTTGTTAGACTCTGGAATATATCCTGAAGGTTATTTACATATAATCAAATGGATGAATGTTATTATATGATTTTTTTAGGTATATATAAATGCATAGAATGAGGAAACATTTTGGGGCTTACTAAAATATTGTTTTACTTTTACATGAAGTGATTAAAAAAAAAGTAAAGTAAACATAAACATAAGAGTATATCTCAGTGGCTAGTGTGGGGATGAAATGTATGGATCTTTTACATAAAGATAGTGATCCTGTTAAAATCAGAATAAAAATTTTTCATGTTAACTTATTGAAACTTTTTTTTTAATTCAGGGAAGATGCTTTTCCTTCTGGTATCATATGTATGGCGGATCTATAGGGAAATTAAACATCTACAGTATATCAGGGGGACAGCAGACATTACTCTGGACAAAATCTGGTACTCAAGGAAACAAATGGCAACAAGCAAGTCTTAACTACGTCAGTAAAACTGATTTTAAGATGATGATAGAAGGAACAACAACAGGTGGTTACCGTGGTGATATAGCTGTAGATGATGTATATCTAGAGTCAGTACCCTGTTCACAGTCCATTGTTATCACAAAGACAAGTAAGTTTACATTAAAACAAATAACTGTCATAAAAGTGTTAAATACCATGTTAGAAAAATGCCCACAACTGTAAAACACAGTTTTCAGCCCATTTGATAGTTTAAATACCTTGCTCTGAGACATTCTGTTTAAAAACAGATTTAATTCTGTATTATTTTAGTCAGCAACTGTCATAAGAAATTGCCTTTTTGTGTTTAATGCAGCTGGTATAACAAAATGTTGATATTTTATATTTATTTACATATAGACTTATAAGATTTCTAAGTAAACATTAAATTTTGTAGTATTTCAACATGATTAATCACTTTTGCATTAAGTTATAGTCTAGATATTTTTAAAACTTATCATAATTTTTAAGTACGTTTTGTAAATGTTATTTGTTATGAAAGGTATAGATACTATCAATGATTCAGGGTTTTGTTTTGTTTTAATTTATCTAAAATTAATTGAGAATTCTTACAATTGTTATCTATGAATTTCAGAGACCTGCACATTTGAGTCTGGACTTTGTGGTTGGACACAGGACACAACAGATAACTTTGATTGGACACTTAATGGCAACAAGACAACAAGTTCAGGAACAGGTCCAACCACTGACCACACCTTCCAAACTGGACAAGGTAAATTCCATATATACCAATATTTTATATTAAAGTTAAGGACATTGTTAACATACAAATATTATCTAATTTTTTTCCCATCAAAAGTGATGCATCATGCTTTAAAAAAAAAGAATATGACGTGGAAGTTATTTGGGTTAGATAAAGTTCATAAGAACTGTGAAGTGATTGTGAATGTGTCTATTTTTTGTTAAATTGTAAAGAAAAGAAAACATTGTACTAGGTTTGCACATAAAATTCTTTTTAATAGATTTGATACAAAATATTGATATTCATGAATGTTATAATTTAAAAAAAAATTTAAATAAGGTAACTTCTTTGATTACAAAACTTAACTCACTCATTGCTTAATATTTACTAGCAACAAGTAAATTTTCCATGTTGTTTTTTTGTTTCAGGACATTATTTGTATATTGAGGCATCAGCTCCGAGGAAGACTGGAGACAGGGCACGTATAGTGACACCCAGCTATCCAGCCACCAATGGAGAGTGTGTCCAGTTTTACTATCACATGTATGGTACAGGTATGGGGAAACTCATCGTTCATACTATGTCTAATGGTCAGATAACTGGAGACATCTTAACTATCTCTGGTAACCAAGGAAACAAGTGGATCCTTGGAACAGCAACAGTTCAAAGTTCGATTTCATATCAGGTAATATATATACATTTATTTTTTTAATTTCATGAAAATATATTGTGTTGTAAATGCAGTTCTATCAAACTTTGTTCTGGAAATTTTATAAAGATTCACAAGCTTAATTTTCTCTAAACAATATTCATGTAATTCAATCCTGATGGTGTTCTCTTATTTCCTATTTCATTGTTAATGCTTAACTAAAATGTGGCCTACGTCACACTATTTCACATCTAGATTGAGGTTTTGATACATAAAAATAATAGTTAACAAGTCTAAAGACATTTTGTAAGTATTCGGTTATCATATTACAGGTTTATGATAATGTTTGCTTTTGTTTGTTACAGCTTGTATTTGAAGGAATCAGAGGGACTACATTCTCTAGTGACATTGCCATTGATGATTTCAAAGTCACTTCTGGACCATGTGCAGCCCCAGCATCATGTAACTTTGAGAAAGATCTCTGTGGTTTTACAAATGCTGTAGGTGATCAGTTTGACTGGACAAGAGATAATGGAGGTACCCCATCATCAACAACAGGGCCTCACAATGATCACACTACCAATTCTGCTGCAGGTACTAGTTTAATATATTCATGTATTTACAGTCTTTTGTATTACCTTACAGGCATTTTCTTTGACAAATTTTGTTGGGTAATCAAATAATTACAAGAAAAATGGTGAGCAAATAAGGTAAGATAAAGCTAGTAAGTATTGACAAGAATCATTAATTGTATTATTTCCCATCTTTTTTGTATTTAGTATATTTAATAAAAATTGATAGATCCCTACAATGAACTTTAATGAATATCAATAAAGATTTAACCACAAATATTGACATCTGCTCTTTCGTAAACAATACGTTAACAATATTTGTTATGGAAATGAAATAATCTGGTAATTTAAATCACACAAATTAGGGTCATATAAGGAATCCGTCCATAGTAATGAACATCAAGAGAAGAAGTAACAAATATAGAAAAACAAATTTACAAGGTCAATACTCCTGTATTTTCTATATTGACAGTAACTGTGCCTGATTGGCCCATAGGACTTTCATAGAGATTACCCAACCTGATGATCTTTAGCATGTATAGATATGGACTGCTATGATATTTCAGCTTTTTTCTATAAAAAAACACTGAGTTGAGAAGATTTATATTACTCACGGTCTTACAAATACTTATTTAATCTTTATGTGATATATAAAGTAGACCATTATGCTGCATTTTATGATATAAATGATTATATATATATTTTAGGTTACTATGTATTTATTGAGACAAGTGCTCCCAGGAAAGTTGGAGATAAGGCATGGTTGAAGAGTGATCAGTTAACACCCACTACAGGATCATGTTTAACTTTCTGGTACAATATGTATGGACAAGGTAAAATATAGCCTTTGTTATGGCTTTTAATCAAAATAATTCATTGAATGAAAAATGTCTATTAAGAATGCTAAAAGAGCACAGTTATGGCTAACTTGTACACTTAATTATATTGTTTTATGTTGATTTTGACAATGTTTATATATTGAAACTTATGTATTTTATTGATGTCAGGGCCTTTTCACTAGTTTTGGGGAAGGCGCCCTAGCCCTTTTTGTGGGGAAAAAATGCGCGATTTTCACACTTTTGGGGAAAATATCATACTTTCACACATTTCGGGGGAATATCATAATTTATTTGCATATCTTCCTCCAATCACAATTTATAGTACTAAGCTTTCTGTCCAACAGGAGTAAAAGACATTTTTACAGATCAATTTATTGCCCCTTTATATTAACTCATATTTCCTATTTATAGTATTTTACGTTGGTCATGTGAGGGTTCTTGGTTTGATTCAGAGGGTACATTATTATCAGTTTACACTGTATTACTGGCACTGATGTGCTAGGCTCGCTATTTCCGACAGTTAGGCATGTTGTGCTACTCGGACACATGGGCTTGCCGCAACTAACAAGGTCATCAATTCATCCAATTTTTAATAAACAATTACAAACGTCACTCAATCGTATTTTCTTCTTGTTCTGTGACATTGTTTACATTAGTGACATCGTATCGGTCGCCATATTGTCGTAACAAATCACATGTGCACTAAAAAATAAGGCAGCAGGGATTTCCCATGCTGTTTTTAGAAAGTTGCAAACTCAGACTGAGGCTCTGAGTTAACATCAATTGTATTAAATCAAGGTATCCCTCTATTGGGTTATTGAATTATTAGCTTTCATTGGACAAAACAATTATCTATTTTAAAACAAGAAAGTTTGTTTACAAGTTTTATTCTTCAGTTAAAGGGGAAATATTTGCCAGAAGGGGAATTTTAGACTGTTTTTTGGGGAAAAAAGGTAGTAATTTGGCTTGGGGAAGTAGCCTGATACAGGCTACAGCAAAGAAGGGTAAAAAGGCCCTGGATGTATATGTCATTGATTTGATTGTAAATTGTTGAAACACAGGTACATAGTGGTTATTTTCATGCAAGGATGTATAGCTGCTGAATATATGTTTAATTTATTGTTATTTCATTGGGATTCATCTGGTATTACAATTACATGTACATGTATATCAGTTGATTGTTATGTATGAATTGAACTTTCTTCTTAATTTCTTCTTTAATTATTCATGTTCAGTGTGGGATACACTTTCTTGAAAACATGGCATGGATTTGAACTGTTCATTAGTACAATGTATGTAGTCCAATTGTACAAACTCTAGATTTCTATGTTGTTTAAGCTTCATTAATAATAATACCATGGCAGTATACAGTATCTTTTAATTGTTCACAGCAAGTTTATGTGTATCTTTAACTGAAATCCAAAATCAAACTTGGGTAAGTTCTGAATGCAGTATGTTAAAAAGTTTTAAAGATTGTAATTTCATTTTACAGGTATCGGTGATCTGAATGTTTATCTGATGAGTAGCCTCGGACCACAACAGACATTGTTTAATGTCAGTGGTAACAAAGGTGATGTATGGATCAAGGGGCAGGCAACTCTGTCATTTACACAGAATTTCTACATCCTGTTTGAAGGTGTTAGAGGAAATAACTTTAATGGTGATATTGCCCTAGATGATATCAGTGTAGTTGCAGGTACTTGTGGATCACAACCCACAGGCTCCACTCCTTCACCTACATCGTTTACAACTGCAAGTTAGTATATATATATTCATAAATAAAATGTAAAAAAGACATTTCTGGGTTATCCAGTATTAAATGAAGTTCTGCCTTAGCACTTTCAATAATAAATCATACATCTTTAGACAGTAAAATAAATTGATATCGAGCATGATATGCGCAGGCTGGTCTGGATCCATGCTGGTCGCAAACACATTACAATGGTTTTTTCATGACACAGCTCAATTTTAATGTTTCTGCTTCCAGCTCCAGTGACATCATGCACATTTGAGAATGGTTTATGTAACTGGGTACAGGATCAGACAGACAACTTTGATTGGACAAGGCAGAAAGGACGTACATCCAGTTCTAATACTGGACCTAGTTTTGACCATACAACAATGAGTTCAAATGGTAAGAATAATAAAACCAATTAGTGAAATAATATTTTAAGTATTTAACATAAATACATGCCACATTGACATATAAAATTATATATGCTGTATATAATATGTTTATTTTTGTAACTGGCAAACTGAGTCCATTATATGTTGTGTTGTTTAAATGTCAATATTATAAAGTTCTTTTCAGAAAAAAACTGGGAGTCTTGTATTTGTCCAGGATATTGTAATGTACATGTATAAATCTGGGTATTGTTTTTATTTTCAGGATATTATATTTACATTGAAACATCGCAGCATAGAGCTAATGATTCTGCACGTATTATAAGTCCTATGCTGTCCACACAGACGGCTACATGTGTTTTATTCTGGTATCATATGTATGGCTCGGACGTCAGTGTTCTCACGATGTACCTGAAGTCTGGTTCTAACCTTGGTAGTCCATATTGGAACAAAGTTGGCACGCAGGGTAACACCTGGCATTCAGCTCAAGTTGAACTTGGTCCACTTACCAATAAACAGGTATGTATTCCATAGGAAACAATAGCAGAAAACTGTCATTTGGAAAATATTTTTCTGATGAATGAAAAGAGGTAGCTTTAATTTAAGATGAAAACACTATTTGTAAAATTCAATTATAGAATATATTACAGACATTGTAAGATACAGTACGCTCACCGCGGGATTTGCTTTTTCTGCAATACCACCGCGGACGATTTTTTTTTATCGCGGACAAACGCGGGGGTTCGTCCGCGATGAGAAGCCTAATTACCCCGCGATCCCCGGTGTTCAGTTGTTTCCACCGCGGACAAAATTCTGACGACCGTTCTCTATTCATCGATAAAATCAGTCACCCGTTTCCCGCGGGGGAACGCCATGGTCAGTTGGTCGGCATAAATTAGCCTCCAAAAATAATAGACGTTTTATTATTTTTTAACGTCATCTTTTTTACACAATGACTTGAAAATTGATCACAATCGTCTCCTTAAATGTTATTATACGTTAAAATTATTTGAACGGAATTTGAAATAAAAATAATTACAGCTGTACCTGTTTTTGTTGTTGTTTTTAATATTTTTGTTATAAACGTCCACAAAACTATTCGTCCACATACCAATATTTTTACAACTGAAATCGTCATTTATCACTGTCATCTTTACTTTTTCATTCCTTGTGGTTCTCAAAGTATTATTGCTGTTAAACTATATGGGAGCCATAAATATGATACTTAGTAAAAAAAGGGCATTTGTGCTGATATCTCAATGATGACTGACGCTACAGTACATGTCCTGTAAGAGGTCGATGAGTGTGAATACAATACAAGACATAAATAAAATACATGTACATATATTAGAAATAAAAGAAAAAGATATTTAAACCATCTATAAGATTTTTTTTGAATGCAATTATATTCTTTAAAAACGGGTAGACTTGTTTGTTTGTGTTTTTTTACAGTAAAAAACCCGTCGAAAATGGACATGAGAAATATGCATGACACTTGCCAAAAAGTTTATGTATACTGTACATACCGTATATATGTTTGACACAAATTCAAAAAGATTCTCTTTGCCATCATGTCAGATATTGTCGGATATTGTATATTGTCAGATATTGTATATTGTCATATTTTCTATATTGTCAGATATTGTATGTGTGAAAAGGGGCCATGTCGCCGCTACTTAATATGTATTTAAACAGTAGTATCATACCTAAATGTTCATAATTTGTTTGTGCTACACAAAGAGAGTTCTTTAAATGCTTTAAATTTAATTTGCGTCTTTAAAATTAGTTAGATATTACGAGTTTTCTATTAGTTTCTATGAGTAAAGACTTTTATCTTTATAACGTGTAAGTTTACAATTAAGTGAGTTACATCGCTCTTTATATAAATTAATTGGGAGTTACATCGCTCTTTATATAAATAAAGTTTAAAAAGGTCGTATAATGTAGACTTAAAAATGGTTAAAGTGACACATTTTGATAAACTTGAAATTGTACGGCTGTACACAAGTGGTTTGAAAAATAATCAAATTCAGAGGAATTTAGAGTCTAAAGGAGTTTCTTTATCCAGACAAAACATTGACTATTGGATTCGCCAGTATCTGAATGTACATGCATACTGTTCGTAATAAAATAACAAAAAGAATAACGTCAAGTTTAACAAAATTCTGCAAAAAAAACTATAAAAAAATAAAAAAGAACAAACAAACAAACTACTAAAACAAAAATGAAAATAAACTTCAACAGTTGATATAAACTTCAAAACATATACATTACGCTCACACCTGTAATTAGATAAATCAAAAATATCATTTAATGTATATTTTGGTGAAATAAACGCTTTCTTTTAATGTTCCAAATAAAATATAAGACTTTATGATCAACATGCAAATAAACAGAAACAGTAAAACGCATCTGACAATTGAAAGAGACGTCCTGGAATATTGCCTGAATAAATTGTTGAGGGTAACGTTTTCAAAAGTTTTAAATAAGAAACAAAAGCTGGCATATAAATTGTTGTAGTATCTTTTTCATAAATGTCATATGCCGAATTTTTCATTATTTGACTTTAAGTTTCTCACTACCATGAAGTTGCGACGACAATGATTTATCTTGATGTCGAATACATATTATACGTTACCCAACACAATAACAAGAAGAAGAACAAGAAATACACTGCATTTGTACATGTACTTTTATTACAACAAAAAAGAAAACAAACAAACAAATTTTACATATAGTTATATGTACAGTACATGTTACAGTACGTACATATACTGATGTTTAAATACAGTAACTAATTTTTAAAATTTAAGGTTTCCACCGCGTTGACCGGTGTTTGACCGCCGCGTTCCTCCGCAATTTACCACTGCGTTCCGCGGGGGAAACGGTTTCAGCCGCCGATTTATGTCCGCGGTGGTGAAAATTTTCTGTCCGCGGGGTCACGCGGACAATATCTGAGCAAATTTTCGTCCGCGGAAAACCTCATCCGCGGGGTCACGCGGGTTTTGAAAAAGTCGCGCTGAGCGTACTGTATGAGAGCTGAAACTTATTTTATAAATATATTTTATATTGAATTGTTTACATACCGTTTACACTATTCATCATTTGTGGTTTGTAAACAGATTGTATTTGAAGCTCTTAAAGGCAATGGTTACCAAGGTGATATAGCACTTGATGATATCACAATTACAAATGGAGCATGCCCACCACCTGGTAAATACAAGTATTTCAATTTAACAAAATTTTGTGTTCTCTAATGGATGACTTAAAATTGATAAAGGATTTGTTAAATATCAGAAATTAATATGATTGAATGAGCTGCGTCATGACTAAACCAACATAGTGCGTTTGCGACCAGCATGGATCCAGACCAGCCTGCACACCCGCGCAATCTGATCAGGATCCATGCTATTGGCTTACCAACTCTATTACAATTAGAGAAACTGATAGCTAACAGCATGGATCCTGATCAGACTGCGCAGGCTGTCTGAATCCATGCTGGTCGCAAACACACTATGTTGGTTTTGTCATGATGCTGCTCATTAATGTCAAAACACTTTTAATGGAAGAAAATAAATTGGTCCACAAAAATTGACATAATTTTCAAAATGTTGAATGTTATACATTATTATAGAAGTATATTGATTCAAATTAGAATTATGGATGAAAATTGAAAATAAAATAATAAAATTTTGTCTTTAGAGTTTGCTTATACATGTACTACTTTTAATTCTTATAGAAGTATATTGATTCAAATTAGAATTATTGATGAAAATTAAAAATAAAATAATAAAAAAAATTGTCTTTAGAATTTATACTAATCACTAAAACTGACTTGTATTTTGTTCAGCTGTGTGTGATTTTGAGGACAAGTCTATCTGTGGCTATCAACAATTGGTTAATGATGACTTTGACTGGACATGGAATTCTGGTGCTACAGGAAGCTCTGGGACCGGACCAATGTCAGATCACTCTTATGGTACCACTGACGGTATGTCTGAACCTTTATACTTCAACTAGTCTCACAATCCTGCATTGGATAAAACAGTGTTTTCCCTGAAAAATTGAATCTCTTTGTTGAGAAAAAAAAAGAAAAGAAAATGAAAAGAAGTTGATATTTAGAAAAATATTTTTGATAATTATCATATTAACAATTTTATTACCTAACTGATATGATATAATCAAACAGCTGAGCCTAGATAAGCTGCTGGTTTATCTTACTGTAGGCAGACCATTTGATTCAGTGAATAAATTAACCTAAATCTCTTGAAAATAAGAATAAAAATAAGCTTCATTCACATGTTTAAATATTTGTTTTCAATTCAATAGTAAAAGACAATAAGTAGATGCAGCTACATCTCACCACAGATGGAATTGTAAAGTGTTTAGAAAAGAATAAGTGAAAACTGTTTTTTCAATATTTGAAAAAGTTTGTCTTTAATTTTTTAAAGGTCACTACATGTACACTGAAACATCATCACCACGGAAACAAGGAGACAAAGCTAGACTTGCTAGTAAAACATACCCGGCCACTAACAACATGTGTCTGACATTCTGGTATCACATGTACGGTAGTAACATTGGAACTCTCAATGTCTACACCAGCTCATTTGGTCGTCTTGGTTCAACAGTATGGTCACAGTATGGTAACCAAGGCAACCAGTGGCGTAAAGCACAGAAAACTTTACAAACTGCTACACAGTACCAGGTATAAAAAGATATCTATATACAATATATATGTTTAGAATTTTGAGTTTAATTTGTTTATTCATTTTGTAATAGTGATATTTTTTACAATTTCTGTTGTATTTTTTCAATATCAAGCGTGTCTTTTAAATTATTTCCCAGAAATTCTTTAAATGTTGCAAAAAAACAATTTAATGATACATTGTAATATTGTAAGCTTTGTAAAAATATATATATGTAGAAGAAATCAGTACCAAGGTAGATTCTAATAAGGTTTTTATTTTGTTTAGGAACTAATTGTCTAAAAGACAAAGTTAGTTTTGATGATTTAAAACATTGTCCTTTTTTTCAGATTTTTTTCTTTGACTGTTAAGAATTAAAACTTTGGAATATAGAATACATGTAATTATGAACTTTTGGACAATTTTATACAGATTATACAACTAACATATAAAGTAATGTACAAATTTAAATGTATGCTGTACTATTTACAGGTTGTGTTTGAAGGTGTACGAGGTTATGGTTACCTAGGTGATATAGCCATCGATGATATCGCCATGACAGCAGGTTCATGTCCTGGTCTTGGTACATGTGACTTTGAGACTGGTATTTGTGGCTGGATGCAGAAAACTAATGATGTTTTTGATTGGACAAGAAAGAAGGGTAGTACTCCTTCACAAAACACTGGACCAACAGTTGATCATACTCTCCAGACTACAACAGGTACATAATAATATAAATTCTACAGTCTAATTTGAATTAAGTCTCGATATTTAAATATATAAATTCAGAGCCTCAGCTGACAAAAGCAAGCTGACAAAAGCAGAATTTGAATGACTTCCCTCTACTGTTTGAATTCCTGTTTCTGAATGAATTTCAGTGACATCAGTGTTTTCCTATATAATTAGAGGGAACATTTGGGTCATACATCTCTTGGTAGGACTTATAAACTCAAATCATAAAAGGAATATTATAATTTGAAAAATTATTGTTTCACAACAAATTTTATGCAGAAAATCAGTTTTAATGCAGGAATAAAGACACGTTTATATTATAGTAAGTGTAAATATTACATGGTTCCCCAATATTAACCCTATTTTATAAAAATTATGACAAGAAAGGTAAATGAAATCAAAGTAATTAAAGAACTGATGGGCAGCATTTTTTCTATATATCAAGATTATTTATTAGTTGTAAAGATTATTACTTTTGAGGTTTACATACAATTTCTTTAAAGGGAGAATAGGTCATTCAAAACTACTCTATTCTACGTTTTGTCCAACCCAAAGATTTGTAAGATGGAAACATATATAATGAATAAAGCAGTTTTCTATAAAAGGTTAAAACATAAGAAGCTAAAAATGTTTTTAATTGTTGTTATGTGGCTCAGATGAAACAATGATGTTAGATGGCCATTTATTGCCATCTTGGATTTCTTTGATCGCCATCATTTATGCCAATTTATGCTGATGGTTTCATATACTATAGACTTTAATGAACAATTTGGTATATAACAATAATTGTTGCAATGACCGTCAAGGTTCATCATTTTTTTAGGTCCTAATTGTCGCTCTACCATTTCAAAAGTTATGCTATAAAGCCACTTATATTTGTATTTAATCACATTGTAGCCATTAAGGTAGGTTAAGACCATGTTGTGTACATGTTCATAGGAATAAATTTTCATTGTTTTATTTCAGGTACCTACCTATACATAGAGACAAGCGCTCCTCGTAAGCAGGGAGATAATGCAGTAATACAATCACAGGAGATACCTATAAACCCCCAGTACTGTTTCTCTTTCTGGTACTTCATGCATGGAAGCTCTGTGGGGTCCCTCAATGTAAGCTATCAGCTACAGAATACACCAACAACAAAACCGGTGTGGAGTATGAGTGGTGATCAGGGAAGCATCTGGAAACAGGCAACTGTCAATATTGGAAACACACCAGAAAGTTTCCATGTAAGTGCTCCTCATGAAAAAAATTGAGCCTATGGGGTTTTAGTTAAAGAATGGTTATTTAGATTTGATTTGAAAACAAGTTCTTGATACTTATTTAAATTATTTTCAAGATTGTTTCCTGCAGCTAACATATCATATGTTGCATATGAGAAAACATTTTCACAGTTTCAAAACTCAAATTTGCATTTTCCTGGATTGAATGTCACAAGGCCACCATTCCATTCCAAATGGATTCTTCTCAAATGTGATTTTATCTACATTCATAAGCCAAGACTTGTCTTTAAGTTTGTTGTTACTGTATTAAAACACATATTGAAATTTTACTTTATTGGCTAGATAAGTAAGGATTTATATATAGTGAAATTGAATGTTTTATATATCAGATACTAGTAGCAGCTGATGTAGGGAGCAGTTACCTTGGTGACATAGCTGTAGATGACTTCAAACTTGATCAGACACCTTGTAGTCTAGGTAAGTTTTTATATCGCAAGGTTGAGATACAAGTAATTTTGGAAATAAAATATCTGAGGTACAAGAAACTGTGAAAGTAACATATCTAAAAATAGTGAAATACAAGAAAAACAGTTAAAATATATCTCAAAACCTTTTGTTTCATTGTGCATGTTCTTTTTGTGCTTAATATCCTCTATATTATAGGAATTTGTTTGAATGTAGAATAAAATATCAAACATAAAATTGCGCTTGAATTGTGCACATTGTTTTTTTCCTTATGTTAAATTAAACCTGTAAAACTAGTGTTCCCTTTTTGATTTCCTTAGTTGTATTATTTTTTCTGAAAATTATACTCTGAAAACTGTTTTAACTGGGAAAAAAATATTGTTTCAGTGAACCGAACCACGTTGTTTGACTGTAAGGATAATAATCATACTAAGATCTCATCAAACCTTGTTTGTGACTTTAAAATGGACTGCCCAACAGATATAGATGAACTCAACTGTGGTATGACTTTTTATTTTAAATGTTGTTAATTCAAATTCTATTGTGATAAAAGCTGGTAGCTTCTTTGAACTATTCTTGAGTCTGTTTGAGCTGGTTTTGACACCAGCCCTTAACTTTAATCTAAAAATGCAGTAACTTTTTTGCAGTGTTGAGATTGAATTCTGTATAAATTACATGATGGATTTGTTTTATATCGTAGGTGATTGTGATTTTGAACAAAACACATGTGGATGGGTAGACACAAGTTCCGGTACCCAGCAATGGATGCAAGGAAGTAATGGCTCAACAACTGCCAACATGGGCAAGGGACCAGCATTTGATCATACATTAGGCAATGGCAGAGGTAAGTTTGATAGATTTGTTTATTTAAAATATCCCAATTCATTTTATGATTGTACATGTACTATGATGTTATATGTAAACCTTCTGAGTGCTGTCGACCCATGTGACCAGTGCAGACCAATATCAGCTTGCCCATCTAAGGCTAAGTGAATGTTGGGTCCATTTGTTTTGCAGATATAAATATATCTAGTTTTTTAGGGGGGAAAAGAACACATTTATTTTGGAAAAAAATGAATATATTTAAACCAAGAGCCTTTTTATCCAGTATAACATTAATGAATCATTTCCATAAATCAAGGACATTCTGTGTTTAACAATGTTAAATATACCAAAATACTGCTATCTATGAATTGATAAACAGCAATTTTATTTTTATTTTTTTAACTAAACCTTTTTTTAAATTTAGGACATTATGTGTATATAAGTGGGTCAACTGGATCATTTGGCACTGTTGCTGAGGCTGTGGGACCAACTCTACAAGCATGCAGCTCAACCTGCCAAGTACAGTTCTATTATCATATGATGGGATCAGGTGAGATTCAGTGAAAATTTTTGTTCCTCTATTTCAAACAATTTTTTCCCAGCAATTTATAAAATGAGTAAAAATCAAAGTGAAACCAGGCTTATTGGGAATACATGTGCAGTCATTACCTTGCTTATTTGGGATTTGATGATATTTTTTCATTTTAGTTATCTATGCACATTGATTCATGTTTCTGCAGATATCATGTCTGAGATAAATATTTTCTGAAATTTGTTACCTGCTAATGATATCTCATTACTTTTTGGACAACTGTTGTTTTTCAATTTGTGTGTGTGTGTTTTGTTGTGGTTGTTAATTTAAAAGATAAGAAGAAAAAAAAAAGTTTATAAAGAGTTGATTGAATAATTCATTTAATTTTTTTCAGGAATTGGTTACTTACAAGTTGGTATTCGTGAAAGTGGAAAAGACACTATTATAAGATATCTGAATAAACCAGCAGGCAACAAATGGGTCCTTTCTACTGTAGATATTGGCAGAATTTCTAAACCATTCCAAGTAAGTCATGTACTAACACAGTATTATAATACCTACACTGCAGATTTATAACATGTCCTCCATCTGTGCTACTATATAAAAATCTACAAGTATCATTCCCTGAAGACGTGTACATAGAGAACGTGGTTTCGACCAGTTTCTGTAAGTGGCAATTCTTGCATATACACAATAACATTCTTATTTCGTTAACATGGAGGACATAACAATGATAATATTTCATCCTTTCACAGCAATTATATTAAACTATTATTGATATTTGCTTTATATATTTAAAAAAAGTAAAAATGACGGGCTAGCATCATATCAAAGCCAGGCTTTTATATTTCCGTTTAATTCCATTTATTATTTTCTATATAACAGATAGTAATACAAGGTCATAGATCGTTCAGCGTACAAGGTGACATTGCTGTAGATGATGTTCAACTTGTCAACTGTAACTTCCCACGTAAGTCTTTCTTGGTATAAAATATTCTATGCTTTACTGAATATATGAGTCATGCCTAAACTTGTTAAAACACTTTTATCTGTGAAAATGTAATTTTGTTTTTGTATATGTTTAAATTTCCTTCATCAGAATGCCATAACCGTTGTGATCTATTTTTAACTAAACTGTTTAAGCATACAAATTGATATTATTCTGTGTCTTAATAACTTATTCTAAAGCCTTTGTAATATAGTGTAAGCTTTGTTGAAATAATGATGAATATCAATATTCTAGATTTATCAAGATTTTTATGCCCCCGCCATATAATGGCCGGGGCATATAGTGTTACCCTGTTCCGTCATTCTGTCATTCCGTCATCATCATTGTCTGTTCATTATCTTGGTAACGGTTGCACACACTCAAATTTGACATATAGATATGTCATGAGAAAATACACGTCAAGTTCGAATTTGGTCATGGTTCGATGATTTTTGGCGGAGTTATGCCCCTTTTATTGTGAAAGTAATATGAAATTTTCAGTTCCCGTTCATTATCTCATCAACAGTATTACACATTCAACTCAAATTTGATATATAGATATATCAATGAAATGTGCAGGTCAAGTTCGAATTTGGTCATAGTTCAATGATTTTTGGCAGAGTTATGCCCCTTTTACAGGGCTGCCAATTTTCCGCCGATTCGCGGAAATCCGCGGATTTCGTGAGCCCATGGGTCATTTTTGAGATCGATGTAAATTCAACAAAGAAAATAAATTCATTCAGCATATTTTATACAGTACACAAAAACCGGCACGCTTCAGCTTTTATCGTTTTGCTAGCCCCCTATGGTACGTCTGAAAGCGCTTTTCTCATTGGTCAAATCGAGTCTTTTCCGGCATTCTATTTTAGAATAACCAATCAAATTACAGTTTACATTGTCGCTCTTGTCTGTTGTCAAAATGCGTCAAAATGTCGGATATTTGTTTTGAGGGCTGATGAAAACCTGAAGTCCAACTAAAGTGTCTCTGAATGGCTTTAAAGGCAACCAAGGAAGTCAAATTTAGAGTCCAGAAAATTGATTTTAGGGCATACCAAATCATCAGAATCCAGGAGCTTCCGGGGGCTTCGCCCCCTCAGACCCCATCCGGGCTCTGCCCTGGACCCGCAAAAGGGGGCTTGTGCAGCCCACTTGACCCCCGGCGTATTTTCCTCTGATTTTGCAATTTGCTGTTGGCAGCCCTGCTTTTACTTTGAAAATAATATGAAAAATTCAAGTTCTGTTCATTATCTCCCCAATAGTGTTACATATTCAACTCAAATTTGACATATGGATATGTCAACGGAATGTGCAGGTCAAGTTGGAATTTGGTCATGGTTCGATGATTTTTGGCAGAGTTATGTCCCTTTCACTTTGAAAATAATATCAAATTTTCAGTTTCTATTCATTATCTCCTCTAGGGTATTACACATTCAACTCAAATTTGACATATGGATATGTCAAAGAAAAATGCAGGTCAGGTTCAATGATTTTTGGCAGAGTTATGCCCCTTTAACCTTGAAAAAAAAAGGAAATTTTCAGTTCCCATTCATTATCTCCCCAACATATTCAACTCAAATTAAAGATATGGATATGTCATAAGAATTCATTGGTCAATTTCGAATTTGGTCATGGTTTGATGATAGCTAACAGAGTTTTCCCTTTTGAACTTTGAAAGAAAATCAGAAATTTTAAGTTTCCGTTCATTATCTCCCCAATGGTTGTACACATTCAACTCAAATTTGACATATACATACATCTTAGGAATAAGCTGTTCAAGTTTGAATTTGGTTGTGGTTCAATGATTTTGGACAAACTTATCTTTCTTGAATGTTGGAAAAATTTAGAATTTTCAGTTTCAGCACTCATACTTTTGTGGAAATGTATGTGGCCATTATTTTGGCTACAAATATGCAATATGCAATTTACAAAAGGTTAACACTGAATAGTTTCAGTGCCTTTAACATTGTATAAAAATGGTTTGTGTTAACATTGAATAGTTTTAAGGGCTTTGAACTTAAAATGAAAAAAATAATTTGTGCAAACAAATTTGGAACTAAATATTATAACATCTGAAATTTTGGCATGATGACACATTTCTAGTTTTTTTTATAAACTGTAAAGTGCAGTTTGAAGAACAATATGTGTTGAAGTTATCATATATGTTGTCATTATGATGATTATGTTTCCTTACAGCTGTGAAGCCATCATGTTTGAACTCTCAGTTCCGTTGTCAAAGAGGGTCATGTGTTGCTAAGACAAGTGTATGTGACTTTAGTGATGACTGTGGGGATAACAGTGATGAAGCTAGCAGTGTCTGCAGTAAGTTGTTGTCTTAGTTTATGATTGTTTTGGTGATAATAATTCCGTATTCACTCATAACTTATATCTGTTATTTATTTTACATTGTTATCAGAGTTTACATTCAGACCTGCTTAATTCTTTTTTACAATTTAAATAATTATTTATAAGACATTTTCAATTTTCTAAATGAATGTCTTGACTGTACATATGTTTCTTTTCTTGAATATTTAATTTTATTACCTCCACCAAACCAGGGGCTGTTTTCTTGAATATTTACCATCATTATTACCTCCACCAAACAAGGGGCTGGAAAGAACAAAATTGTACCAGTTGTATTTTGCTCAAGATTTTCCTTATTTTAGATAAGGACAAGTATTATTTTGAAAATCAAAATACATATGGAGGGCACAAGAATGCTCAGTAGATCAAGTTTCATGACACCCCCTTGCATTATGACTAAGTTATGACTCAATACATGCAATACCAACAAAGAAACAAATAAAATGAATAGGTTATTTTGATGTTTGTACATTATATATATTTTTATTACTAGATGCATATCCAGCTAGTTGTAACTTTGAGACAAGCCTGTGTGACTGGAGTCAGGATACAACAGATGACTTTGACTGGACAAGAACTGCTGGAAGCACAGTCTCTACTGGTACAGGACCTGTGCGTGACCACACTACAGGACTTAAAACTGGTTAGAGCTATTTCTATTTTCTGTTATGTGATTTTATATTGTTAATTGAAACAGTAATGCTTTGCTGTAAAAATATACTTTTTGTATTAAAGTCTCCCCTATTTCCAAATCAGGACAAGACAGTACACCAACATAACATTAACTCGAAAAGCAATACAAATTTTACTGTTTCCTTTTTAGATTTTACTCATGTAAGTTACTGGTTATGAACTCTTCATAGATTAATCTTATTACACAAATTCCTTGTTAAAACAGTCGCTTTAAAATTGAAAGTTTCTCAATATTCTGAATATAACTGATTCATATCTGTGTGAAAGAAATACTCAAAACTTAAAAATGCACTTTGTTTATTTAAAACGAGTGAAAATTATTAGGATATATCCTTTGTTAGATATGAATTGTAATTTTGATTTCTTTAAGTATATACTTAATAATAAAATTTATTGATTTAATATATTTATTCTGTAGCAAGTTCTTGCAAACTTACATTAAACAAACTTGAGGTTTTTGTACATTTATAGTGTGTTTTGACTCAAACACATTTTTCTCTCTTTTTTTTCTCTCTTATTGAGAAGCATGGACTAACCACTATGCCACCTTTCCTTTTTGAGTTTGATCATGAAGAGATTTAATATGTTTAGGTTATTTAACATTGACCTGTACAATATGGGAATATATTTGGACACAGAAAAACTATATTGGACAAGTCACCAGACAACATGATTTCTTTAGCTGTGATTGATTTGTTAAACTAATTTTTATATAATGAAATTGAATAACATATTATAAATTACAAAGTATAAACTGTTTGTATGATATTTCTGATTAGTGAAATATTTTAAGATGTATTTCATACACTTTTTGCATGTGATAATATAAATTTAAGGGGCCTTATTATGCTATACGAATCAATCGGGGCTTTCCCAGGAGCTTGGCGGATAAAGCCTAGAATATCCCAGCTAGAACCTTCCAGCCTACCACTTGGTGACTGCACAACATTTCGTTACAGTAACAGTTTAACATTGTTCTAAAATTAGATATTTTATTTAACAAAAATATTGTTGATCAATTGTTACAAATGAATCTCCGTTTGCGTATTGAAATAGTCTAGAAATTTTATTTCCAAGTTGTATTGAGTTTTTATTAACTTGAGTATAAAACTTACATTTTTTTCATATTGTACAGAATATTTGTTACTTTGATTTTCATATCTTTGACTTGCAATTTTCATGTAATTTTGCTGTTTTAAATGCTTCCGAAGGATCACTTTTTTTCCAGATACATGTGTTTGTACAATTTTATGATATTTTCCTGATATTTTATTCATTGCAGTAACGTAGATTTATGACAGGTATAAATGGTTGTTTAACATTTATCTCTCATCTAGCTAATATTTCCCCAGCTACATCCATGTAGTAATCACTAGTTGACATTGCAAAAAATGTCCTCAAATTACCAGTATTTGATATAGACTTGACTATGAACTCTTGTAATATACAATTTTTGATTTCAGTTCCGAATGTTCTACCACATGTGGGGTAAGAATATAGGTTCATTGAACGTGTACACAAGAAATGCTGTTTTAGCACCACTCAAACAAAAATGGCAGAAGATAGGTCAAGTTGGTGACTTCTATGAACGTGTAGACATCCAAATGTTTGAATCCCAACCATTCCAGGTAAACATAATTGCTCAATTGATACTCCTATAAAATGCTAAAATTGAAGTACTGTTCTACTGGTATGGTGAATTAAAAATGATAAAAAATTGAATTGTTACCTTTACATTATACAAGTATATGAATTCTGGTCCTCCTTTTTTGTTTAGAATTAAAGTTACAATCTAATTTTTGTTTCTAGTGTTGGTAATACTTCTATTAGGGCCATGTGGATTAACTGTTGTCCATCCATAGTTTTGTCACTCCATCTGTCCATAGACTAACATAACAGTGGAATAAGGATGCATTGATGACTTATATGAACACATTTATAATTTATTATTGTTACAATATGCATTTTGGAAATTCATGTCACTAGAAAAATTCAATCCTGTAAAATAATGTAAATTTTTACTTGTACAGGTTGTTATTGAGGGTGTTATTGGAAATGGTTACCAGAGTGATATTGCTATAGATGATGTTTCTATGACATCAGGATGCAAATACGCAACAGGTTACTCACTTGTATTCTGTACTATAAGTAAACAAACAAAATTCATTTAATATGCGGAATTAGATTTTACTATACCGCTTATCTAAGAAGTTAGCAAAAAGCATTACATTCTTTTACTGTGTAAAACTTGTATGATCATTTTTTCATATCTGAGTTTGTAATAAAGTATTGTTTTGCCACATGATGCAACTGCATAATATCGAGGTAGTATATATTAATGTATAAAGAAAAATTAATTTTTTCTGATTATTCAATGCCCATATTTCAATTGTACTATCTATTTCAGCTCCTTTACCAACTGGTACCCCAGGTCCACCAACCTCCCCAAGCCCATGCCCATCAAGTTTTGCATGCAAGATTGGAGGATGTATCCCTAAGAGTCAAGTGTGTGATTTTGTCTCCCAGTGTGCGGATGGTTCAGATGAGAGCATGTGTGGTACATGTAACTTTGAGAGAGGTCAATGTGGATGGACTGATGTAAGCTCAGGTCGCTATAACTTCCATCTCTTTAATGGATCCTCCCCTGGATCTGGTGGACCAAGGACAGATCATACCACTAATTCAGCATCAGGTTTGTCTATATAATCAATCTCATTATGTTTTATAACTGCACCTTGTTAATGTATCACTTCTTGTATCTCTATATATATTTTATTCATTTGCTAGTTATAAAGATAGCAGATTTGGTCAAAGGGACATAATATGACACAAAGTAAAGATTAAAATCAAACAAGATCAACAGAGTTGTCTTTCTTGGAAAATAACGATAAACCCTAAAAATAGCAATTTGTTACACACATACAAACATGAATATTTAAGGTTTTACACAGAACAGATTATTTTTTTTAATCTCAAGAAGTACATCAAATTTTATATAGAAAAATATGTACTGATACAAACATATTTAATGAAGTTCAAAGAGGAATGTCATTATATTGTTATTTTGGAAAAGATTTATTGATAATTAGATAATTATCATGTAACTTATAACAATGTTTTATATATTTCAATAAAATAAATTCAAAATCCAGCATAATTAAGGTATGTGTAACGAACAGTTTATATCAAAGTTGTATGAAGACTATTATGAAAATACCTCTGAAACTTAACACTCAATCCTCATTGTCAAATGTTTAAAAAAATATTGTGTATTTAAAATCAAAGTGATTAATATATTGCTTATACCCACTTACAAAATAAAATGGCTGTAAAAAAATATTGTAATTCTGCAGGTCATTACATACTTGTGGAGGGATCAACTGGTCAGTTCTACTCTAGAGCTCACATTGAGACACCAGTACTGGGACGTACTGGACCCAGCTGTCAAATTCAGTTCTTCTATCACATGTATGGAATTAATGCAGGTATGCTTACTTGATTAAATTGAAACATACAATGTCAGCAATACTTGATGATAATTCTGAGATTTTTCTTTCTTATATTAAAGTATATGAAGCTGTGTTTAAGCAACTTCTGGCAAAAAGAAATTAACAAAGTCTGTAGTAGATTTGAATGAGTTTATGCAGGATTTATTTTAGTGCCCTTCTGTCAAGAGCTATATGATTATAGAATGATGTACTCTGGGTTGTTCCTGGTACCAAAAAGTTATAAGCAGTAAGTGTAGTTTCTTGCTCAAAGAAACAACATCTTGCCCCTGAAACGGTTTGAACGCACACGGCTAGCAATCCTTAGATTACTAGGCTGATGTGTTGACTAAGGGGCCATGCCACTTGTCAAAGATAATTATTGAAAGCTTTTGAAATGATAGCTATTTATCTATTTTCAACAGGTATATATATGCATAGATATATATGTGTAGAAAAAGTGCTCTAAATGTAGCACCTTAAAACCTATACATAGTTTTAGGACTACTTTCCATAAAAGAATTTTAGTTAGAGATCCCGAAGGATGTCATTCTTTATTTGTCTTGATATAATTTTAATATTTGTTGTATAGTTACTATATATATAAATAAATATTTACCTGCAGGAAATATGCGAGTCCTGGTACAGAATGCAAACAGAACAACAGATAAGACATATATTTGGAGTATGACAGGTAACCAAGGCAACTCATGGAAGAAAGCTGTTGTAGATATAGGACAACTGCCTGCTGGATATAAGGTTAGATTTGTTGTTAAATTTGATATTTTGGATTTGTATAAAACTCATATCTGAAGAAAGAAAACGAAAATTATTCAATGATTTGTTTCAAAATAGTTGCAGTTAATATGTCAAAGTTATAAATGTTAATATACCCAGTGTTCATCACCAAGCCAACAATTGATGGTTATAATACATTATAATACATTCAGCTCTATACAAATATTAAAACATTGAGTTATCAAAACTACTAAGACAGGTATCTGAGTAGCACAACTAAGTTAGTTTAAGGAGACCATAAAATTTTACGGGCAATTGTTACACTTTGATATTTCCCTTACTAAACTGATAATGAAGAGTTGTTTACTGTCAGTAACGTTAACCACTTCTCTAAACAGGGTCAATATCAAAAATATCACTAGCCATATGACAAAGTAAATGGTTGAGTTAACTTAAGGTTTGCAATAAAAGAAAAGAAACGAAATTAAAACAATACAATGGAACATTTGTCTTTCACAGGTACAATTTGAAGCTTTACCTAGCAGGTCAATTTTGTCTGGTGTTCCCCAGTCAGATATGGCATTCGATGATGTCACATTTATTAACTGTGGTGCAACAATTGTTGACAAAAATACAAGTATGTATATTACTTTATAGGTCTTTTAATTACCTGTATAATGAAAGTGTATTTGCAATACTTCAAGTTGTCTTTAAACAATTTAAAAGACTCTGTGAAATTACCAGGCTTTTTATGCCCCCACAATGTGGGAGCATATAGCGTTGCACTTGTCCGTCCGTCCGTCCGTCAATCCGTCAGTCCGTCCGTCCGTACGTCCCGAAATCTTGTGAACGCAACTCCTCTTAAACCGGATGGCAGATTTTGCTTAAACTTACAGGGATGAACAACCTTAATGTGTAGATGGTAGTAAAGGAAGGAATTTTCGCTGCGACCAAATTTAACAGAATTATGGCCCTTTGTTGATTTTTTCACTAGATACTATGTAGAAATTTTGTGAATGCAACTCCTCTTAAACCGGATGGCAGATTTTGCTTAAACTTACAGGGATGAACAACCTTAATTTGTAGATGGTAGTAAAGGAAGGAATTTTTGCTGCGACCAAATTTAACAGAATTATGGCCCTTTGTTAATTTTTTCACTATATACTATGTAGAAATTTTGTGAACGCAACTCCTCTTAAACCGGATGGCAGATTTTGCTTAAATTTACAGGGATGAACAACCCTAATGTGTAGATGGTAGTAAAGGAAGGAATTTTTGCTGCGACCAAATTTAACAGAATTATGGCCCTTTGTTGATTTTTTCACTATATACTATGTAGAAATTTTGTGAACGCAACTCCTCTTAAACCGGATGGCAGATTTTGCTTAAACTTACAGGGATGAACAATCTTAATTTGTAGATGGTAGTAAAGGAAGGAATTTTTGCTGCGACCAAATTTAACAGAATTATGGCCCTTTGTTAATTTTTTCACTATATACTATGTAGAAATTTTGTGAACGCAACTCCTCTTAAACCGGATGGCAGATTTTGCTTAAACTTACAGGGATGAACAACCTTAATGTGTAGATGGTAGTAAAGGAAGGAATTTTTGCTGCGACCAAATTTAACAGAATTATGGCCCTTTGTTGATTTTTTCACTATATACTATGTAGAAATTTTGTGAACGCAACTCCTCTTAAACCGGATGGCAGATTTTGCTTAAACTTACAGGAATGAACAACCTTAAGGTGTAGATAGTAGTAAAGGAAGGAATTTTTGCTGCGACCAAATTTAACAGAATTATGGCCCTTTGTTGATTTTTTCACTATATACTATGTAGAAATTTTGTGAACGCAACTCCTCTTAAACCGGATGGCAGATTTTGCTTAAACTTACAGGAATGAACAACCTTAAGGTGTAGATAGTAGTAAAGGAAGGAATTTTTGCTGCAACCAAATTTTACAGAATTATGGCCCTTTGTTGATTTTTTCACTATATACTATGTAGAAATTTTGTGAATGCAACTCCTCTTAAACCGGATGGCAGATTTTGCTTAAACTTCCAGGGATGAACAACCTTAATGTGTAGATGGTAGTAAAGGAAGGAATTTTTGCTGCGACCAAATTTAACAGAATTATGGACCTTTGTTGATTTTTCGTTTTCAACTTGTGGCACATGTAGTCCAAAAAATATTTGACCTAGAGTCATAAGATTGATAGAACAGTGGCGTGTGGGGGCATCCGTGTCCTATGGACACATTTCTAGTTTAGTTAAGAATTTGATATGTAATATTTCTATGTTGTTGTTGTTGACTAAAAGGACTAGCTTTATAACTACCTTATGGAGAGGCTCCCCACTTTAAAGTAAATTTATTGATAACTTGTCATTATTTAAGGGGATGGGAGCTATGGACTATTGACATTATGGCTATACATGTATATGACATATTTGTTTATATTTTACAATGTCTTCTTTTGTTCTTTTTAAAGCTGTCAACTGCACCTTTGAGAATGGATTCTGTAATTTCCGTCAAGTTACCACTGATGATTTTGATTGGACATGGACCAATACAAGCACACCAACAGTTGGTACTGGTCCAGATAGAGACCACACAACAGGAATGGGTATTTGCATTTCTTGTATTTCTCCCATTATATCATAACAGTAAAATGATACAGAAATTAGAAGATATAAACCCAAATTCAGCGTATTTTCTTGTCTGAATTTGTTATATTAAGGAATTTTGGAGCAGTCCAGTGTTTGTTTCTGGAATTTTAACTTCAAAACACTCAAATTGATTAGTCAACAGTATATAGTTTGGTCAGGTTGGTTGAATAGGCTTAAAAAGGTAAGCTATAAACCAGTGGCACAGACAGTCCCTTATTGCCAAGTTAGCATGATCATCATTTAATTTATTTTAATTTTTGGAACTTAACTGTCAATCTATATTGTTAGGCAATTGCTTTATAATAAAAAGTTACTTATATTGAAGAATATATTAAAATCTTTAGATAAATTTGTCATTTTCCACCACTTCAAATTCCTAATAAAACCTAAGTAATGACATGGTCAGAAGCATTCAGGGATCATGCTGTTTTTTTTTTATTTATTTGTTCTTTTTATTTTTTCAAATATAAGTTAAATTCTGCCATTTTTGGATGTTTGTACTAGCTATATGAAGAATTGAATTGTTGTCCCTTTTGTTTTAATATACAAGACTATCAATTTTTCATATAGGAGCTTATATCTATATGGAAACTTCATCTCCACGTCATATTGGTGAAAGAGCAGTAATAACCTCTGGTATTCAAGCAGCCACTCTCCCTGGTGGCCAGTGTTTATCTTTCTGGTACCACATGTTTGGTGCCCATGTCAGTACACTGAATGTATATCTGAAGACCCAAGGAGGGAACAAGACAATGATATGGTCAAGGTCAAGGACACAAGGAAATGTTTGGAGGCATGGACTTAGAAATATTAAAAGCCTGGTACCATATGAGATTCTGTTTGAAGGAATTGTAGGATTTAGTTGGCAAGGAGATATTGCACTGGATGATATCTCGTTAATACAAGAACAATGTCCACCATCTCGTAAGTTGTGAACACATTTTTGTTTATTTTCTCTTTTAAAAATGATTAAGAAATGTTTGTACGGAAAAAAAAAGATATTAATAAATTTTGGATCACTTGTATCAAGATTCCTTTATTGATTGCTACTGGCATGTTTATGTTTGGGCTAGAACAGCATTTAGACAATTTGTTAAGGGACCAGTGTCTTGAAAACATAGATAGGATTGTTAGTAAAATGAGAAATTGTTATATTTCAGCAATTTGTGATTTTGAGGCAGACTTATGCGACTGGATACAGGATACAAATGACCAGTTTGATTGGTTACGTCGAAGGAATGGTACTGATTCCAAGAATACAGGACCATCTGTAGATCATACCACATCCAGTCCATACGGTTACATTTACAAATTATTTATTACTTCTTTGTTTACTTTATTATGAATTATTCAAATTATTTAAATTTCTGTGGCAATAAAGTTGTTTACTCTTATTTTCTGCTCAATTGGAACTTTAAATTCTTTGATGCAAGTTAGCTACTAGCTTGCATGAAAGTTATTGTTCTACCCATATGTACCTGTACTTGAAATTTACTTGCACACGATGCAACATTTTAGATGTGTTGTCACTCTCTAATAATCTTTTCTAATCATAAAACTAAAAAAGGCCATAAGACATAAGCAGTAGCATTGTTTCTAAATCTTATCCATGTAAAATAATAGGAACAAGGCAAATAAGTTTATAAAGTTGAATATTTTAACTCTGTAGGTTTCTTCCTGTACATTGAGTCCTCATCTCCAAGGAGGATGTATGATCTTGCCAGGATAACAACCCCACAGTTCTCTAATAGCCAGGGATCTTCCTGTTTCACCTTCTGGTATCACATGTATGGAACAAATGTTGGCAACCTCACGGTGTATTTACAAGATGGCCCCCAGAAAAAGATGGTGTTCCAACGAAAAAGTAGTCAAGTGAACCTGTGGTTATACTCAGCTCTTACTTTGAGACCAATCAGCTCAAAATTTCAGGTGAGACAAAAAAAGTTTGAATCTTTTGCTAGTGTTTTATGGACATTGAAATATAAGAAAGATCTAGGCTTTCAATTCTGACTTCATTACAGATATTGTACAGGGCGTATTTGATATGAAAAATATAAATCTAATTGGCTTATAACCATCAAGAGTTATAATTTCATAAAAGTCTTGTTTGGAAAAACTGTTAAATGGTTAAAGTGACATTATGCCCATCCAAAGCTGTATATTGAGTGAACTCAAAATAAGTTTACATTTTGCCATGATTCCTTTCACTTTTATAATTTACTTCACATGAAGAATAATTAACTCATGTGGCTCCTGGAAATATCCATCCAAATTTTCCTGTAAGGTTAGATATATAAAAAGAGGGGGGGGGGGCAGTCTTTTTATTTTTTAGGCATTTATATTTTAATCTGAACATTATTTCCCATTTCCATATCACTTGTTGGTCAATCCCATTATAACAGTCAATCTTTTGAAATATAAAGTCAAATCAGCTCAACTTGACAATGAATAAAAATGAACATAATGTCACTGTAACTATTTTTAGCTGGACAATACAATGAAAAGTAGTGATTTCCTAGTCTCAGTCGAGTGTCTGCATAACACTGATAAAGCTTTATGTTTAATTTCATGTGCAACATCATATCTCATTAACCATTAAAGATATTTGCTGGAAAATTCACACATATCTTTGAGATCAAGTTAAACCCCAGTCACACTAGAGCTTACGATTACTTGCGACCACCAGCGACTTGTAAAACTGACGATCATCAGCAATTGTCTGCGACCAAAACCATTTTTGCACAGATAAATTTACTTTTGCTAGTATCGTAAGACAAGTCATCATTGACAATCGCACGACAGGTCATAAGAAAACATACGATGGTCTCAAGATTGCCTGGGATTACTTACGACTTCCCGTGACATAACATGCGATCATCTACAAATTGTCGTACGACCATCACACGATAACTAAAGACTACTTAAGATTATCAGTGACTAGTGGCAATTTGTAAAGACTGTCGTAAGATTGTCACACTTCCGAACGACCATCGTGCGACAGCCTTAAGACCTTATAAGATCACTAGCCACCTGTTTGATCACAAGGAGGTTTTTGTGCAAGCTCAAAAACCTCTCTACGACTGAAATTGGTCGTGGGACCTAAATAAGATAACCTGCGACTGTCAAAGATCACCGATGACCGTCGTAAGACGTTTAAAAGATTGTCCGCGACCAGAGGTCACTGGTGATCGTGAACTAGTCTTCACTGGTCGTAAGCTCTAATGTGACTGGGGCTTTAGGGGTTATTTTCCAAGGCCCATAATTCTAGTAAAGATTTTGATGGAATCCTGTCCCCTTGTGAACTTTGATAATTCCTGGTTACAGTTTTGCATGCAACATCAATCTTTAGAGATATTGAAGATGTTCATTTGAATCTAAATCAAGTTTTTGTATTGATAATTTGAGGTTAAATTCCATGGCCATAGTTCTTACATGCATTTGAGTGAGTTATAGCCCTTTGTGAACTTAAAACCACATGGTTAAAGTTTTGCATACAACTCTGAAGATATTCTCATGCTCTCTGGGTCATAATTGGAGTTCAATATCTAAGGTTCATAACTTTGCCATAGAATTTGACAGATTTATGACCCTTTATGAACTTAAATAAGTTCTGGTGAAACCTTAAACTAGAAAACTACTGATGTTATTTACCTGAAACCTAATTAATGTATTCCAAATTTGTTATAATTGAAACTCAGTTATATGATTTGATAGGTGTTCCATGTTTTGCAGTATTTTATCTTTTTTTAGCTAATATTCGAGGGCACAGTTGGAAATGGTTACCAGGGTGATATTGCTATTGATGATGTTCAGGTACTTCCTGGAGAGTGCCCACCCATCGGAAATTGTAACTTTGAAATTGACACATGCGGATGGACTAACACAAATGCTGACAATTTTGATTGGTTAAGAAGTGCAGGCTCCACACTAACAGGTGGTACTGGCCCTTCTGTTGACCACACAACAAATTCAGATACAGGTAATGATAGGTTTTACTGTTGGCAATTGATATGATTGTGTAATTTGTATGACATACTTATCTTTTAGTTTTAATTATAGATTATTAAATAATTTTTTTGTTCCCTACTGCATAAATGTACATGCATATTTAATGAATGGAATGCATTGTCAGTATTATAGGCTTTTACTGTTTATTAACCAGGTTTTCAATTTTGAAAATCCTGGTTATTAGATTGGGGTATGGCGGGCGGATGGGCGGCTGGGCGGATGGGCGGGCAGGCGTCAAACGAAATTGTGTCCGCTCTGTAACTCTTCAACCCTTTGAAGAATTTTGATGAAACTTCAGACAAATGTTTACCACATCAAGATGACGTGCAGAACGCATGTTCCGCATGGCTGGCTCCAAGGTCAAGGTCACAGTGACATTAACATTGAAAATCCTGTCCGCTCTGTAACTCTTCAACCCTTTGAAGAATTTTGATGAAACTTCAGACAAATGTTTACCACATCAAGATGACGTGCAGAACGCATGTTCCGCATGGCTGGCTCCAAGGTCAAGGTCACAGTGACATTAACATTGAAAATCCTGTTTACATGATTTTAACTTCTAATTTCTTCTGTGCGCAACTCCTTCTACATTTCTCAACGGATTTTGACCAAACTTTCACAGAAGCTTTGTCATCAAGTGCCCTGGCGCATATTGTCGGGGTTTTGCGATTGGATAATATTTGACCTAATTATGGCCCTTTGTTTTTTTTCCTCATATAGAATATATAGTGTACAATTTCTTTTTTGCGCAACTCCTCCTACATTTCTCAACGGATTTTGACCAAACTTTCACAGAAGCTTTGTCATCAAGTGCCCTGGTGCATATTATGGGGGTTTTGCAATTGGATAATATTTGACCTAATTATGGCCCTTTGTTTTTTTTCTGATATAGAATATACAGTGAACAATTTCTTCTGTGCGCAACTCCTCCTACATTTCTCAATGGATTTTGACCAAACTTTCACAGAAGCTTTGTCATCAAGTGCCCTGGGGCGCATTGTCGGGGTTTTGCGATTGGATAATATTTGACCTAATTATGGCCCTTTGTTTTTTTTTCCTTATACAGAACATATAGTGAACAATTTCTACTGTGCGCAACTTCTGCTACATTTCTCAATGGATTTTGACCAAACTTTCACAGAAGCTTTGTTATCAAGTACCCTGGTGCATATTGTTGGGGTTTTGTGATTGGATAATATTTGACCTAATTATGGCCGTTTGTTTTTTTCCTTATACAGAATTATCACTATAATATAGTGAACAAATTCTTCTGTGTTAAACTCATCATACATTTCTCAATGAATTTTGTTCAAACTTTCACAGAAGCTTTGTCATCAAGTTCCCTGGCGCATATTGTCGGGGTTTTGTGATTGGATTATTTTTGACCTCATTATGGCCCTTTGTTTTTTTTCCTTATTATACAGAATATATAGTGAACACTTCTGTGGCAATTCCTCCTACATTATTCATGTTTTACATCGCACATTATAAGTTACATAGTTTGTTGCTTGTATTTGTATTTCAAATACAACGTATTCATTTAATGGTGATAATTGAAAACCTGGGTTCATGGCATTGCCATGTTTCTTGTTTTTTAATTGAATACAAATTTACGAGTATTGGGAGGCAGGGTTGGTATCTTGCATTTACCACTTCTGTCCATTAAGTGGCTCTTTAGAAGTAAACATACAATTTCTTACTCTTTTTTTCATGTTCTCTATTTTGTTACCAATTTTGTGAATCAATTGATAAATGACTAAAAATTTATATTTTTTGATGATCCACATTATAGTGTATTCATAGTAATATAAAAACATGGAATGTATAATACAAAAAATAATAAATATGTTTTAAAAAAATAATGGTAACGATCTGATTATTGTTTGTTGTACAGGATTCTATATGTTTATATCTGCTCTTGGAAGAAATGCTGGACAGAGGGCATGGTTCTATAGTCAATACTTCCTAAAGACAAAAGCAACCTGCATGTCATTCTGGTACTTCATGTATGGACAAGGTAACAATTTTGATTTTTAATGTATTTCAGTTTTAGTCAAAATAAGTAATTATTTTAGAGAGGATTAGGCAATGAAATGTTCTCTTAGTTACAATTATTTGTAGTTAAAGGTCCCTATAATTACTATTAGTCTTTAATGCAAGAATCCTTTCTGTTTTAATTGAGTGTAACCTTGGTTATTGGTCAAGAAGCTCAAGAACGCTTGGTCCAAGTGCTTTTGGGATGAAAATTTATGCTTTTGAATAACATTATGCTTACATTTATGTATATTCAACATGACTTTTATGTTTATTTTAAGATGTTGGAACATTGAGACTGTATCAACCAACAAAAAATATCACATCTCTTCTCTGGTCAGTGTCAGGTAACCAAGGCAGTAGTTGGAGAAATGTTCAGATTAATATAACTAGCAACATTACCTGGCAGGTAAAAAGATACATGTACTTATGTTTCTGAGTGAATATCTTTACAGTTTACTTTTAGACTGGAGCCCAGAATTGTACTATAACTTTGTTTATATGATGTTTTTCTTTTGTTTTTGTTGTTGTTCTTCTTCTTTGGGGTGGGGGTCTTTTTGGTTAATGAAAAGGGATCTAAGAGAATTATATTTTTTTACTTATAACAATGCAATGAAACATGATGATGTTAAAAATACTATTTGTCTCTCACATTTATGGTTACTAATTGGGAGAGCATTAGATTATGAATAATAATCATATTGGTCACTGGTATTATCCACAAAAATTTCTATTTGACAATTGATTTAGGACATTGAATCTTATAGTTATGAGAGATAAATAACTATAAGATTCAATGTCCTAAATCAAAGCATGTTTTATATTTTTGTTTTACATTTTTTTATTGTTTGATATTGTTTTATTTAGGTAGCATTTTTTGTTGTTGTTTTATATAGGTAACATTTGATGGACAAATTGGTAAAGGTATTCAAGGAGATATTGCTATTGATGACATTATTTTCACACCTGGCATATGTACTGGAGTGATACCAACATTCCCATCACCTACATTCAGTACTCTACCAACACCCACATACCGTAAGTCATCTTAGATAGAATGCTTTATTTTACCTTCATTGAGCATGCAATATTTTCTGAATAAATTCAGAATATATTCAATGTTCAGGGCCAGCAATATATCTAATTTTGTCTCACTTGTCTGTTTTTATCTGAAGCATTTTTTAACTTGTAGGTGTGATAAGGTTATTATTTCCCTGGCCAATTTTAAGCCATTTGACCTAGTGCAGAGATGGAGAGAAAGTTCTTATTCTGCTCCTTTTGCAGGGATTTTGTAGTCAAGGTGACAGGTGCATTCACCCAATTTTTATTCTATGCTGATAATGGTTAGGCTAGTGCTTGGGGGTGAAACTGCTATCAACAAAAACTTAGTTTAATGAAATGATCACCTTTATATTATTTGTTTACACAGCTTGCGAATCTCTTTCAGATTTTTAGATGATACAGGAATCTTAAGGAATTACATAAATCTTCTGTATTCTATCTTTTAAGGGTTTTATTGATATTTTTAGCACCTTCACCATATGATTGTACATTTGAGAATCAGCAACAACCAATATGTAGTTGGACTCAGGACACCTCTGACCAGTTCAACTGGACACCAAAAGTGGGCAGTACTGGTTCACTCAACACAGGACCAACTTTTGATCATACATTACAAAATAGAAATGGTAAGAAAGTCAGTTATCACTTTGAATGACAAGAATGTCAATCATTTAATGGGATTAAAATTTGAATTCTATTATGAAGGCAAGTCAAAGGCAGTTCAGATTGTGGATAAATTAGTTACTATAATTTTGTTTTATTGAAAGATTGTTTTATATGAGTGGCATTAAGTAGGATCTTTAAATTATCTCAGTAAAGTTGATATCAAAGGATAGATTATGATTCTTTTTATGTGTTTTAGTATCATGATTCCTGAGCAAGATAACATGTACAAAAACAATCTTTTAAGGGTTTCTATAAATTACTTCCATGTAATGTTTTGGGCTGATTTATTTTGTTTCTCTAATTAATTTGGAGATTAATGGTGAAAATATACTTAAATATAGTTTTTAAGTTGCTTCAGAAAGTCTTAATCACTTTAGTTGATGCATGTTGCAGACAAGATCATATCTTCTTAATATCTTCTTTTTGTTTAAACCAGGTCACTATATCTATATTGAGGCTTCGCGTCGTAGACCAAATGATACAGCAAGAATCATCAGTTCATCTATCAGTGTAGGTACTGGTGGAAAATGCTTGAAGTTCTGGTACCATATGTATGGATCTGATGTTTATATGCTCAATGTATATGCCAGACAAGGTAGGATTCTTTCAAGGACTTTTCTTCTCATGTACTTTACAAATAGCTTGGATAAAGACATTATCAGGATATTATAGAACATTAATGAATGCAACACTTATTACAGTATTTTCCTGACTGTAATAGTCAATGTTAAAACATGACATCAATAGTCATAAAAAAAGTAAGGATAAGTTTGAACAACCTAGCATGTTGGATTTATTATAGTGAGTGAAACATGGCTGTCAAGGCTTTCTTGTTTTCTCTATGCTTTTGCTTTTTCTATAATAATATTTATTCAACTTCTTTGTTTTCTTTTTTTTTTTGTTCCTTTTAGCATATATTTCCTTCTTGAATGCCATGCACATGGAGATATACACAATAACTTACTGATTTAATAAGTAGTACTAACTTACTTAATTGTTGAGCAATTATAGTATTAGGCAAGGTATGACCAGTTCACCAAACACACTGTCATTTGTTTTGTGCAGTTTATGTATTAGATCACTTGAACATAAATATACGTGTACATTATTGTAAACTGCATAACTTCATAATATAATAGTGCATTAAAGTGAGTTCAAAAGAGGAACAATGATAACATTTTTAAGAGAACAGATTATTAAAATGCATGATTTTGGATATTTGCTGTAGGAACTGCATTAGGAGCACCACTTTGGACAAAAACTGGAACTCAAGGAAACAAGTGGATATTTACAGATGTATATATCACTCCACAAACACTGTCCCCACCACAGACAAACACTGTCAATGTCAATGTAAGCATTTTCTATAACATGTAATAAATATCCTCTTAATGTTTTTTTTTTATAGAAGTAAAATATCAAATTTTATTATATACTTATAAATGAAATATCGAGAAATATTGATGAAATAAAATGCGTATTTTAATTTTCCATATTTTCAATGTAAAAAAAAATATTTTTCACTGCAGTGAAACATATTTTCTGTATTTTCACTGGTGCCTAACTGGACTACATATTCTTCTTAATTCAGCCAATAAACAAAATTTAAGGGGAAAACTGTCATGTTAGAAAAAGAAAACTGTATATAATTAACCGAAAATTCAAGTTTTTTTCTTTAAAGACAGGATTTATTTTCATGTTGTGGTATCAAAATTATCATATTTCACTTGTGGCTCATGAAAGATTTATTTTCATACCACGTAATGAAAATAAATCCTGTATTTATAGATAAAACTTGAATATCCTCTATTTTATTTAAGATATGAGGCATTTACAGTGTGTATTTAATTGATATGCATAATGTTTTACAGTTTGTGATAGAGGGAGTTGTTGGAAAGAGTTATAAAGGAGATATTGCTATTGATGATGTATCAGTTAATGATGGTACATGCCCACCCACAGGTAAATATATATTTATTATATTACAATTATTCTATCTTTTGATTTTTCTTGACAATATTCAGAAAGTTTAACAAAAAAGATGATGTTTTAATGTTTGTAGTGAACTAGGGTGTTGTTATTTTTTTGTCATAATATACCTTTTTGATTTGATCCGTGCTAAATAACATATAAAGGACAATATATGTAAAAATTTTGGATTCATGAAATTATGTTGTGCAATTCAAATAATTTAATTTGGCAAAAATGTGCGTTAACTTATTATATTATATCAAAAGAAATGTGAAATGTAAGGACATTTTTGGTCATTAAATTAAGATAATTATATTTTGTACAATATTTTTAAACATTTCAGTGTCTGTGCAATATTTTTTGTGTACCTCAAAGTCCTTCTGTTTGAAAGACCATGTGCCAGTATGCTAAGTGATAGAATTTAATTTATGATAGTTATTTTAGGGCTGGTCTATAGCCAAGTGATTAAGTTGGTTGACTTAAAAACACTTACTGCTGTCTGCTGTAGGTTCGATGTCTGACAGACACTTTGGATTCTAACATGTTAGGAAGCTTTTCACCTAACTTAGGAAATGTCGATGGTTCTACTCATGTGCCCATTTATACCTGGAGGAATGCATGGAAGGTATTCCTCCACTTGTAAAGCTGGAAAGTTGCAAAATGACATATAATGTGTTGGTACAATGTAAAACCCAACAATGTCAACACTGATAGATAATTGTAATTTTTCACAAACTTTATAAAATATGTTGTTTATACATTACAACAGATGACTGTGATTTTGAATCGAAAACAATATGTGGATATACACAGGATACACAGGACAACTTTGACTGGACAAGAAGTTTTGGTGCCACTGCAAGTGCAGGAACAGGACCTGCTGTAGATCATACTTATGGCACAAAAACAGGTGAGTGTAACAAAACCAGTAAACCAATCTTAAATATATGACATGTATATATTGAGTCTGAGAATATGCCGGGCCTCCAGGACTGAGCTGTAATGGCGGCTGACTTCAACATTTTTGCCCCACAGCTTTGTGAGTTCAAATCTTGTTGGTAAATTCTTTCATGTGAGAAATTGAGCCAGCAAGCTTATTGAAATTCAGTTGTTGTATTCGGGTGCCAGATAGTGCCTAAATAAATGCATTATGGGGACCTGAGGTCTTCCTCCACCCATATTACCTTTACAATAGTGATATGATTTGAATCCAAGTCAAAAGTATTTCATATGAAAATTACAAGGTCAGTGATGTAGCAAATTTTTTTTTTTTTTTTTTTTTTTTTTTTTTTTATTTCCCTCGTCATGGGTATGTGGGGGTCGAGGGCATCCCCCTCCATACCTTACAAAGATTTTATTTATCATATTATATATACACATGTATCAAATATTTGTTGATTTAGTAACAGTTATTGATTATTGTCATTGAGTATTAATCACAACTTCACATTTCCACAATAATATATACAAATGTACATACACAAAAATAATATACAAACAAAATCACAAGGGAAATAAAAGAAGAGAAAAAAGGAAAGGTAGCTCATAGATTGAACAGAGAAAACATTATGTTGTTGTTTCTTATACTCAAACTTTTAACAAAAAGCAATGGCTGTATATTAATAAATTATAAATTTACATTACTCTAAAAAGAATTAAATGATTTTTTGAACAATTGTTCCAATTCATTATGTTATCTTTTGTATTTGTTGCACATGCATCAATAATTGAAGAGGCTAATTTAAAACTTCTAATTAATCCATCTATATTTGGTAAAATATTTTTTCTCCTACATTAAATAAACATATTTTCTTTTATCTCTAGACATAGGATATTGTACTTTGACTGGCTCTTTTTTGTATAACCTAATATAAAAGTTTTACAATCAATATCAAATAAAGCATCATGATTCCTAACAATTTTAATAATTTCTGTAATCAATATTTTGACAAATGAGCATTCCCAAAATAGGTGTAACAATGTTTCATGTTCTGATTTACAAAAAGTACACATACTTGTAACAGATAAATTCATTTTCAAAAGAAGATAATTAGTAGCTAATATTCTATGTGTTAGTCTTGTCTGAAACCATTGCAAGTAAGAATCATTGGTAATGTCAAAAACCCAACTATGTATTTTATTCCAGTCAGATTGACTTAATTGAAAGCAAGTGTTCCATTTAGTCTGACAAGTTGGAATATCATCATTTTTTATGTATATATATTGTACGTGTCTGATGTACCTTTAACACAAAGTAGTATAGGCTTTAAATAACAACATATAATGGGAGAATAGGAAGCAATTTCATAATTTTCACATAACTTTAAACTTAATACACTTTTGTATTTCTTGACAGCACTTGTAATTAATTCATAGTAAATGAAGTTTACTTTAATGCCTAATCTTGCTTCCAATTCATTCCTTTCAAGGAAAATACCATTCACATTCATAATATCTTTGATAAACCTTATACCTTTATCATACCATGTTTATTAAAAATAGGTTTTCTATCCATCAAAATATATTGGTTATAGAACAGAGGCATTTCTAACAACATTTTCCATAGAAATAATCGGTGTTTTTTCTACAAATTCTACATAAGCACCTAAAACATCTTTCCAAAATGAAATTTTTTCAAAATATTAAATATATATGCTGTATATAACTTTCCACAATTAAATAGCTTCCTAATATCTAAAAAGTTTTCTAAAATAGTGTAACATTTATCACATTCAGATGATACAATTCTTCTTAACCATGAAAGTTTTAAACTTTTCATGTAAGCACATACATCAATCATTTTTAGACCACCATTTACATATTCTTTCACCAATACAGAAGATTTAATCTTTGGTGTAACCTTGCCACACAAAATCATAAAACATATTACTTATTTCCTTTAACATCTGAGAATTTGGATTTGGAAGTGATATAAAACAAGTTAGTTAATAAAGGAAGTAACAGTGACTTTACAACAGTTATTCTACCAATAGGTGTTAAAGCCCTTCTTTTCCAACACTGGATATATTTTTTGATATTTTCAATTTTTGCAGTATAATTCAAAGTTATCATTTTTTTCTAAATCAACGTGAAAGTTGATACCAAGTAATCTAAATGATGTACTACCCCAAATTAATTTCCACCTAGTTTTTATTGATCTAGTGCTATATTTTAAAGAGCCAATCCATATAACATGTGTTTTTTCAAAATTAACTCTTAATCCAGAAATAATAGAAAATTCATGTAAAATATCAAGCGTACAATTTAAAGACTGATCAGATCCATCTAACAATAAAGAGGTATCATCAGCATACTGTGAAATCTTATACTCTGTTCCGTTGATATGTATACCTTTTATATTTTTATTAGTTCTTATTTTGATGGCTAATATTTCGGCACATAAGATAAAAATATAAGGACTGATTGGGTCTCCTTGACGGCAAACACGCCCTATTTTAAAAAAGTTAGACAAAAATCCATTCATTTGAACAGCAGTTTCAGTATTTGTATAAAAAAGAGATATCCATTTTCTAAACATTGGGCCAAAATTAAAGAATTCAAAAGTCTTATTTATAAAATCAAAAGAAAGTGTATCAAATGCTTTTTCAAAGTCAATCATTACTAATAGTCCTGGCATTCTTTTTTCTTCTAAATAATTCATTATATCGTAGACTAATCGTATATTCTCTCCGATAAATCTTCCTTTTAGAAATCCTGTTTGGTCTGTATCTATCAAACAATTTAAAACTGACTTAAGTCTTTTGTAGCAAAGTTTTAATGCAAACTCACTTGATGTGTTTAGGGGTTTTGAAATTTTTTATTGAATTTATAAGTTAGTTGTTGTATTTATATATATTTAGAATGTCGAAATAAATAAATTCATTGAATATAAAAAATTTTGCAACCCTTAGGTTACTACATGTATATTGAAACATCTGCACCAAGGCGTCAAGGAGATAAAGCTAGACTGATTAGCCCAACATACCAACCTACAACTGGACGGTGCATGACTTTCTTCTACCATATGCACGGTAAAGGAATGGGCACATTGAATGTATACATGAAACAAGAAAGAAGACTAAGTGCTGCAATGTGGACAGCATCTGGAGACAAAGGATTCCAGTGGAATGCTGCACAAATTACCCTGTCTAGCAACACACCTTTCCAGGTAACAACATGGGACAAGACCAATATTCACATCTATGGGCATAAATAGAACAGGGCTGGCTGGGGTGGGGAGGTGGTGGTATAGGACTAGCTAACATGTGGGTTGTAGAAATGCAGTTTTTTTTTTAAATCTGAGGTTTAAAAGGTTATCATTTTATTTGACTCTGTAATGCTTTTCATCATAGCTTTTTGATGATTTCACACCCATATTCTTTATTTATCTTTTTATATGCCCAAAAGGGCATATTATGTTATACCCCCTGGCGTCTGTCTGTCTGTCAGTCCGTCCGTTAGCAATTTGGTTTCCGGAGCATAAGTTAAGTTCCATTTGGCCCACAATATTCAAACTTCATAGGATGATTGTCTATATTGGGTAGAAGACCCCTATTGATTTTTGGGTCAAAAGGTCAAGTTCACTATTACCTTAAAACTGAAAACAGTTTCCGGAGCATAACTTAAGTTTCATTTTGCCAACAATATTCAAACTTCTTAGGATGAATGTACATATTGGGTAGAGGACCCCTATTGATTTTGGGGTCATAACGTCAAAGGTCAAGGCCACTATTACCTTAAAACTGAAGACAGTTTCCGCTCAATAACTTAAGTATTAATCAAGCTACAGCTGTAAAATTTTAAAGGATCAATAGCTAATTCCCATGTCTTATAAATGCTTCATCCTTACTAAAAAAAACAAAACAAAAAAAAACAGTTTCCGGCATATAATGCTCCGCCTAGCGGTGCTCTTGTTTTCTTTTCAGTCATTTAATATATTTTAGATATTTAAGAGGTCATTTCACTTTAAATATAAATGCAACAACCATACATTGCCGCCTTTGAAAAGAATTATTAGTTAAACACTTTTTAATGGACTGTTATTTTCATTTGACTTTTTGAAAATAACATGCCAATCAAATAAGTTTTTTGCCCAGGGAAGAGATGTACAACCAGGTGACAGCATTTAAATGTTTTGAAAAGGGTGTACTCTACAGCCAGTAATGCACTAAACTGAAAAGCCCCAGGAGGTCTGCAGCCTTGAAGACTGACCCGGAATACGCAACTGCAATTCACACTTTTCTTTAACTAACCTTTCCCTTATTGTAAAGATAAAATACATGTAATTTTACATTAAACATTTGTCTATCTTGATGTTTGTAAGTCATTGCTCAAATAATGTTAAAACAACACATAAATCAAGAGCATTATACACCAGCTTATTGAATATTTGTACCATAAGACGTTGATGAGTATGCAAAAAAATAATAGAATAAGACTGTATTTTTGATCTTTGAAAATGGCTAAGAATAAGACTGTATTTTTGATCATTGAAAATGGCTATTTCATATTACTACAACAGCAGTTGTAGATCTGAACTCTGATCTGCATGGCAATTTTTATGCTGTACAAAGATTTATTTGAATTTGATAAGGCCTTATATTGCTACTTGATCTGAAAATAGTCTATTGATTTGATATTTGTTTTCAATTCCTTATAGGTCGTGTTTGAAGGTATCAGAGGCACTTCAATAACAGGGGACATTGCAATTGATGACTTGTTGATCCAAGACGGCACGTGCAAACAACCAGGATACTGTGATTTTGAAACAGACTTTTGCACATGGTCGAATATGAAGAATGCTGATGATTTTGACTTTGTTCGTTTTAAAGGATCAACAAGTAGTGCATCTACTGGTCCTTCATCAGATCATACACTTGGGACATCTCAAGGTAAAGAAAGATAATAATTGTGAAAACAAATTTGTGTGTTAAAATTATAACTCATGTTTATAATTCAGAAAATGCTTGTTTGAGGTCTTTTAGAGAACTTTTGTTGTACTGCAAATATATAGTGTTTTAATACCATTATATGCATTTGTGAATTGATTTTTAAAGACTTGTAAAATTGAAAGATAATGCAGGAGCCCAGTCTGAACTGAATGCTTTCAAGCGAAAGAAATGTTATTTCAATGCATAAACTTGACGTATACATAGTAAAGAAAGACAAAAAAGGGTAGCTGTAACTTAAATTTTGCATGAAATGGACTGTGTTATAAGTAAATTAAATGCATATCCAAATTCCTTTCTCTGTGATAATTTATAAATAAAGTGATAAATTCAAAGTATTTTTCATTTTAGGTTATTACATTTACATTGAGTCATCATCTCCACGAAAGAACTCAGACAAAGCAAGGCTAAGGTCACAATATTTTGACCCAACGACATCCAGTTGTTTTAATTTTTGGTATAATATGTACGGAAGTGACATTGGTAGTCTTAACATATACACACAGCAAATACTAAACCAATCTCCATTGAACAAAATTTTCACTTTAAGTGGAGATCAACAACAGGGATGGAAACAAGGCTATGCACCAATATCCTCTCAAACACAATTCTCAATCATTATGGAAGCTGTCATTGGAAATGGTTATAAAGGTGACATTGCTTTAGATGATCTCTCTCTCACATATGGACCGTGCCCAAGTACGACAGTAACACCGCCTACATTTAGCTGTGGTGGCACCGGGAGTACACCGATAGCAGCCAATAAAGTGTGTGACTTCAAACAGGATTGTAGTAATGGAGCAGATGAAGCTAATTGTGGATCGTGTAATTTCGACTCTTCCAATTATAATCTCTGTGGTAACACAGATGTCAGTCCAGGTTCCTTCCGCTGGCAGCTAGATAATGATGGAACACCAACAAATAATACTGGTCCTCGTTTTGATCATACAACAGGAAGTACACGAGGCTACTATTTGTATGTGGATGCCAGTAATGGAGGGACAAGTGCCCTAGCTACACTCCAGACACCAATTCTTCAACAGGCAGCAGCAACATGTCAGTTCACATTCTGGTATCACATGTATGGCAGCAGTATAGGGCTTCTATCTGTATCAAGCAAAGTAGGAGCTCAGATAACCAACTTATGGTCACTGTCTAGAAATCAAGGAAATGTGTGGAAGAAGGGTGTGGTTGATATTGGACGTATTAACCAGCCATTTGAACTTCTTATTCAAGCAAAGAGAAGTTACTCAGTAATTGGTGATATTGCAGTTGATGATTTTAATTTTACAAATTGTGCTCCTCCCCAACCTCAGACATCATGTTCCTCAACACAATTTCATTGTAGTAATAACGTATGTATTGATAACCCTCGTGTGTGTGACTTTACTGATGATTGTGGTGATGGAAGTGATGAAAGGGCTTCACTCTGCGCTACTTATTCTCGATGTGAATTTTCAAATTCCATCTGTTTCTGGACGCAGGATAAAGGTGATAATTTTGATTGGACAAGAAAAGCTGGTAAAACTACAACAATTAATACAGGTCCTTCCCGTGATCACACTACTGGACTTGTCACAGGATATTATATATACATTGAAACCTCATCTCCTAGAAAACAGGGAGATACAGCTCGATTAGTTTCTCCTGTCTATCAAGCAACAAAGTCATCACCAGGATGTTATTTCAACTTTTACTACAATATGTATGGACGATCAATTGGAACACTTAATGTTTATGTAAGACAGCAAGATCTGTCAGTTACCAACATCTGGAGTAAATCTGGATCTCAGCCAAATGTTTGGGTAAGAACGTCACTGCAATTGATTTATAATAAGCCTTTTGAAATAATAGTTGAAGGGGTACGTGGATCATCTTTTTACGGAGATATAGCAATTGATGACACAGTTTTTACATCTGGATGTGTAAGGTCAACAGCTCTTTTCCCACCACAATTTAGTGTTCCAGCTTCTGGTTTAACAACTCAGAGTCCAACTTGTGGTGCGGGTAGTTTTCAGTGTCCAGCAAGTAAGTGTATTTCAATGTCAAAAGTTTGTGACTTCAAAAATGATTGCTTTGATGGTTCTGATGAGATTAACTGTGGGCCGTGCACATTTGAAGTAGATTCATGTAATTGGCGTGATATAAGTTCCGGAAGATATTCTTGGACAAGAGACATAGCTGCTAACAATGTAGGTCCAAGCAATGACAACACTCTTCATACAGGACTTGGACATTATGCATTTGTTAAAGGATCAAATGGCGTATTTTATGATAAGGCTGTATTTTCTAGTCCACCACTTCCAAAGTCTTCTGCAACATGTCAAATGAGCTTCTATTACAATATTAATGGAGCAAATACTGGTTCCCTATCAGTTACAGCATACATAAATGGTTCTGTTACCACATTATGGAGTACAACAAGATCTCAAGGAACATCATGGACAAAAGCAGTTGTATATATTGGTCAAAAATTTGGTATGGTAGCAAAAGGATATCACATAAGGTTTGAGGCACTTCCTGTTAAGGGTTTTGCTGCATCAAGTACTGCAGATGTTGCTATAGATGACATATTTTTCCAGAATTGTAATCCTGGTACACCTCCACCAACAGTTTCATGTAATTTTGATGCAAACCTCTGTTCCTGGACCAATGCTCTTAGTGATCAATTTGATTGGTTACGGAATAATGGTACTACAAAGTCTGTAGGGACAGGGCCACATAGTGACCATACCTCAGGACAAGGATCATATGTATACATAGAAACTTCCTCTCCAAGACGTAGAGGTGACAAAGCACAGCTTTCATCACCAGTTCTTTCACCAACTAGTCCCATTGGAAGTTGTTTGTCTTTTTGGTATCATATGTTTGGACCATCTATAGGCTCTTTGAATTTATACATGCAATCAAAATACAACAGAACACTTTTCTGGTCAAAATCATCTTCTCAGGGTGATATGTGGAAGAAAGCACAGAGAACAGTAGTTTCAAGTGTGGACTACACATTAAATTTTGTTGGCATTGTTGGTACTGGATACCAAGGAGATATTGCAATAGATGATATATCACTTTCAACCGGACCATGTCCACCAGATCCTAGCTGTGACTTCCAAACAAACTTTTGCAGCTGGACACAATCTAAAGCAGACAATTTTGATTGGCTTAGATCTAGAAATGGTACATCATCAAAGAATACTGGACCACATTTTGATCATACATTCGGCTCTGATTCAGGTTACTATGCTTATATTGAAACATCTGCTCCAAGAAGATCAGGGGACAGAGCCTCTTTAGTGAGTCCTGCTTTTACAAGTATCGCTACACAGTGCTTTACATTTTGGTATCATATGTATGGAGCAACAATTGGAAGATTAGTCATTCACCAAAACAATCAAGGTGCAGTAACAAGCACAAAAGAGATTTGGCTAAGAAGTGGTGACCATGGCAATGTGTGGAGGCGAGGGCGTGTTACAGTTACTTCCAACGGTAGGCCATATACATTAGAGATTATAGGGTACAAAGGAAATGGGTTCACAGGAGACATTGCTATTGATGATCTGGAAATGATTTCAGGAGCTTGTCCTCCGCAGGATTTTTGTGACTTTGAAATTGACACATGTCAGTGGGCAAATTCTTTAAGCGGGGATGACTTTGATTGGCAAAGAGATAATGGAGGTACACCTAGTGCAATTACAGGACCTAAAGTTGATCATACATTTGGAACTTCACAGGGACATTATATGTTTATTGAAACATCTGGGCGAAATAGAAAAGCTGGAGAGAAAGCATGGCTTGTTAGTGACTATCAGGATCCAAGTGCTGCTGCTTGCGTGTCATTTTGGTATCATATGTATGGTGCAGGAATTGGATCCTTAAATGTTTATACCAAGAAAACCACTGTTTCTACTAAAACTTTAAAATGGTCAAGCAGCGGAAATCATGGGAATGTTTGGAAATATGCATTGGTGAACGTCCCAAGTAACAGCCAGTATATTGTCGTGATTGAAGGAGTTCGTGGTGGAAATTATACGGGCGATATTGCAATTGATGATGTTCAATTATCACAAACATCATGCTCTCAAGTAACAGTAGCACCTACAAAAAATCCTGTTGGTTCTTCTCCTGCTTCGTATCCTCCATCTAGCTTAGACTGTAATTTTGAAATTGGACTTTGTAACTGGGCACAAGACAAGTCAGACAATTTTGATTGGTCAACACACACAGGATCAACTTTAACCAGGAATACAGGGCCAACAACAGATCATACCCTTCAAAATACTGCCGGACATTACATGTATATTGAGGTATCAGGGCAAGCAGCAAACCAATCAGCCAGGTTAATCAGTAAAAGTCAGAATATTGGTTCTTCTGGTCTCTGTTTCAAGTTCTGGTACAACATGTATGGTGCAAATGTAAATACGCTCAATATCTATGCACAAAAGGCTTCACAGAAAACTCTCTTGTGGACTAAATCAGGAAATAAGGGATTAGGCTGGAAATACGGACAGACATATATAGGTCAACCGGGACAAACACAGATTGTAATTGAAGGGTTAGCAGGATTAAGATTTGATGGTGATATTGCTATTGACGATCTTAGTTCTAATGCCGGTTATTGTCCACCAAAAACAACATGCGATTTTGAAGACGGCTTTTGTGGTTTTGCTCAAGACACCACAGATCAGTTTGATTGGTCGCTTCATTCTGGCACAACTGGTACAACAGGAACCGGACCTACAACTGACCACACAGAAGGAACTAGTTCTGGACATTATATATACATAGAATCATCATCACCCCAGCATCCAGGAGACAAGGCAAGAATAGATAGTCCCGCCTTTAATCCAACAGGGTCATCTGGTGCTTGTTTAACTTTCTGGTACAGTATGAATGGAAATCAAATTGGTACATTGAATGTGTATAAGAAGATTAGGTCTGTAAGAGGTCAAGCTATATGGACATTATCTGGAAATCAAGGAATTAAATGGCGTAAAGCTCAAGTTACTGTTTCAAGCTTTGCAGGATACCAACTCTCATTTGAAGGTGTAATTGGACAAGGTTACCATAGTGACATTGCTATTGACGACATTAATCTTGCATCAGGAGCATGTCCGTCTCCAGGCTCATGCAACTTTGAGACAGATCTATGTGATTGGGTTAATGCTAATGGTGGAGATAACTTTGACTGGGAAAGAACACAAGGGAGCACTATGAGTGCTGGCACAGGTCCTAGCACTGATCATACATTAAAAACTGCTTACGGAACATATCTGTATATAGAAGCATCTTCACCTAGGAAACAAGGTGATAAGGCGTGGTTAGTCTCTAGCACATATGCTAATAATACAAATATGTGTGTTTCATTTTGGTATAACATGAATGGTGTAGGAATGGGTACTCTGAATGTAAATGTTTGGCCATACAACACTGGCTTAACTCAAACAAATGTTTGGAAAAAGACAGGAAATCAAGGTCCAAACTGGAATCAAGATCAAGTCCAGGTTATAGACCCAGGGGCAAACTACAGAATAGTATTTGAGGCAATACGTGGAAGTTCCTATAACTCTGATATAGCTCTTGATGATATTGTAGTAACTCCTGGTTTCTGTGATGGTCACCAAATTACAACACCAAATCCATGTGCAGTGTCTTGTGGAGGTAAATGTGTAAGTAGTAATAAAGTTTGTGACTTCAATTTGGATTGTTTTGATGGAAGTGATGAAAAAACTTGTGGATATAATTGTAATTTTGAAAATGGAACGTGCAAATGGACAAATGCTAACAACACACAATTTCAATGGAAGACTGGCAGTGGAAATAAACCAACTGATGACACAGGACCGTTAATCGATCACACAACACTAGGACCAAATGGGCACTATATCTATGTTGATGCAGCAAACGGATCAAGTATAACAACAGCTAAATATGTAAGTCCACAATTAAAACAAGCCTCTGCAACTTGTGAAATGCAGTTTTATTATCACATGTACGGAACAAATATTGGAACATTAAAAGTACAAATTCAACAAGGTTACACATATACTCAAGTATTCTACTTAAATGGAGACCAGAAGAATGTTTGGAGGAAAGGAACTGCTTATATTGGTCGAGTTAGAGACAATTTTAATGTTGTTATATCTGCAAAACGATCATATTCCACTCGTGGAGATATATCTATTGATGACATAAAATTCCAGAGTTGTGGCTACCCAATTACACAGCCAACATGTACATCAAGTCAATTCAGGTGCAATACTGGAATATGTATCAGCAAATCACAATTGTGTGACATTTCAGATGACTGTGGAGATCGTTCTGATGAAAAGAACTGTTCAGGACTTCATTATCGTAAATGTACATTTGAACAGGGTTTTTGCTTCTTTTCACAAGATCAAACTGATGATTTTGACTGGACACGCCATGCAGGTCAAACAAATTCTTTAGCAACTGGACCGTCAAGAGACCATACGCTTAATCGAGCTAACGGGCACTACCTCTATATAGAAACTTCCGCACCAAGAAAGCCAGGTCAAAAGGCAAGACTTGTAAGTCCTTTTATTTCAGCAAACTCAAGTTCACAGTTTTGCATAATGCGATTTTACTACGAAATGTATGGTGCAGATGTTTCAACATTAATGATATATTCAAGGACAGAGGTAAATGGACAGTTAAAACGTTTATGGGGAAGGCGTGGGCCTGTTGGGGATTACTTTGCAAGAAGTGAAGTTTCTATCTATAACAGCAAACCTGTTCAAATTGTGATTGAAGCAACTGTTGGTAACAGTTATCATGGGGACATAGCTATAGATGATATCAGTTTTACACCAGCTTGTAAAATATTTTCTGGATCGGTTCCAACAGACATAGTTCCACATCCTACTCCACCTAACCCTTGTGGTTCTGGAAAACAACCTTGTGCCAATGGGCAGCAGTGTGTACCATTATCAAATGTATGTGACTTTATAAACTTTTGTTCAGATGGATCTGATGAATCTAACTGTGGGCAGTGTAACTTTGAAAATGGACTGTGTGGCTGGCAAGATATGAGCTCTGGAAAATATGCTTGGGAAAGACATAATGGATCTACACCATCACCTGTTTCTGGTCCATCATCAGACCATACATACGGTCCAAATAAGGTTGGAAACTATATGTTTATTGATTCTGGGAAAGGGAATTTCTTAGGAAATGCTGATTTAGTTTCACCAGTGTATGGAAATCTAGCCTCCACATGTGAAATTCAATTTGCCTATCATAAAAAAGGTGATTTAGGAGGATTCCTAAGATTATATTTGATTCCACCTAACATACAGGCCACTAACCCAGCAGGAAGAATATTGCTATGGTCTGCAAACACGCAAAATAATTCATGGCAAGTTGCTAATGTCAAACTTCAGTCAAGATCTCCGGGCTACAGGCTTGTGTTCGAAGCTGTGAAACATCTGCAGACAGGAGATATGGCAATCGATGACGTTCAGTTCAATAATTGTGCAGTGAAACCTGCCACGGGAAAATGTAACTCCAATCAATTTACTTGTGCTAGAAAGTCTTGCATTGATAAGAACCTTGTTTGTGACTGGTCAAATGACTGTAGTGACAATTCAGATGAAACATCATGCTCAAGATATACTGAGAGGTGCAACTTTGAGAATGACATTTGCAACTGGATACAAGCCAGTGGAGATGACTTTGATTGGACTTGGAAGTCGGGAGGTACAACAACAGTTGGCACTGGTCCAAGATTAGATCACACATTCGGGAATCTTACTGGACACTACATTTACATTGAAACATCTTCACCTCGAAAAAGAGGTGACAGGGCATTACTTTATAGTCCAGTTTTCCAAACCAGTAATTCTGGTCTTTGTCGAATGAGATTTTTTTACCATATGTATGGCGTAAATGTGAATTCATTAAATATATATACAGAGCAGTTTGAACTTGGACCAATGGTCATTGCTTGGAATATGACAGGCCAACAAGGTGATTCATGGAATAGAGCAGATATTCCTCTGACAAGTGAAGCTCCATTCAGAGTTCTCATTGAAGGCATAGTTGGTAATGGCTACAAAGGTGATATTGGACTTGATGACATATCGTTCACCCCAGACTGCCACATTATTTCTGCAGAAGCCACACTCCCTGTTGCACTAACTACACCTTCAGTTTGTGGTGCTGGTAAGCGCCCATGTAAAAGCGGTAAATGTCTTCCATCAAGTGCTTTCTGCAATTTCCGACAAGATTGCGATGACGGCTCAGATGAATCTCAATGTCCAATTCTTACTAATTTTGAAGATGGAACCTTGCAATATTGGCAAAACGATGCAAATAATAATTTTAACTGGACAATAAACTCAAATGGCAATCCTAGCCAAAATACTGGTCCTTCCCAAGACCATACTACATTGACAGCATCTGGAAAGTTTGCTTTTACAACAGGTAAGGTCACGTCTACATCTAAATATACATCCAAGTTCGTCAGCCCATTATATAACCAAGCAGGCAAAACTTGCAATTTTACATTCTGGTATAATGTTCATGGAAATGAATTTTCAAATATCAATGTTTACCTAAGAAAGATACGTTTAATTAAACTATGGAGCATAGCTGGAAATGCTATGAATGCAAACCAAGATACTTGGCAATTTGCACAGGTTTCATTGCCAATATGTGCCGCAAGCTTTCAGATAATTATAGAAACAACTTCCTTAGGATCCTTTGGCAATCCACAAGGTTTTATAGCTATAGATGACTTGCAGTTCAAAAATTGTGAATACCCTGCACCACCTGCCTCTAGTAGCTGCATGATGGGACAATTTACATGTGCTAGTGGTCATTGTGTACCTGAAACACAGAAATGTGACTATCAACCTGACTGCTGTGATGGAAGTGATGAAAATATGGCAACATGCTCTGGTTATAACATGTGTGATTTTGAATTTGGGCTTTGCGGATGGCAACAACTAACAAATGACCAATTTGATTGGCAAAGACATCGTGGTCCAACATCTTCATATGGCACTGGACCATCCTCAGACCACACTTCAGGCACAGCTAGTGGATTTTACCTTTATATTGAATCATCACAACCACGAAAACAAGGAGACATAGCTAGGATTTCATTTAGCCTTCCAAAACCAGCAGGAGTATGTGCCATGAGATTTTGGTACCACATGTATGGTATTAATGTTGGAAATCTAAATGTTTACATGTTTTCATTAAACACTGGCATGGTCATGAAGTCAAGTGTAAATGGCACACATGGAAATAGTTGGATCAGACAGTCGGTTACATTTAATGCCCAGACAAGTTACCAAGTTATAATAGAGGGTGTTATTGGTGTTGGATACAATGGTGATATTGCTATAGATGATGTATCATTCACACCAGGGTGTGGAACCCCAACTTCAGCAGCTCCTTACACATTCCAGACAGCACCTCATCTCTCAGGATCAACACCAAAGCCATGCCCAATTGGTCAGTATACATGTAACAATGGCCAGTGCATTTCTGTTACAAAAGCCTGCAATGGAATAAATGATTGTACTGACGGCTCTGACGAATCACGATGTCCGCAACCATGCTCTTTTGAAAGTGATCAATGTGGTTGGGCTGAGGATATAATTGATGGCTTTGATTGGAGAAGGTCTAGTGGAGCCCTTGCAGCAGCATCTGGTATGATGAAATATGCTCCACCAATCGATAATACACGAAGGACTCAGAATGGTTTCTTCATGTTTGTTCAGGACACTACAAATGGAAATACACAAGGTAAAATTGCACAAATAACAAGTCCTATTCTTTATTCGGCAAGTAAGGAGTGCAAGATTCAGTTTGCATATTATCTTAATGGACAAGATGTTGGACAAATGTTTTTAAGAGTTGAAGAAGCCGGATCAGTACCAATACCACTTTGGCATAGACTAGGCATTAGTGGAGCAGGCTGGAAAACTGTAACAGTTGGTCTTGGTAAACATAGTGGATCATTTTTGGTAGAAATCCAAAAAACTTCAGGTGCTTACAATGGACAATCTGCTATTGATGATATCAGGTTCCTTGACTGCGTACCTCCCAAACCTCAAGCACAATGCTTACCAAATCAATTTACCTGTGCAAATAAAGCATGCATCGGCATACATATGAAGTGTGACATGAATAATGATTGTGGAGACGGTAGTGATGAGATCAGTTGCAATGGCTACTTACAAAGCAACTTTGAAAATGGAATTGGTAGCTATATCAGACAATCAACATCTGATGATGAGTTTGACTGGACACTTTCATCTTCCAACAGAAATGTTTCTTATTTCCCTGGACCACCTTTTGATCATACAAAAGAGACTACGAAAGGGCAGTACCTTTATATTGATGCTTCAAATCGTCCTTATGGAAGCAGGGCATGGCTTTTAGCTGGTACATTCCAATCTACTGCTCAAAATGATTGCAAGATGGTATTCTACTTGTACATGTATGGCCAAAATGTCAATGCAGTGAATGTTTATTATAGATTATATAACTCCGGTGCACCAACTAAAGCTATCTATCAGGTCAATGGTGAACAGGGTCCATACTGGCAGCGCATAAGTGTACCGCTAAAGATTTCACAATCATTCCAGGTTATAATTGAGGCTAAAGCAGGAAATCTGGATCTGGGTGGAGTAGCTATTGATGACTTGTCATTTTCACCAGGTTGTGGAGTTCCTACTTCAGCACGACTTCCAACTCCCCCAACAACAGTAACAACCCCTTCTACAATTGCCACAACAATCCCTGGAAGTAACTGTACAAATTCACAGTTTACATGCAGAAGTGATCTTAAGTGTATAGATGCAACAAGAGTATGTGATTTTAGAGATGATTGTGCTGATAGTAGTGATGAAAAAAATTGTGGTAAGTTTATTTTTGTATTGAAATACTTTTACACTTCATACATGTATATGAAATGCTTAAAAAGTAAAATGGACCCTGTTTTTAATTTTAAACTTTTAGAAACCTAAATTTGTAAGGCATAATTGCATAATATTTTCAACAGGATAGTTAGTTGCAATTGCTTCAAAACTTTTATTAGTTCACCTGTCACAAAGTGACCTGGTGAGCTTTTAATAATTGCTTTTCATCCTGCATCCATTTGTAACTTACACTTAAAACAACATCTCCTCATAAGCCATCATGGCCCTCTTGTCCTTTATTCTAACCCATTGAATAATTGCAGCTGTTTATTCTTTCGTGATTTTACAGTGGCTATAACATGTGGATTTGAAAATGGGGATACATGTGGATGGTCAGTACAGCAGGCAGCAGCCCCAAATCCAGACTCGTTTACCTGGCAATTTGGACCGGCTCAGACATTTATGAACTCTCCATATAGTCCAAAAAGTGATGCCTCAGAGGTAAGGTCATAACCATGAATTAACTGATGTTTTATTCTGGTATCTGATCCCTTTTAATGGAATTTTAACCTTTTCCCTTAAATCCTTTCGACGCCCATCCGCTATACCCGTAGGACGGCCAAAGCGTAAGAAAACGTATCGAATTTTTTTATTTCTGAAAGCTAGTCTTATTTTACGACCTGACGTCCATAGCGTAGAAAAACGTATCAAAAATATACCTTTCTAGAAACCGTAGCGTAAATCAGCGTAAAACTTGAATTTTGTGTAAACCTCGTTTTTCGTACATTCTGGTTTTTTAATGTGTTTATGAAAAATCAAAATATTACGCTACGGCTGTTCAACTGGATACGATAAACAACAAAGCCATACCGTATAACACTGTTAATATAACGTTCAACTGCAATAAACAGACTCACAATCCTTGTTTTTCAAAACAAGTTCTGAACGTTTTAAAACGGTAAATTTTACGTTATTTACCGATATAGCCCATTAGAATACCCTATTGAGTAAAACGTCCACAACGTTTTAAAACGTAATTATTGAAAATCAATGAAAATCAATTTTTCTCAGGAAGGGTGATTGATATTATGCTTTTCAACATGAATTTTGTAAGTTCAACTCATTTTTGTTTCAAATAAGAGAACTGCTTACAGAAACTCCGTTTGATGTATCAATAAATGCATTTTAAAATACTATACCATTTAGAAGATTTTCTTCAATTAATTTTGATATCGATTTGATTACCACATTAATTAAAAAGTGTACTGTATATCTAAACATTTACTATATCTGTCAATAAAGGGCACTATACAATTAACATATTTGGTGTTTTTATTTGAACAACATTTAACAGAATGAAATAAATGAAAGGTAAACTTTAAGAATTTAGTCATTTAAAACTAAATTTTGGTGGCCTTCCTACGACAAAACAGTAGTGGCTTTCAGGAAGCCAAAATTTTATACCGGTTTATTACGTTATAGCCTTCTTATGACTATAGCGCCCGGCTTTTGAGAAGTCGATTTTTCTGTACATTTTATCACGCTATGGCCGTCGAAAGGATATAAGTGTGTTTTGACGGCTTTTTGCCCCCCCCTCCCCCCCTTCTCTTTTTTAGGCCTAAGACAGTGAAAAAATGCCCTATTTAGACCCCCAAACACTGTTTCTTTCATTTGAGAAATGTTGTTAAAAAAGTGACCACTTTTTTCGGAGCGGCCCCCATCAAAATGGTACATCAGGGGGTTGCCAGAAGGGGGATGTGCTCCCTTCTGTTTGGGGGGTGTGAAGGGGGGCCCCTCATCGCCAAGAAAATTTTGGACATGTGACAGGCTAAAAATGGCCTCAGGTCAATCCTTGGGTAACTAGTAACAGACGCTGAAAAGCCTTTTACTCTATCTTAATTCATTGAGAAGTTGCAGCACTTTGAAATCATTTTGATGGAAAAAAACAATGCAAAATAGTGATTTTTTGCAATTTTGAGATGTCCCCCCGTTGCCATGGTAACAGAAAATTTAGAATTGAGCATGTTGTTACAGGGGCTATGGTCCAGTCAACATTTGTGTGCAGTTTCATTAGTTTTGAAGCATTTTTCATAGTTTCATAGCAGTTTGAACTTGTAACAGGAGGCTTTTCAACGAAACTGGACATTTTTCACAATATGCTCATGGGGTAAAACGTTAATGTAAAGTGATTTATCAATAAGTTGTAGTCGATTGACATGAGTTATCGGAAAGTTTAACATGTTTAAATCAAGACAATTGAAATACTAGAATATTTTATCATGCTACAATTAATTTTTTAAGACTGAATTTAAAAGATAACAAAATAGATACTTTTCAAGATTTAATAATAATATTTATATCATTACAGCGGCAGCCCACAGGATGGTATGCTTATGCCACCAGCTCTAGAGGATCCTTCCAAGATTCGGTAAGCTTATATACACCCAAAATAGGAAGAACGGGACCACAATGTAAACTTCAGTTCTTTTATTATATGGATGGACCATCAGTGGACTCACTTATAGTATACACATCTTCCCAAGGTACAAATAATCAGCTTTGGGAAACAACAGGTGGTAAAGGAAAACTTTGGCAGCCGGCAGTAGTCTTCATTGGAGCAAAGTCAAATGTTGTTGTAGGAATTCAGGCTAGACGTGGTAAAAGCTTTACAGGTGGAATATCCATTGACAAGGTTCAGTTTGTTGATTGCCTACCACCCTTAGTGCAGCCAACATGTAGAAGCGACCAGTTTTCTTGCCAAAACAAATACTGTATTGATCCACAACTTCAATGTAACTACGCTGATGACTGTGGCGACAACTCTGATGAAAATGTATGTTTACTTATAAACCAACTTTTTAAAGTCATTATATTAAGTTATTATGTTTGTTAGTTAGTTTAAAAACTGCATATATTAAAATGTTATTGATTTTAAAATAAAAAAATTGTAGTTCAAATTAAATTCCACATCTTTACAATTTGTAAGACTGTTTTTAACGTTTATCAGGTTATTTTGGCGAACAGAAAATTTCGTGATTTTTACAGTAATCTAATTTTAGCAAATCTAATTTTAACAATTCTGTTGTACATGTTTCTTTTTGTGTGTTTTCCTTTCCGAAAATAAGTTTCAGAAATTCTTGAAATCTTCTTATTAAATTGAAGGAAAATTTAGTGAGTCTTTTTTTAGCGATATTCATTGCAAGCGAATATAGCAAAAAATTAGAGACTATCCAGATATACAGTTGTTAATCAACATTAGTCAAGTTTTAATTATACATTGAAAAGACCTTATTATTTTTTTTTATCATGAATCTTTAGGCACAATTTTGTGACCGAACATATGTAGGAAGGTGTTCCTTCACAAATGAAATATGCAGTTTCTGGTCCAATGCTGTAGATGATAACTTTGATTGGACTTTAGCTAAAGGCTCTACACCAACTTTAGGAACAGGACCAAGTGTTGACCACACATCTAGAACAGAAGCAGGTATGTAGTTATAAAACAATTTCATACTGGAGAAATTGCTACTGGTTCACTGAAGTTTTATTTCACTTGAATATTAAATTAAGACAAATGCTTTAGAAAAATTGACCTTCTTTACATATTGTTAATAATGAAATAAAATACAATGTAATCTACTTAAGGGAAATATTATAGCTCTTGAGTTATCAGTATTTTTTGATAAAAAACGTTCAATAATTATGTATTTGAAAAGAATTTAAAAGTCTTCAATGGGTGAACAGTTAGTTTCTTATCTTTTGTTTGAAAATCATAGCTTTTTCAATATTTCCCTACTTGGATTCTATTGGAAAATATCATTGAAATCTAATTTGATATTGCTAGCTACAGGTAATTATTATATCTGGAAAGTGAGTAACTGAAAGCCATTGTGTTAGAAATAATTTGACATGTTTTTTCAGATTTGAATCCATGCTAGTGGAGGTATAATAAAAGTGATATGGAGTCAGCTGTGATGGTCTTAAACAATTATTTATTGTCGTCATATGCTGTTAATTAAAACATCTACAAAAAACTTTTAAGTCATAATAGCATATGCTTATTATGCTCCCCGAAAAAATTTCGGGGGAGCATATAGTCGTCGGGTTGTCCGACTGTCAGTCCGTACGTACGTCCTGAATTCGTGTCTGGCCCATAACTTTGTTATTTGAAGTCGGATTTTAAAATTATTTCACAGAAATGATCACCATATTGGGACAACGTGTCGCACGCAACATTTGGGTTGCTACCTTGAAGGTCAAGGTCACAGCATGACCTTGCAGCAAAATCGTGTCCGGTCCATAACTTCATTATTTGAAGTTGGATTTTAAAAATATTTCACAGAAATGATCACCATGTTGAGACGACGTGTCACGCGTAACATTTGGGTCGATACCTTGAAAGTCAAGGTCACAGCATGACCTTGCAGCAAAATCGTGTCCAGTCCATAACTTTGATATTTGAAGTTGGATTTTAAAAATATTTCACAGACATGATCACCATGTTGAGACGACGTGTCGCGCGCAACTTTTGGGTCGCTACTTCGAAGGTCAAGGTCACAGCATGACCTTGCAGCAAAATCGTGTCCGGTCCATAACTTTGTTATTTGAAGTCGGATTTAAAAAATATTCAACAGAAATGATCACGATATTGAGACGATGTGTCGCGCGCAACATGTGGGTCGCTTCCTTGAAGGTCAAGGTCACAGCATGACCTTGCAGCAAAATCGTGTCCGGCCCATAACTTCAATATTTGAAGTTGGATTTAAAAAGTATTTCACAGAAATGATCATCATATTAAGATGACGTGTCATGCACAACATTTAAGTCGCTACCTTGAAGGTCAAGGTCACAGCATGACCTTGCAGCAAAATCGTGTCCGGCCCATAACTTCCTTATTTGAAGTCAGATTTTTAGACAATTTCACAGAAATGATCACCATATTAAAATGGCGTGTCGTGCCCAACATTTGGGTCGCTACCTTGAAGGTCGGATTTTACAACTATTTCACAGAAATGATCACCACAATGAGACATTGTGTCGCGTGCAACATTTGGGTCGCTACCTTGAAGGTCAAAGTCACGGTATGACCTTGCAGCAACATTGTGTCCGGCCCATAACTTTGTTACTGGAAGTCGGATTTAACAACTATTTTACAGAGATGATCACCATATTGAATCGACATGTCACATGCAAAATTTGGGTCACTACCTTGAAGGTCAAGGTCACAGCATGACCATGCAGCAAAATAATGTCAGGCGCATAACTTCGTTATTTGAAGTCCGATTTTACAACTATTTCACAAAAAGGATCACCATATTGAGACAATGTGTCGTGCTCAATATTTGGGTTGTTTTTACACTTTGAACTTTGTCTGTGACATAACTCTGACACAACAAGAGGTATACCTTACTGTGTCCAAAACCTATTCTGGGAGCATCACCCGGTTCAACCGGCTCTTGTTTTTTTTCTTTTTAAGGTGGTTATTTATACATAGATGGTTCACCACCAAGAAAATCTGGTGAATATGCAAGACTGACATCACCAACTATCAGCGGCTCATCAAAAAATTGTGTAGTAAGTATATACATTGTGTTACTAATCTCAATAAAGCCATGTGAGAATATGAATTTGATGCATTTTTGCTTCTTTTGTAAATAAAGTGAAATCATTTTTAAAATTTATGTAAATGGTTTTTTTTTTAGTTAAATGGCTTTGAATTTATAAGATCTTTTGAAACTTATAGACATCATATGATTATCAATGCTTTTCAAAGCATTGTACATAATTGCAAAAGTTCTTTCATGCTGAAATATCTCAAGCTTATGGTTGATAATTAATTTAAAGTCACAGTCATATGAATAACTTAATTTTATATAAATCTAGTTGCGACTCTGGTATCACATGTGGGGAAATGAACTTGGAGCACTGACTGTGTCCAAAAGAATAACATACTTGAAACCAATAGCTGGACTGAGTGACCTATCAACCATTGAAGGTGATCATGGCGATGTTTGGAAACTGGCAACTTTTGTCATGGACTCTCAGACTGAAAATGTAGACTTCCAGGTACTATTCATAGCATTATAAAATACTTATGTGTAAGAAATTGCAGGTTTATTATTAAAATGATTGTTTTACTATTGTTTAATATCATAGGTAATTAATAAATATTGCATTTATTTAAAAATAAAGTTAGAATCAATCACTTTTAATGAATGTGTTTTAAATGCTATCTTAATAATTATATAAATCATAGGAATGGAATGGTAAAATTGAAAAGATAAAATGTATATTTTCCCCCCTCACAATTATTGTCTGTGTATGAACATATTTATTTATTATTATATAGATTGTTATACAAGGAAGTGTTGGTCACGGTATTCATAATAACATTGCTATTGATGATATTTCACTCACACCTGGATGCCAAGTTACAGGTACATGTTTTTTTGAGTCTTGAAATAGTGTTTAAACCTAACTATGCTAAAATATTTTAAAGATATCTGTTAATCTTTCAATCTGGACAAAATACTCGTTTTTAGTAAAATTTCAAAATATTAACTGTATGAATAGGAACAGTGCAGACCATGATCAGGTGGTACCAATCTTGGTCTGCACTCGTCATATTGGTAGATGTTATATCTGCCGGCAGGAATAGAGTTAATTTCAGGTACAATTTTTATGCACATGAGCTGTTGAATATCCTGAGATATGGGATATTTTATTTCAATAAGGATTTAGTACAGTACATCTCAGCATCATATTTTAGGAATACTATATATTTTGAAAAATATTTAGTTTCTTTAATGACTTTCTTTAAATAGTCATTATGTAACAAAAAAGACAAACAAAATTATTTTACTCATTTTAAATGGAGATGTGACCTACATATTATTGTGGTCTCCATAATACATGTACCACCATCAAATTGGTAAATGACCAATTATAAAGGAATAAAGAGGTTTTTATTGGGTTTAAATGCTTTACATAAATTCTGTATACAATATGATTTACCAATTAATTTTGCAATTCTGATTCAAAAAAAGGCTCAAGTATACCTGGTCAGCCTATGGCACCAAGTACAACCATTGGACCATGTGGATCTGGACAGCTTCAGTGTAAGAACAGAAACAAATGCTATTCATTCAAAGAACAGTGTGACTTTATTGATGCATGTGGTGACAATTCTGATGAGGCTTTATGTGGTAACTATTCTGTTTATATATTCATTTATCAAAAACTTTAAAGCTGCACACATACATCAATTGATTTAAAGCAGCACACTTTCAGAGAAGTAAGTTTTAATGAAATCTAATTTGAGAAAAATATATGCGTATGTTTACGAAACGAATAAAGATTTAAGTTTTTGGTAAACAAATTGTATGTTTTATTTCAACGAACAACATTTTATGACTGATGTTTCAAGATTTTTTAAAGAATTGTCTTATATCTATTGTCAGTAATTGGATAATGATTTAGAAAGTTAACAGATTAATTTTCAATATATAGAGGATATTGGATAAGTGCAAGTTCAATGCTGAATTTATTGAAAGAGTTGAATGAAGTTATATTATGCAAGTCTCTGGTAAGCATAATACTATTTTATTCAAGTTAAATAAATTCAGTATTAAACTTACACGATAATAGTATCATGCAAATGAGGTCAAATCAAAATATATGCACAGTCATGCAATACCGTTTTTATGAAGTAGCAAAGTCTGCATGGCTATGTGATAAAAACAGTTTACTCTTTCCTTTTGATATATATAGAGTGAATGCACATTTGTATTTTATTTATTGTTATCTAAACCTATCAAATGCACTGATTGATGTACATTTTGTATATTTAAGGAACGTCATGTGAATTTGAGAGCAGTAATATGTGCGGATGGAAGAACTCTGGACGTGACAATTCAAACTTTAAATTGACAGGTGCTGGTAAATCTCCAGGACCCAAAACAGATCATACTTTAAGCAGTGCAAATGGTACGGGCGTATTATTAGTCTTTTGTAACTTCAAATTATTATTGATATTGGTAGTAAAAAATCTTATTAAAACTTTGAACGTATTTGGAATGTTTTTAAATATTATATAAAACATTTTTTTTTTTTTTAAAACATGTATGTTTCCTTGCTAAAAATGAGAAAAGTGCTGTATAATATGACATTGAACATTTGAAAAAATAATTTTGATAAGAGGCATAGCTAAACATTTTGTAAGAAGTAGTTCCTAGAGACTGAAACCAGTACCATAGTATTATGTTTGTATAATTATGTTTACTGCAGTTTTCATTGTTAATGGTTAATATTTATGTTTAGTTTGTCATTGCATTTATAACTAGTTAATACCATGTTTTATAATATTACATTGTCTTTTGTATACTTATTTGATGTAAATATGTTGTAAATATGTTGAGGTACATATGGAAGATCGTTTTGGCGAATATGTAGCCTCGTTAAATAAAGCCTTTATTATTATTATTATTATTATTATTATAAACAATATTGCAATAAAGTTTATAAATAATATGTTTACTTGCATAAAGTACATGCGTGTTCAATTTGTTTTTTATAGGTCACTACATATATCTACAAAATGGTCAGAATGTAATTGGGGATGCTGCATTGCTTGAATCAAGCATCTATTTCTCGTCAAGTCCATCCTGTCAAATGACATTCTGGTACAATGCTTTTGGTTTCCAAGGTACAATTATACAGGTTGTACTGAAAACAAAACAAGCTAATGGCATTAAACTATTCCTTCAAACTACTAACAGCTCCACTGTGTGGCAGAGGGCACAGTTTAGTGTTGGTTCATTCCAGACATTCTCGTTCATCATTGAAGTTGTCTTCCCGAGAAATGCACAGGGCCATATAATAGCATTTGATGACATCAAGTTTACAAAGTGTTCTCCAAGTAAGTTGTTATCTGTATATAATACATATATACAAAATATCGAATGCATACATGATAATATATTCTTGTACACAGTCCAGTTTCCTTATAATTGATCATCAGAAAAAATCGTCTTTCATTGTATTTTAGAATAAGATACATTATCATGTTTATACTGTAATCTTAACTATATCAAGTTGCAAGAACTTTTTTCGCAATCAAGCTAAAATAAATATGTTTAAACCAACTATATCAAGGTTACTCTAAGAATATCAAGGATTTTTTTTAAAGATTTTATGATGTAACGGAAACACAACTTACTAAATACATACTGGTAATTTCATGTGAAAACTTCAGTTCATTGTAGTTGAATTGTAATTCTAATTACTGTAATCATTTGTAGTGAAATTAAACTTAATTGTAAAATTTGATAATGTATGATTAAACACGGAATATTCAACCTATCTATAACTATAAATCATTCTGTGTAATTTAATTATCAGGTATTGTTGGCAATTGTACTACCAACCAATTTTTGTGTGCAAATCATCAGCAGTGTATACCAAGAAACAGACGCTGTGACAAGACGGTTGATTGTAATGACGGATCAGATGAAGATGGCTGTGGTAAGATAAATGTTGAAATTATTTTCCTACTGTACTGTGTGATTGAATAATATAAGAATCTTACACCGGCTGCCGGTACAGTTCAGAATATCTAGCTCTCAAGTAACTGTTTATAGCGAGGCACTGCAAAGTTGCCGTAAACAGTTACCCCGAGAGCTAGATATTCCCGTATGTACCGACAGCTGGTGTTTCTTTTTCTTGCATATTACATATCGATTATTTTCAGAACAGAAATAACGAAAACTGATATTCTCATTACGCATTTTTTTGTTAATGTAGCGTATGAACTTACAACTTAATTCATAACCGTTAAATGCCGTCATCCGAAGAACGCAATTCATTCATAAAAGGGGCGTGGCAATGACATTTAATCCTGTCTGACATCCAAGAAATAACTGTAACTCATCTACAGAATTCAACTTGTATTGACAATATAAAAGCCAGATTTACTGAGAAATGAGCTTATGTCTATAAACTCAGATGGTTAGTGGGAGCATGGCCAAGTGGCATTAGAATAGATTGCTAACCAATAGGGTTCAGCGAGCAGTTGTTTCCTTGTGTACACTTCATTCTCATTGCTCAGTACTGGTTATAAGTTCAGTATAAACTAATGTTGCCTTCAAAACATTGATAAATTTAGGGTGAAAACATTGTCTAAAACATGACTTGACAATAAACTCAAACTTCCTGTTTTTTGTAGTTCCAAATACTGGTGACTGTAATTTTGATGCCCCGAATTGGCAGTCATTGTGTGGGTGGAGTCAGAGAGTTGATGATGATGCTGATTGGATGCAGGCAAATTACAGACAAAACCTCAACACTGGTGCTGATGCTGATCACCAAGGCACTCAAAATGGTACTTTCTTTCTTCTATATTAATTTATTAACAGACAGGCTAGCATGGAGACCTGTATAAAAATATGCAAAAATTATCTTGTATTTTAAATTTGTAATTTTTAATTAAAATAAATTATACTGTATGATATGGTCATTCACACAATTGCAAAAAGTTTTACATCTGATATACTGTGAAATATATATATAGTTTTAACAAAAACAAATTTTGAATATAATCTTCATAATGCATGATTTTATATACCGGTAGTTTTTTCGGATGAAACAGTGTTCACAGTTTACTATAGTCACAGGTTTCCATAGCTTATCAAGTTTATAATTATATTTCAATATGCTCCTAGTAACATGACAGAATAGTAAAACAAATAATGTCATTGCTTCTCTGATTTGACACATTTAACAAGCTTTAATTTTATTTCTTGCAATAAAAAGTGCTTTCATTATTTTTCAACTGTATTAAACGTTTAACAGAATCGGTGTTTTCCGTTCAGTATAACTTGTATTTCAATGAAATTCTTATTTGTACATGAAGATGAATTTTTATATTTAACTACTTTTCCTCTAACATTTCTGTAAACTCTTACCTGGTTAGCACCTTTCATAACCTGTGCTGCAGACATTTGAAAGTCTCCAATCATATTTTACTGTCAAATTTATGGTACTGACAGCTTCAAAACAAAGATTAGATAAAGAAAACCTGTCAGCAAGGACCAGTATTTATGTTTGTCTTCAGATAAATGCTAACAAAAATTGTTAAGAAAGACCGTGTTGACTGTTCAGAAGACTGATCTTTTTATACAGATATTTTATTGATGAATAATAATTCTATATATCATGTTTTTTATCTGTATCTTACAGGACAGTTCCTCACTATAAATAGTGCTAATATGCGTACTGGAGACATTGCTGGCCTTCAAACACCATTCTTCCCCAGCAGTTCCGGGGTGTGTTACGTACGATTCTACTACTACATGTTTGGATCAGATCATATTGGTCCTTTAAGAGTAAGTGTTACATTTTGTCATGTTTGTATATCATGTAAGGTGTTAGCATGGGCAGTTAAGAGTAAACTGATTTAGCTTAACCTGATCTAAGATAACTTGAGTTATATTATTTGTTTAGTGCATGGTTTGCAAAAACATTCTTTTTTTTCAACATGATGTATTTTAGATACTAATCACAAAGCCTGTTACTTAAGCCAATTAAATTCAAATAATCAGAAAAAATATTTATGGTAAATTCATTAAATTTGAATTTTGATGCTGTGTTTTAGTTTATAATCATTAACTTTATCTTAAAAATGTTAAGGTAAAATGTAGAATGAAGTTATATGTAGGATGATATACATCATTTGATTTCCGTTGTATTTAAATGCTAAATTTTCATAAGTGACAATAAGCTATTTAAAGTTTATATGTATATGTTTATTAAACAATTCTTTTGTGTTAATATTCCCAAAACAAATCTCTGATAATCTTTATGTTGGGATAAACATATTATGCAAGTTTGATTTTTTTTTTCAAAAAAATATTGACATATTGGATACACATTACATGTCAGTACTAAATTTAAAAGAAATATATTTCATGCAAATTTGCTCTCTGTAAAAAGATCTATGACATTGCACAACAATAAGAGTCTGTATTAAATATCTGTATTGTAAAAAAATCTCCAGCTTACTATGTTTAAATTAACAAACATGTATGTTTCAACTACAGATATACACCCTCAATACAAAGAGTCAGAAGAATTTGATGTGGTCAATTAGTGGAAACATGGGTCAGATGTGGAAATATGCTAATGTGTTAGTTGGAGATAATGCCAACTTTAGTATTATTGTTGAAGCTACAGCCGGGGATAAAACAACTTCTGATATAGCCATAGATGATTTCACATTTACACCGGAATGTAAAACTGGATGTAAGTAATAAAACAAGACAAAATCTAGGCACAAGATGCCAAATTTCATAAGCATAATACTTTAAAACATTTAGATTGACTAGATTAAAAGTGTTACAGAACATAAGAGAAGAGGAACATCTGTATACAACTTAGATCTTTTAATTATCTCCCTTTATAAAACTTAAAAATACATGTCCAGAGAATAATTTGAAAAGTAAATGAAAGAGTACTGATATAGACCAATATTTATTTTCCTTTGTACTGCTTATTCAGATTTGATTTAGGAAATAGATATCAATTGGGAATTGGGGTGCATCTGTGGTTTAGTGGTGAAGATTATTGACTTCAAACCACTTGCCTCTCACAGCTGTGGGTTTGAATTCTGTCAGGGACTTTGCATTCTTGTATGTAAAGAAGCTAGCTTACAGAATTACTCAGGTGCCTGTTTTTTCCTGAAATGATACATGGAAGGGCACCTGAGGTTGTTGTCAACCAGTGAAGCTGGATAAAAGTCACTTAATGACCTCTCCAACCAAAATCAATGTTTATTTTGAGTGTGTTGTTTTAGAGTAATGCATGTTTCAAGCTGAAATGTGCAGGTATACAATGTCAATGGAATATTTTATATTCTTCTTTTATGTAGTGCCTCCGACCAATCAGAACAGACCCGTGTGTAATGCACAGACAGAGATGTACTGTTCACTTCGAGAGGAATGTCTGCCTAAGAAATGGGAATGTGATGGTATTTGGGATTGTCCTGATGGATCAGATGAGGGGTCACAATGTCCAACAACTACCCGAAAAAGTAATTTTATATTTATGACATTCTAAACTTCAACAAATTGAAAAGATATGACATGAAGGCAGTTCCTGAAAATGATACATTGATTAATTGATTCATCAATATGGCAAATTACATTTTCTTCATTTATTCTTATACAATAAATATACAAGAGTATCATTTGACCAGCATCAAAAGTGCTGTCATTTTGTTTTTAAAAAAAGTTTGACTTTTATAATATTTTCCTACAAAAGTAAAAAGGCTGGGAAAAGTTTAAATAGAATATATCCCAAACTATTCATTGTTGTTTTGAAACAGAATAATTCTTAAACAAATGGCTTAATTGGTAAGATTAAACCATTTATATTCAAGTGTCTTTCTCCAAGAGAACAAAAAACAAGTTACGGTCATTTTCCTTGTAGATAAATACATATTATTTAACATGTTATCAATATTCTTCTCACCATGTATGTACTTAATAGTAATATAATCATATACTTATGCATAGATTGTTAAAAATTAAATTATTTATACATTTAAGCATTACCATCTCTTGCCTCTGGTCAAACAAGACCATCAACCACACCAACAACAAGAGGGTCAACAACATTAAGGACTGTACCACCATCAAGTTCTGTTTTAACTCCGGCAGTAAATAATTGTCCACATGGTCAGTTCCAGTGTGGATCATCCCAGTGTATACCTGCTATATTACATTGTGATGGTGTGCCTGATTGTGCAGATCATACTGATGAAGCTGTTGATTGTAGTAAGTGTTCTTCTTAAACGGGCTTCACTAAGATTTTTTTGACATGACAGGACTGGAAATATTTTTTCTAAGATTTGTGTACCATTTGATGTGGATATGAATCAGTAACTTGTGTGCAAATTAATTGATCATTTCCTCATTCCGTCTTTTCTAAATAATCATTTTTATTGTACAAAATAACCAAAAATTAAAGGCATTACTTTTCAATAAAATGTGATTTATTGACTTTCAATTTAATTTATATTTTTATTGTCTTTTTGTAGATTTTTCCTTTTTTTTTGGAGCTTCACTTGATCTATATAGAAATTAAGATTTTTATGTTTTTTAAGGCTTTTTGAACTCAGTGAAGCTTTAATACTTCTTTTCCATATGTGACATAGACGTGTTCTATGAGAAAGACTTTTTAAGGTTAACTTTCTGACAAATAATAGCCAAAATCTTGATGTACAGAAGCAAACCTTTCTTCCCAGAAATTATGTAATTACACCAAAGTGATTTGAAAAAATATACTTTATTCCTATTTGCTGACATATTAGAAAATTCTAGCATCTTATCACATGTCTTTATGGTATAGCACACTGTTAATTGAAAGCTTAGAGGCATTAGGGTATCAATTACTCAAAGTTTTATTTTTATAAGTAAACATTAACTTTCAGAGATAGCATCTATGGAGATGTATTTTCTTCCAATATTGTATTTTGTTGCTGAAAAAAGAATCATAAAAATTTTATTGTCGTAAACACTACACCTTTATGACTGAAATTAGTTTGATATTTAACTCTTTAATCTCATTTAATCTTACATATATTTAATCTCATTTAATCTTACATATATTGACCAATTTAGTTATGCTAATTATCTTTAATTTTTATTTAGCCTGTTTACTTATATGAGATTTTTGTTTTAAGAAATTGTTGATCTGACTTCTTCAAAACTCAGAGGATGTAAATTTCAATTAAAGTTACCGTAACTGAGAAGAAATATATATAACAAAAAATTTATTACAGAAAAATGCCGATTTGACTTCTACTACTGTGCTAAACAGCGAAAATGTATCACCAACGTAACACGCTGTGACGGAAATGATGATTGTGGTGACGGCACAGATGAAAGTTTGTGTACTCCATCATGCTCAAACCCACTCTTTATATGTCAAAATGGAGGTACATGTATAGCCGGAAGTTCTCCACCAATGTGCTCCTGCACTGTTGGTTACCAGGGTAACCGATGTCAATACAAGTCACCAAAAGCCTTACAATCCTCACAACCAAACAACAGTTCAGGTAAATATTTAATACAAATTAACAATTAAATCATTTTTTAAGTAAAAAAAATCAGCAATATCAACAACAAAAAACCTATGTTGCTAGATTTAGGCAGCTTGTCAGCTTACACATTTCTCTGTAATACATGGTCAGTTGTAAATATGATGTATAGTATACAGCTCCATATGTTTTATCAACCACTAAAAATGTATTTGTTTGAAACATCACACATAGCTGTGAGTTCAGAATTGGGTGTCATATTCTCATAGTCATAATTCTAGCATTGATTTTGATTGAATAATGGCAATAAATTTTTGTTCTGCAGTTATTATAATGTATAAATATTTGTAAACTGAAGAGTGTGGATGTTTTGGCTTATAAAAATATTATTTGTAAATTTAAATCAATGAATGCTGGTATAATTTGTATATTTTATGGATGTGTAGTACAAAAGATGTGAACACAGGCCCTAAGATTGGTTTTTGTATTATTGCAGGTGGTTGGAAGATAGGAGTAGGTGTAACATTTGGAGTTGTTGCCCTTGTTGTTATAGCAGTTGGTACATTCTTCATGATGAAAAAATACAAACCTAAGTAAGTTCTCAAATATTCTTACTTTTATGTTTTAAATTAATGTATTTTCAGATTGTATTGTATAATTGTTATAGGACTTTGATCATTTCTATTTCTATACAACTGTTTTATCTCTATAGTATTCAGATAGTTCAATATTGAAAATGATAATTCATTTCACAGCATTTTTATCACAGTTATTAAGGAGTGTTTATTTGTACAAATGTAATGTTAACATGTTTCAGTTTTAAAATTGAACTGCATGGTTTGATACTGAAATCATCATTGCATGGTTAATTATTGAAAATGATGATTTATGTCACCACATAGAATGATATTATTGTACAAAATAATTTTGATTATTTATTGCTGCATTGTATAATATTGACAGTGGTTTGAATGTAATTCAAATACAATATATATTTAGCATAAAAAATGATCATTCCCAAAAGCATAACTGCATTATATGTTGGATATAATGTACAAATGAGAGAAGCATGCTATAAACAAGAAACATCTTATAGTTATATATAATGATAATTTCATCATTTATTTTAGTATTAGCCTGCCAAGTTTATCTTCATTACGTAGAGGACGATCACCAGAAGCTGGTCTCACTAATCCTGTATATGATGGATATGGTGCCGAGAGTGAGACTGATGTAAGTATCTAGTCTTTCCTTATATCTCATGTTTAATTCACATCAACAGTTATAAAACAACAGTGTAATTAACAAGCTGTATTAGTGGAAAGTAACCAAAAATGCCCATTGTTGTATTCTAGCACCTAGTTAGATTCATTCACCAGATATTTTCAAACGAATATTTTTAAATACTATACAATTTTTATTGGATTGTTACTTTGTTTTGTTGAATATGATATAAATTGAGACTATAATGCATGATATTGTGGACTTTATCCCTGTTATCTACTTAATAGCTTTGACACATGATATTGTGTACTTTATCCCTGTTATATACTTAATAGCTTTGATACATGATATTGTGTACTTTATCCCTGTTATATACTTAATAGCTTTGATACATGATATTGTGTACTTTATCCCTGTTATATACTTAATACCTTTGATACATGATATTGTGTACTTTATCCCTGTTATCTACTTAATAGCTTTGACACTTTAGCCCTGTTATATACTTAATAGCTCTTAACCTCAGTTCTATTATAAATATCTCTCTAATTTCTCTTTGTGCTCATTGAGAAAGTCATATTGTTGGTAACAAAGTTTTGTCTAATAATTTCTTTTGTATTTTAGTTTCAGTTGAGCACCATAGATAGTGGGGGTTATGGGGGAATGGTAAGTTTATAGCTAAATTTCTATTTGGTCATATTTTGCTGGCAAAGTGTTAATTTTATTTATTTGGGGTAATCACCAAATTCCACCAAGTACCTCACTGACATATTGGTCTGTAGCTATCATCTACAGTGTTATTTGATTATATACCAGTACTAACTTACGTTTTTCTGCAAATGCCTACCATTTTTTGAAGTTATAAATTTGTATGCAACCTTTATCTTGTTGATTTCTTTGTGATGGACGTCACTTGATATGTTTTGATTTTAGTAATTTTGTATTTCATAATCAATATCTTAAGATTAATCATTATTCATGAGTGTCTGGTCAGTTAGCAATTTTACTGTACAGGCTAGCAGATATAATTGAATATGCGATGCTTTAAATTGTTTAAGTTATTTAATTATATAATTGACAAACTTGCTATTTATTTTCAGCCATCAACTTCCATAGAAAACCCTCTATATTCTGACGCATAAATCACATAGAAATGAAAAAAGACAGACTTTTCAAAAAGGGACAATAAATTCAACAGAGATAGAAAAAAAGTTAATACTCAGAAAGACACTTGTGCAATATTTTGAAATAAAGTGCAATATATTCAATATTTATCATCACCCGTGCAATATTAAGATAATTGTGATAATTTATTATAGCTTTTACTTTTTATTATACTTACTATGTACATATTTATACAGAAAAAATATATCATTTGATTGGGAAACATAAAATTTTATAAATATATATAAACAAATTACAACTTTGCTGAAACAATGTGGTTTAACTTTGTTACATTTCATTGTTATGTTAAAACATTAATACTTTTATTGAACAATAAAATATAAAAATACTCTGAAGGCTTTTTATTTACAACAATAACAACAACACATGATGCAGATATCCAGGAAGATAGTGCCCACATTATGGAAGCCATACTTTGATTTTATTTTATATTATGTGTCCCTTAGGGCGGTGCGGTATATACTGTATAATTCTTAGGAACATCAATTGGAAAATATTGGATATTAGGACATGTTAACCGTTAATATCATGAATGCTAAGTTATGTAAAATCAGAACAGAACAGAAACTTTATTTTTGGTTTAATCATAAAAAGCTCATCACCATATTACATATACAAATACTACATATAATACATAAATGACATATGACATGAACATAATTGCAAAATAATGATATATGTAATGTGAGAATGTTGAATGAGATAAGAAATTACTTAAAAAGCATAATTATGAATACATGTATCTTATACACAGGAATTTATCTATCTTTACCTAACATTATCGAATTAAGTTACAACACATCTTTTTTATGTTTGAGAAATTCGCTAATGCTTTTCAAAAGAATTAGTTTTAATTGTGACAAATGAAGGAGAATAACTTATGTAACTTTACATAACAAGTATTTTAAAATTTACTTCCTTTAATAATTCATGATACATATAAAAAGAATTCATTTCTGTATGATAAATGAATACGTTCACGTTTCACAGTTTTCCCTTGGATTGGTTAGATATATTTTCTCTTAGCTATGTTGCGTTATTTTCAATTAAATGTATTTTTCATCATCTGGATATTTTCTGTTTAATTAATTGCAAAGTTTTTTTTAAATTGCGAATTTTTCATTCAAAATTCCTTCTATTTCAACAATTACTTCGTTCTGCATAATGAACAGTTCATTTAGTCAATGCGGCTTTCAATAGTGATTAAAGTGATTTTCTATAGCTGAAGATCTTTTAAGGATAAATATTACTTCAAGAATATCCTCTCATTTATCTCCAGTTATCTCCCTTAAACACAAATTTGAACGTAGCTATCGAACAATAACAAATGCATATAGTTATATTTATCGTGCTTAGTGGAAGATTGATTAGTATATAATGAATAAAGTTTCCGTTCTTGATTTCAACTTAAAACTTGATGAAATTTTTGTGCAAGTGTTTAATCTATTTAGACTAAACTTCCTCAGTTTAAATGCTGAATAAACAACACATTTATACACTTTGAATTTAGTATAAGGAACGTGCAATTTTCCATTTGTCATGACGTCCTGAAAAAATAATAATATAATTGCCCTTTAAGTTTAAGAAGCAGTTTTGTTAAAACGATTTAGTGTCGACACAATGGCAAATCACATAGTTTGTTACATCATGTTCTTGCTATCGCGAGCAGCCACAAATGTACAAAAAGCGGCAAATTTTAGGGTTATTTTTTTACTTCCTTCAAAATGATTCCCGTAAATAAAACCCGGCACAACTTCTCCATCTTTTAAGTGTCTTACTATTGCAGTTTTCCGGGAAAGCGTGACAAACAACAAGCTTTTGTACGGATCCAGTTAAAAATGTTATGAATATTTCAAATCTGGGTTGGTTAAACCATCATTTTCGAAAAAATGTAATTAAACTTTCTATGTGGGGAAATGCAAATACAATAGTATTGTTAACAAGTAAGCAATATGAAATTTCAACAAGGAATTTTGCTTCTACATGTTATCGTTCAGCTCCCTGGTTATTTCGAGCGGATGCCCTGGTTAGTAATATATAATTAGAGCTTTTTGAATATTTTTGACAAATTATATGGCCATATTTAAAGGGTTATATATTGCAAATATCCGTTTACATGGTGGTGATGATGATGGTGGTGATGATGATTGTGATGATAATAGTGGTGGTGATGATGATTGTGATAATAATAGAGGTGATGATGATTGTGGTGATGATGATTGTGATGATAATAGTGGTGATGGTGATGATAATAGTGGTGATGATAATGATTGTGATAATAATAGTGATGGTGATGATGACTGTGATGATAATAGTGGTGATGATGATTGTGATGATGATGATGATGATGATGGTGGTGGTGGTGATGATGGTGGTGGTGATGCTAATGATGATGATGATGATTGTGATAATAGTGGTGATGATGATGATGGTGATGATAATGATGGTGATGATGATTGTGATGATAATAGTGGTAATGATGATGGTGGTCGTCGTCGTGATGATGATGATGATGATGATGATAATGATGGTGGTGGTGATTATGGATTATTGTATCATTACCTTGATTACACTGTTTGTCCTTTCAGTGTAAAATGTTTTACTGTAGCTATTTTTAAGTCTATAAACATATTCAGAAGCATTTGATTTTCTTTCATAAACAAATGTATTAATGTACTGAAATGATCTATCTTTTATCCTATCTTGAATTTATTTCAAAATTCTTGAATTCAATTTAGCTAACTTAAACATGACTTTTATAGAAAGTCGAGTTAAATTTGTTCGTGTTAAAATATGAAGATCGGTAAGGTTTGGTATAAACTACAATCTTTAGGCAATATGATACCATTCTGTTTTATTTTTGACAATTCAAAAGAAAATATATGAACCAGAACAATGAACAATAAAAACAATAACTCAAGTGAATATATTATTAAATTTAAACCAATCTTTATTCTTTTGACATGACATTTAAGAACTATTTAAACAATATTTAAACCTTACTTTTGATTTTCATAAGTTTCAAATATATCATGAACGAATATGTTAATCAAATTGGCTTTATCATTTTTTTAGTAGGGTAAGCAACAAGTAGGTGTTTATCACTGACAATATTTTTATCTAATAATTATACCGGTAATATTTTTTGTTATATATTGATTATAATTATATCTAATATTTTTATCTACAATATTGATAATATTTTCATCGAATATATTGAATATACTTTTATCTTGTATATTGAAATATTTTATCTAATATACTGAAAATACTTTTATCTACTACTCTAATAATATATTTGTGTAATATATTCATAATATTTTATGTAATATATTTTATCTAATATATTTAAAGCATTTTTAATATGTAATAGATCTATATTGCTGACATTTTTACCTAAAATACACTACTGACTTAAGGCCATTCTTTTCTAGTTCTGTGTAGTACAAACATCTCATTTTGAAAATAATGTATAAACATCTTAATGATTTTCCCTCTAATATTTTATAAGTATAAAGATACTTATTCATATTTTCTTTTAAATAGCGAATAAGTGTGCAATTAACTGTTGGAACACAGTAACAGAAAACATGCATTAACGTTACATACTTATAAATCAACGCAACCCAAAAATTTAAAAATTAAGATTATATGATTTCGCCCTAACTTTTTTTATTCAAACATTTAGCTTAATACGGAATTGTATTACGATAACATGTAAATAATTATAATAACGGTGTAAAATAAACTTGTTTTGGATTTAAGATCATACGTGCACTGAAGAATAAACAATAGGCATTTGAAGGCAGAAATGGGTAATACGGTAAAAGGCACAAATGATATAAGAGGGGGAAATATAAATAGCGTGTCTGCAGAAAATGAAACAACAAATGAACAAGAACGCTCGCAGATAAACAAACCTGTTACAACTGAAACTATGCAACGGTCAGACCTTGAAACATCCGACAGTGACAATAAACAAAGTCCAAATAATGTAAAGAACAAGGCATCGATGGCAATTGACAAAAATACAGAAATGAATAATAACAAAGATACATGTACACCAAACGAAGACGGCATAGATTCAGATGATAATAGTGTTTTAACTGGTGATCAGCAGTCGGTCAAGCATAAACGCAAGTACATAAAGACGCCTTTTGCTGAAAAATCAAAATTACAATCTACTGATATGATAAGTAAATCATCTCAAGCAAAACCGCACACGAAAAGATCATCTTCGACTAAGATAGGCAATAAAACAACATTTCAACTAAAAGAAAAACGTTCATGTTCTGAACCAGTCACCTTTAAGTTTCCTTTAAAAGAAGAATCCATAAAAGAAGAATTACCATCAGTTCACGTCGACGAGAATATGGACACCCTGATGACTGCAAGTTCAGAACTAGACAAGGATGACATGGCATCAGAATTTGAAATCGGTTCAAGTCTGAAATCAGTAAGTCTTGGTTCGAGTTTGTTTGATAGTCAACTCACTATAGAGACGCATACAAGTATGGAGCAACAAAGTTCTGCCAGCCAAATATATAACGGTAAGTCATTTTACACAACTAAACCATGTTACTAAGATTATTAGTCTTGCACTATAATTCGTTTCCCATTAGCTTAAACATATTCGTTACACATATCATTTAATTTGCTATCCATTAAATGTAATTCACTTTCAAAAAAGGTTTAAGAACAAACTTAAGTTATATACGAAAATTATTGTTTCAACCTGTTTTCATATTCGATATATTAAATTGGTGAGGTATCCAATGAATTGCATGCAATTTTAATTTTCTATCTACAGAAAACCGGCAAAAGTTAAAACGAGGTCTCATTGACTATTATATGACTTTTGACTTGGATGTACCCGAATTTCCTCTGCTGCCGTGTTCAAACAAGTCAACACAATATTGGTCACCATGGATGTCGGTTACACGTAAATTTAATCAAGACACCGACGATACTTCAGAATTAAGAGAGCACATAAGTGACCTTGATACATTTGACCTGAATAACTATGAATATGACAAAAATATCTATCAATTAAATCATCTTTTCAATCATGAAGGTAGAAATATAAAGAATATTTACTTAGTTGGCGATTCAGGAACAGGTAAAACAGCTTTCTGCAGAAATCTCGTTCATAGGTGGTGCTTACAACATAAAATAAATGAAAACTTTGTTGGATTAAACGATCCGAACAAATCGCATAACGAAGATTTATTTTCTTCGACCAGGCCATACATGACGGATAAACAAGCAAAGTATATTGGGTCAAAAAAATCAAGATATTTTGGAGACGAATTAAGTTCAGTCATCG